GGGTAGGTATGATCCGAATTAAAAAGAAGGCGATTCGAATCTCGATGGCCCCCCTTTCCTTTTTACCTTTAGGAAACTGGATGTTGAACGCACGTGTTCCGAGCATTCAAAAGTACAGGAATAATTCTACGATTTTGACCCCTTCCTTTCTTACCGGCCCGTTCTTCAATTCATTCTTCGAGCGTGAATGAAACGAATGAATGGGTTTGATTTGCTTTTCCACGAACAAAAAAATAATAAGTTATGATAAATAAAGCGACGCGAAAACGGATGTGCGAATGCCTCCGACGGATTTTTAAATATTATTATTACACACCATTTGCATCTAATTATTCAATTAAACAAAAATCTCGTTTTTCGATCTGTCGATTAAAAAAACCGGCGCGTTTGCCAAACGTCCCGTTCCCAAGCATCCAGGTAAAAATATTCCGTCCGATTAGTTCCGCATGCCAATACAAATCGTCGTACCGAACCGAGGTACAAAAAAAAATCGTTCGATTCGACAACACCGCCTCGGTACCCGGCTCTCTCTCAAGACGTGCAAAGGAGCTGAAAATTCGTCCCGTCTCCGTCCGATTCGCTCGTTCGCTCGCTCTCCAAACGTCTAGTTCTGGTAATTTCGAATGTTGAACTGTCGTCTAGGAGTTGCCACAGACTACAGACGAGTTTGGCGCGGTTCAAGGACGTCATGGTCGTACCTTTCGATCGACGGGAGGCGGTACCGCTTCTATCCAGTCGAATCGGCCCCGGCACGACCGAAAAAAAACGCACGCATTCCATACGGATTTTCTCGTTTATCCAGTTCAAGAGTACTTCCCGCATTCCACACAAACGTACTGGCACATAAGCTCCTGGACTGTTCCAATTTGTTTGGTAAAATACTCCAATTTCTGTTCAATGAGTAGTACCTGAGTTTGCAATGTCTTTCTGGTTGCTGGTGGAGCTCGTTGGGGACTATGTAGTACCAAATTAAAGAGGTGTTTAGGTGCCTGTGGCTGTTGGTTGGATCTCCAGGTGATGATCGGCAACAATGCGAGACCGGGAATCGTTCGAACGTGAACCGAAAGGTGTGCGCGTTTCGAAATGGCGATCGAGCATAAAAAAAATACAAACGCTAATATTGACACCGAAGAAAATGTAAATGGTTTTTGAATGAATTATATCATCCGAGTGACGTAGCGCTGGGCTGTGTACGGATCGACTGGAGTAGCTGGGGCTATCAAGGACACTTGCGCGGTGTATTACAAGGAGATTACCGTGGGTTGAATGGTGGAATTTTGATAAATCTACAAACTAAAGCGAATTCAAACACCTAACTAAACAAACATCAGATAACCGATTGTTTTTAACTTTAGATAAATTCTACGTTATGGAATATAAAATTTTAAACACGAAGATAAGATATGTATAATATATGGAAAATTTTAAAAGCCACCAAACAAAATCGAGAAATACGAACCTAAAATAATACCCTAACGAGATTTGAGCGTGGGCTTCTCGAAATAACGAAAAAAAACATACTCCTTAGACCTCAGACAATATAGAAAACCACCAACGCGAGTTATTTTCGTTCTAACAAGATTAGCGTATCGAGATAAGGAAAAATCCGTTGGTCTCGCTAAAAGTATTACGATATAGATGGTGAATGTCGCACACATTACATATAACATAATATAATGTGTGCTTATAGGTATGTGTAAATAGGAAAGGCGCCATGTTTGCCGTACGGCCTACAGCCTCAGACAAGTGAACATCGGCCGACGGTCGCGTTTCATTTGTTATTCGACTTCCAAGGTTTTTCTTTCGCAGCGTGTACGTAGTAATTATAGACTAGGCCAGATGCCAATGGATATTTCTCAACAACAAAACAACGTTCCGACTCCTTTCTTTCGCCTTGCGGTCTCTCTTGCACGCGCGCCTCTATCGTACGCTCTTATACAATAAACTTTTGTAGATATCTTTCGCATGGTTCTTGCGTATATCTCATGTGTGTGTGTGTGTGAGTGCGTAGGATTGATTTTAAATGGGTATGTACGACGCGACGTCCGAACTGCACTTCATTATTATTACTCTTGGAACAGGTTATTACCGTATAAAACGTTCGAATTTCATACTCGAGATTATAAATAAACAAGGAAATTACACCTACATTTTCATAAGCAATTCCTAAACTCACTTTATCTAAATGCCATTGGTATATTATATGAATAAGTAAGGTGATAGAAAAAAACCTCTAAGTATAACCTTTGCGAAATGCAAAATTTTAAGTGTAGTTCTGTTGCTGATAAATTTCGCGTCGATCTTTGGAAATTAGGTTGTAAAATACGTTTGAAACAAAAACACACAAACCGCGCAACCTTGTGCTTTCCGCATGGTTGCGTGCTCGGCATTACGAATATTCAACGTTAAAAAAAAAGAGTTACTGTTAATGTTGATTGTAGGTTGGATCGTATACATTTTTCGAATAATAGGGCTCGATTCGATACCCTCCAGGAAAGATTGCGCAAAATCTAAGGACTCATTGTAAAAGAATGTAGATAATAGAATAGAATATTGGCGACAGCTTGTTGAACTTTAAGGAGCTAAATTGCAATCTATTTGTTTGGCGTTTCGAATAAATGACGAAAAATTTTACTGCCGCAATATAAACCCAATCAAAATAGAAAATATGCTTATCATCCATTTATCTCTCCTTATCGAAAAAAACATTTAAACCTCGCAGAGTCTAGACAATCATATAATAAGTGTCTGAGAGAAAACACTTGCGTACCAGCGGATTAAAAAACTCGAATATATTTAAATCAGATTACTATTAAATTTGACCAACAACATTCAAATATACTGCTCCACAAAAGTTAAGGAAGTTCATAAATAATGAGATTAATTTAAAAGTTGCAGGTTTTTTGATCGCCAAATTTAGTCTGAGTTGTAGAGGAAGGGGCAAAAAATCCACTCAGATATGAGAGGAAACATTTAATTTCGCATATTTGAAAATTTGGTGATCAAAAACTTTTAAAATAATCGCAAAATTTGCAAACTTCCTTAACTTTTGTGGAGCAGTTTACTATTCTTACGCAACGATTAGGTACAAACAACCGAACTAGAACATAAACTTGCGATAAAAGCTAGTAACGAAATAACAAATTATCTCGACTACGCGAGATTGCGCGTCCGCCTTTCGATCCTAACGAGCCGAAAAAAAAAACAATCCTTTTCTCATATGCACCGTTGTTAACAGTTGTCACGTCTGGCCGAGATGGCGCGTTTAACGCCCAATCGACCGGATCGCCGCGAATAAATAGCGAACAATTCGCCAAACGTTTTGGGCACCAAACCGTCTAACAAATTTTCCTTTGCCCGCGAATTACGTCAATTGCTATAAAAAACATTCAAGCAGAGGCTCGCTTGCACACGCATACTGTTGTTGTTTCTAGCCGTTATTAAACCGAGCACTCAGGGTCATTCGCGATGGGAATTAGAGAAAATGCGGTGCACTCGAGATTGCAACTAAATAAAACAGACACTGCATTTTTTTTTAAATTAGTTTAGGTTAAAAGTGGCGACCTTAGCGCACCGGCTTTGTGACTTATTAACTTATTATTATTACATGCCCATAAATCAATCAAAAGGATAGACGGGATAAGCAAGGACGTAATAAAAAAAGCAATGTGCGATAGAAATACATAATTATGCAAAATCGACCCACCTCCTATTGATTAGTGAATGTAATAAAACATCGCTGTACACGATGCAAAGAATATAAATGTGAGAAACATAATAGTCGGTCTTTCTGAAGGTATAATTCGATAATTAGATGGACAGCAGGCGAGAAGGATAACGCTAAGAGAAGGGCATCGATGATGAAAAAAAAAGAGGAAAAAATCCGCGAACGCGGAGTAAAACAAAACGAGGAAATGTCGTAATCCATCCCATTAAGCGTTCCGTTGCATAAGAGACCGTTTTACCTTGATGTCCCCGTCGAATAACTATAAATTAAGAACATTTTATTTCAAACTGCACCTGATTTTTTATTCAGACGGTGAATGATATAAATGTCACGATGTCCGACGAATACATTACGATTTAATGGCGTTATATTATATGGTATGTTTGCGAAAAAAAAATATTCCTCTCACAATGCATAATACTTCGTTCTATAATGAGATATTATAAACTTTTATGATAATAAACAGGGCTTTTTTTATTGTTATGGTTAATGTAAAAGTAAAGTAATGTGTAAGTTAATCTGCCCCCGTATAATTTATTCAGAGGTAAGTTTTGTTGATTCATAAATTAACTGTAAATCACCTGACTTTTTGAAAAAATATTACAAAATACTGGTAAATAAATAGCTTTCTCTAATAATAGAGCTATAAAAGTGCGTAATTTATAAAAAGTGATAATAGAATTAGTATTTTTTGTACAAATCAACAAAAAGTTGACATCTGCAGAGAAACGCAATGCGATTCAAATTCGTCACCTTTTAAATCTGTTAAAATGTTAAGCATCGGTTATAATCTCGTTAAAGTTGTTACTTTTACGGTTTCTGCTTTTCATTTCCACCATATCACCTGTCAATTAACGTAATGATACAAAAATGCCCTAATTATATTAGAAATACACATGGCATTTCATAACGAATAACTAACTACGTTGCTCATTGATGCTATCGATTTTGTTTTAACTTGCATCGATCATTAAATAGATGAAGGGTTTCAGGATCCAGATTTTTAAATTCAACCACAATCCATGCACCTGTTTGACCAATCTGGTCTCTACCTGATCTTTCCAATTTAAACCAATTTAAACCAATTTAAACCAGAGGTTTATAATACACCTGATCTTCGGTTCAAACCAAGTAAACTGGAGTAGATGAAGGTCTTTCGACAAAATGATGACTATCAGTATACCAGTATTATTAGAAATAAGTGGATTTAGAAGATTCTCTTGATGGTAAATCAGTAAAATGATCGTTTAGATATATAAATTAAAAATCCTACCTGTTTCCTTTTGATGACAGGTTCGACGATCGGCGGCGGAAAGACCAAATTCCCGTCGTACTGCTCCTTCATCTCGTCCAAAATCTTGAGGAACCGTTCGCGTTCGGCATGATCGATGGGCACGTACAAATAACTCCTCCAATTGCCGGAATCGAAGCCCCAATGCACGGTCCTGTTCTCCAACTCGTCGTGCACGTGACAGACGAATTGCTGCGGCGAAAAACCCACCTGGCAATCGCCGCATTCGATGCACCTCGCGTTCTTGTTCACATAGAGCTCGGGGAAGCACAGGCCGCTGGCCCTGCCGAAGCACTCGTGGTAGAGCGGTATGGACAGGGCGCCCTTTCGCGGCCGCAGGCTCGTCGACGGGACGGCCTGGTCGCGCACTTGCTTGAACAACAAGGCGCTACACAAACGTTCGGCGTCCGTCTTCGTTATCAGGCCGCAGCTCGGCGCGCCGCTCGGCAGGATGCCCTGGTTCTTGAGCACGTTCAGCTGCTCGGGCGTGCAACGCGAACAGTAGATCTGCAAGTGGTCGCACTCCTGGTTGATCTGCTGCAGGCTGAACTCGCGCAGGACGCTGTTCAACACCTGCGGCAGACAGAGGCGCTTCTCGCCGCCGACGACGAAGCACGAGATCGATTCGCCTTCGAGGATGGTCTCGGTGCGTTCGCTGCACGTGTCCGGTATCGTCAGGATCGGTACTTGTTGGACGGGAAACGGCGCCGCGACGAATTCCTCTTCTTTGATCTCCGGCGACGGCGTTTCGGTCTTGACGGCGACCAAAGACAGGCCGGGACCTTGCAGGCTCTTGGTGGCGCTGTGCTGGTAGTTCTTGAGGACGCTCTTCAGGTGCGGCGTCACTTCCATGGCTCCGTCCGTCGGTTCCGGGGGGTTTCGATGCGACAATCACCGCGCGCGTACCGCCGATCGGACGTACTCGAACCGCCACTCAAGCATCATCGGTACGATTTATCTCGTCATCCATCGAAATGCTTGTACGTTTCTTTCGACCCGATACATATGAGATACTCGATGTTGTCGAGCGGCGAATCTTCAACGCGACAAACAGTTAGAATTACATTACTTCGAACGGCCCGGATAACCCGCTACGGTGCCCGTAAAAAACAAAAAAAATAATAAAACGACCAAAAACTGTTTACCGTTCTCTAACTCTGTCTCACTCACGGACGACGATTTTACAACACGCTCACCTAACCAATACTCATGTCTGACTAGTGAGACTGTGACCAGCGACCGTCTACAGCTCGAGTCTCGCCACTTTGTTTAGCGCCGCGACGTTGCCGCGTCTTCGGCGAAATCACGGCATCTCCTCTAACTGAAAACAAAATCATTTTACGTAAAAATCAATCGCTCGGATCAAATTTATTCACCTGTACACTTCTTAATAGCTCCTAACTACATTAATATCTACAATTGACCAAAAATATTAATTCTACACTCGATTTAATAAATTAACTGCCTTTGTATACAAGTTATATTCACCTGACAAACTATCAATGCTATCCAACAGATAGTGGTGTGCAAATTAATAAATTTGATAGTTGTTTTAATGCAATTTCATAGGATTTAATAGTTAGGATGTGGCAACAGTCCTGCAGACCGCTCCGATGACGCAAGCGCCGCGTTTATTTGGCATTTTTTTTCAGCATTTTATTGGCATTGAATCACACAAGTTGGTTAAATGAGCGCACACGAACCCCCTTTTTCGTTTACCAAAAAATGCATGAACTGCAAAACATTCGGATGCATTCGAAAGTTATTTGGGAATAATTTTAACCAAAATTCTTAGTCAATTAACGAGAGATGACCGTGTAAAACGGGGAATCGCGACTAGAGGTGGCTGGGGCTGATACAATCCGGTTATCGATAAACATTTTTCCGTAAATATAAATGAATGAATGATACGTACTTATTCAAGAAGATAGGTAGCCAGATTTAAGCAAGACACTTTAAATTACCTATTCAAAATTTGTAAAAAAAATCAAAAACAATAGGTAAAAAATATGCACACATCAAATCCAACCTTTTATGTCATTATGTCAAAATGTCATTATTGTCAAAAAATATCATATTCCGTGCAAAATAAATTGACATTTGACATGACACCATCGAATAGTACCAGATTCCTCCTCACTCTTCCGCTAAGCCGTAATAACCAGCAAATAAATTCAAGTGAACCAACTTAACAATTGTTACTGGCAGGTAACGGTTACACGCAGTCTGGCATCGTCCAACTCTAGCAGCGACGGCTCTGTGGAAAGTCTAGCCGGAGCCCCGCAGCTCCCCGCTCAGCGGCAGACACTGTAACTCTCTGTCACGTGATCGACCTTCCCGTCAAAATAGGCGACGAGTGCGATTCCACACGGGTCAGGAGGGAGGAGTAGGAGACGCGCGGGTTTCATCTTATCTTTTGGTGTATGGTGCATCAATGTAAATTTGTATTGATGCGATAGAATTGTAAGCATAGAGATGGTAAAAATTGCAAACAACTTTTCTATACGGTATGGAGGAGATTTTTTGTTGCGTAAACAAACTATTCAATGCACAAAAGTTGTTATATTTTAGTATTAACTCACCAGGAATTGTTTTAGTTTAATTGTTTAGAAAATCAAAATGGCCACTGCAAAACTTTATTATTGTTGCTTAGCAACGATGTTGAAATGTCACTTACGTCTGTCTTCTTACAGAATAAATTCCGCGTGGTTGCCATTTAGGTTGTAAAACTGGTTGCATATCTAAAATTAGCTAAACTAATGGAAAAAAAATATTAAAAAAGAAATAATTCAATGTATTTTTATTTATCTTAAAATTTATATAGAACAGCTTGTAATAGTATGTTTAGAGGCCTAAGAATAAATTAATAATTGCAAATATAAAAAAGGTAATAAATAACAACCCTAATCGTAAAAAAAATTAGTATACAAATAAACTAGTTGAAGCGGACATTTCGAGGATAAAGCGTTTATAATTATTTTAACAATCTCTTTTATTTAAGCGAATCGAAATTGACCGCCGCAGCTAGAAATTAAAAAAATAACAGAATTAAAAAAGCACGAAACGGCTGCATCAAAGATTTTCAAATTTTTGTGAGCATTTTCATTTAAAAAGAGCAATACTTTTACAAATATTTCTTATTGAGTAAACTAAATTCTATCAATAGGCGTATTTATTAATGAAGCTAAAAATGCTAACAAAACTATTACTTTTTGAAAATAAAACCCTTTCAGTCACCGAAAAGTAAGAAAACGGAAGTACGCTTAACTTACTTTTTATCGAAGTTTATTTTCAAAATCGATTATTCGTATTAAATCGATGTTTCTTATTCTAACAAAGTACGTGATGTGAATAAAAGCGGATAAAAAAATTAAAAAATTTTACCTATTAACTTAGTAATACTTACATTAATGAAATTTAATGAGAATACAAGCAATCTCCACAAAAATATTCAGTCAATTTAAAAAGTAACTAACATTAATCGTCTTTATGAAAAATCACAATAAGAGATTCACAAATAAATCTAACGTGACGAAGCTTCGTTTAAAAAACCCATGCAAATTGGTAATATGCAAACAAATTCAAATTAACACACTATAATAAACCAGGCTCGACGCCCCCACGCAAAACAGTAACACCTCATGCACCTATCCAATTAAAAATCTCTGATGCGGCGGAATAATTACTATCAAGTTAAAATATATCATTTCATTTTTTACTTTTGTTTAGTCGTTTTACGGCTAAGTTGTTCCTCCGCCGCCAATTTCTGCCTATAATCCTCGACGTGCTCTTGAGCCCGCACCAACAACGACAGCGTATTATCTATAAGGTCCTTCCACATTTTGCAATACACCTCCTGATCGTAGGCCACCGTGTCCGCCGTTCTGCGCAATTCGATGGCCTTCGCCAAACTCCTCTGCATCTCGTCGATTGTCTCCTTTTGATTATCAAGCATGTTTTCTTCCGCTAAAACAAACAAACAAAAATTAACCGGCTAACCAGCGAGGAACCAGGACTACTACTCGATGAAGGACTCGGTCCTCGTACTACCTTTTTTAACCTACTCCTTGGTAGTTCTCTATGAACTTACCGATTTCTAATTCGGATATGAACTTGTGCAAATTGAGCATTTCCGGCGTCATGTCTTGTTCGTTCATCGATTGCAGCTGCATCAGATGGCCCTCGTCGTCGGTGTCGCTGTCGGATCCGCTGTTCGTTTGCAAATCGCCCGCCACCAATTCCTTCACCCTGTCGGCGTAACGGAGGGTATTCAAGCTGTGCTCGCACGAGTTGACGCCCGGCGAGATCATCGCGATCATGCACGTTCTGGAATTGGCTCCCACGAAAGAATCCCTCAGCACCTTTAAACACGATAAGAGACGATAAAGTTCGTTGCGATGCACTTTCGATTCGATCATTACTTGTGTTAGTTTGCTAACTCTGAAGGGTAAGTGGGCTCCCTTGCGACCCAGAGCTCGTATGCATTCCTTTAAGGCCAACAGGGATTTGTTGATTTCGGCGCCCTCCATTCTGGTTTGTCTGTTGGAGGACGACGTGTCTGCTCCTCGTTCGTTACCGGCCAAGTCGATGAGAGAAAATTTGCCGTGTACTTTCGACATGCTATTGCTGGCTCTCAAATATATCTAAAATAATACACGTTACTACCGTCAGAAGTGGATCTATCGCTTTGTTTTTGTACCTGAAATACGGCGTGCGATCGAGACGAATTGTTGTTAGCGAAGGTTTGTCCTGATGTGCGTGCTTGATTGCCCTTCTGAATGTAACCCAATACTTCTTGTACGTTCGTGACGATTTTTTCCTCCAAACCCACCACTTGGACCTGCTGTTTGCCATCCTCCAATATCCTCAGCTTGGTTTTGTTATTCAGCAAATCAAACACTTTTCCTGCGATTTAAAACGACGATAATTGTATTTGTACGAGCTGTGAATTAGCAGCAAATTTTTTGTCATACTCCCACGAGTGTAAATATTGAGATGTAATTCCATACAAACGCGAATGATTCATTATTAAAAAAAAAAACAAACGTTTAGAGTAATTTATCGGAACGGTTAACTCAAGACAAATAAATTTTTATCAATTCGACAAGCGATAAACGTCGATCGTGTAAGTACCCCGGCAAATTTCAACAACGTAAATAAAGCGAAATTAATTACACGATAATTAGATAACGGGCTAATTAGATAGGAAGTCATGACTTCGAATTCTCTCGCAAATATTTGGCCTGCACGATGCTAAACCGGTTCGTTTCGATAACACACTCACCTGAATAGATTTCGAAAAAGCTCGCGGAAACGACGAAATTATACTGGCTGTATTTCGGCGAATTGACCAATCGGAACACGTCGGCAGCCACCATAGCGTAGATGCCCCGTTCGCAGTTCTGATTCTTGCCCGACGTAAAGTCCCCTCCCATGGTGTGCGTTTTCCCGGAGCCTGTCTGACCGTACGCAAAGCACGTCGCGAATCCTCCCTCGAAGATCGTTTTGATCAAAGGCTGTGCGGTATACCTACGGGCAAATCGAATATAATCAATAAACATATGTATCGTAACCGGCAGTACAATTACAACAAACAGTCCACATGTGTGTATGCATACATTAAAATAACTGTGCACTTATCTGTAATTAACTGTACACCCTATTTACCTGTAGACCAGTTCGTTTGAGCAAGTTTCGCCGAAGGCGTAGTCGAATCGAAACACCTGGTTCTCCAAATACTTGGTCAGATCCACTTTGTTTTTGGGTTCGTGCACTATCAGCTGATTTTTACTGGGGATCGTAATGACGTCGACCTCCTTGCGGGCGTTCTCCTTCTTGTTCAAAGGCCTCTTTCGCACGCAAACGGTGATCAGATGGTCCTCGATGGCGTCGTTCTCGCTCAACGGCTTCATCTCCAAACCCTGCCGGTACTCGTGGATCATGTTCTGCAGCTCCCAATGAGGATTCCCCGGAGCTCTCTGTCGATCATAGAAATGTTTATGTTTAAAAACGAGTTTTTGTGGGTACGGGGTTTTTGTATACAAACCTGTAGAAAGGATTCCTTTTCGGCTTTTTCTTCGGCCTGTCGTTGCCTTCGTTCCTCGCGGTTCTTCTTCAGCTTCTCCACCTCCTTGACGACGTTGCTCTTCTTCGGGTTGATCTGGCTGGCGGCTACAGAGGTCCTGCTGGTGGGTATCTGGCTCTCCTTCGGCTCGACGCTGGAGGTGATCGTTTGCCCGTTGCTGGGCACGATGGTCCTGCGCGACTGGTGGGCCGAGGGCCCGTTGGGCTGCTTGACGCTGGCGATGGACTGGCGGGTCGGGTCGCGCTGCAGCTTGTTGAACTGCGCGGGCGGCGGGGCCGGCTCCTCGGGGCGCCGCAGACAGACGATGTCCGGATTGAGGGCCTCGATGGCCGACATGTCGACCTCCTTGCCTTTGGTCTCGCCGCGTTCGAACCATTCGACGGTCGCGCTGCGGTGCTCCTCGTCGATGACGGCGACGACGGCCGAGTGAATGCGCCCATCTGTGCGTTTGATGTTAATGCTGGAGCCCACTCGCAGCGTATCCGCCATGATGGCTGTTTGAGAACGAATCGAGAAAAAAGTCGAGCGTTTTTTAACGCGTATATCGCGACCGGGCACTGACGCGAACTAGAACGGCGAATTCAAATCACTAACTGCCTTTGAACCGTTGAAGCATCTTTCTTTGTCAATTATTCGATTCGAGGTTATCTTCTTCTTTCTAACATGGCCTTCGCCGTTAGACTTGAAGCCAGACGTAAGTTTACCATTTTTGGTAATCAACGAGCGATTTGTAGGCAGAACATGGTCGAGGGCCTCGAGTATTGCTCATTACTTCCACATACGTCCGTTAATTCGTTAGTACTATCGGTTTTCGACTGGCCCAAACTGCAAATAAGCCCTACGATTTAAATTTCGCTCTTCTTGATTTTCGGATTGTTCAAGTTCACCGTTCGAATATCAATATTTTTAATGATGACGACTAGACACCTACGCTTTGCGACAACCAATGAAAACGTCAAGAATTTGACACGTGAAAGAAATCGGACGATATCATTGGCGGAAATTTAAATTCCTTAGAAGTACTTCCGTGGTAATTTAGCATTGCCGTGTTGCCGGTTTTCGAATGCACCTACTAAGTAGGCAATTCAATTTACACAATTTAAAACTTTTATTTTTATTAATTACAATTCAATTATAAACATAACTTACTTAGTTTAGTAAAAAAACACATTCATAATCGTTTACAACAAACAGAAAACACTACTTTCTAACAAAACTAACGAAAATATTAAAAAAGAGACAAGTAAAAAAAAAAACTAACTTGGAAATGCTAATCTAATTAATCATCAAAAATCCCCATAATACAAATCACTACATTCCAAGCTCTTATTACCAACTAAATTCTTGTATTTAGCTTTAAATGTAGCGTATCTCAATCCATATTGTTTGATATCGTCATCGTCTACGGCACTTTTTTCGCAATCGCTATCTCCATCGTAGACGTTTCTTTCCTCATCTGAATCGGTTGAAAGATCATCATCTAAATCTACGTTCTTCATTGCCTCTACCATGTCGTCTTCGTTTATGGATTCTAGATCATCTTCATCTGGGTAATCGTTCCTCCAATTGCATTCCGCATTAGAATCTTCACTGTCATCGCTATCGGATAGATCTTTATCATAACAATTATCCCCCAACATAACGTCACTAATTGGATATATGCTAATGTATTCCTGGGCTCCTTCGAATTCATCTGGGTTAGTGTAATAGAGATCGTAGACGTATTTATCATCGGTGTCGCTGTTTTTATTAACTGTGCTAGCATCGTTTTGGTTAATGTCTGTTTCTACGTCTAGAATAGTGTACTCCTTTTGTTCTTCAGAAGTGTTCAAACTGGGCGAACGGAAGCAATTTACGATTTTGTACCTGCTGTTCTTCGAGGCTTCCTCGTGCTTCAATCTTAACTTATCCGTCAAGTTTACCGTGTGTTTTTTAAAATTCGCTTTCAACTCGTCGAGATTCGGCAGAACTTTGTTCTTCAAATGTTCGATAACGTGATCGGGTTCTTTGATTGTTCCAGCAAATTTCAGAACTGCCGTCGAATATGTGGAAGTACCTTCTTCGCTGGCGACAGTAGAGCTGCTATCGTCGATTTTTCGTTTCTTACATTCTAAGAAAAAGGCGTCCAAAGCGTCATTGTGGTCTTCTAAACATCTTTTCACTCTTATGATGGCCGCCATTTTTGTATTAATAACCCTTTATTTGTTTTTGTTTTCGAATTTGACATTTGACGTACTTCTATTTTCTTCTGTGTTAATTTGGTCTTTTATTGTTCAACTTCTAAGCGACTCAAGTAACACTATTTTTGGTTGCTAAACACAAGCAACTTACTACTTGTACTCTGCTTGGATAGATAACAAAATCTAAACAATTAATCGGTAATAATTTATTTTGTATTAACCGAGGTAACTCTTTAACTAATACGTAAGAGGTATCGTAGGTCAGTAACATCTGTCAGTGTCATTACTGTAGCCTGTCAAGTCAAGTCATTTTAAAATTTTATTTATATTTCAACAAAAATAATTCATTATAAGTACCGATTTTACTGTTTTATTCAAAATTTCTAGAATGTCAAGCACGAAATATGATGACATGCTATTCGAGATGTTAAAAGAATGTAAAACATTGCCCACATTTTTAGAAGAAATATTTGGTTTTCTTCAAAGAAGGTAAGGGCTATTTACTATTCATAACTGTTGAGCTATTTTTTATGAAATTTATAGGACAGACTTTTACCGTGTGGCAACCGAAGCTAATTCTCCTGTGGGACTACCAGAAGGCTTAGCAGAGAAGCTTGTGCGACAATCATTCTATAAGTTCAAACCGCCAAAAACGCCAAATATTTGTAATCTAAACGAGCTATCAGTGGCAAACGAAGAAATCGTTACAGAGACTATCAATGAAATTAACGAAGTAACTTCTTCAACCAAAGAAGACCCACAGGAGCTCGTTTTCTCCAAGTCAGATTGCTATAATGGAGGAGTTTTCGACAACTACTGTTGGTCCCAAACCATAACAGATATCGATGTTATAGTTAAAATACCCAAAAATTGTACGAGTAGAGATATCGAAGTGAAAATATCCCCCAACAACTTACACGTGAAGTTAAAAAGCGGCGAAGTTTTGCTTAAAGGGGACCTCCACAAAAAATGCAAAGCCAACGATGCAGTCTGGTCTGTGGACGGTCAGAAACTCCTGATTCACTTAGAAAAAACGCAGGAAATGTGGTGGAATTGCCTGACGAACAACGAACCTCAACTCGATGTATCCAAATTGGACTGTTCGCGACCTTTCGAGGAACTGACCGAAGAAGCTCAAGCCAAAATCGAGGAGTTGCAGTGGAATCAACAGAGGAAAATTTTAGGTCTGCCCACATCCGAAGAATTAGCCATGCACGAAACGTTAAAGAAGGCCTGGTCAGCGGAGGGGTCCCCGTTCAGCGGGCCCTTCGATCCCACTTGCGTTAAATTTAATTAATTCCTACCCAAAAAGTTGATGTCTTTGTTGGAGTATTAAGTAAGGGTTAAAGAATGTACCTAATCGGTTTATTGTAAACACATTTATTCAACATTTTTTTTATACCAATATATAATATATTTTCTTTCTGATTGGATACGTAGACTTATATATTCTTTAAAATTAATACAAATATAAAACATTTATAGTTGTCAACAGTAAAACATTTATAGAGATATACTGAGTATGTTGAGATCAGGTAAATTAGTATAAATCGAGTTGTATTGCCAGCATACTTTGAAATAAACATCGTTTTTAACAATCGTTTTGTACCTCATTTGGTTTTTGATTAGTACAAACTTGCAATTTTAGTTGTTTTGAACCCCTATTATTTTTAGTAGCTGGAAGTGAGATACAATCATCGTTAAAAGGATTTCCTATATGAATATCCTTCGTAAAACATCAACAACAAAACAAAATACATAACATCGACACAGGATATTTCCAAACGGTATTGTCGCATTCACCGACTATTTATATTATATGAGTAATTTTGTACCTAAATAATCTATCACAAAAAGTTTTTCTAATTTCTTAAAGTGTAAATACACAACTTTTTAGATTGAGCTAATCACCTTTATTAGATAATACGGTAGTTGAAGTTTGGAGCTACTCTAAATTACCGTAATCATCTAAAAAACTCTTCAGAAGCTCATTATATTTAATATGGTAAAAATATATTTACCGTTATCTATGATATTTTTATATGAACAACACATATTGACATCGAGTGATTTTATTTTTATAGTTTAAACGGTTCATTTTCAAACGCGTATTAAGTTTGTCTTGCTAATTATTTTACTTATTTCTTATCACACTTCGAAGCACGTACTTTGCTAATTTTTATATAAAATTCAGTCATTTATATAATACTCGAGAGAGGAATACGAAACGAATATCTATGAAGAAGTAAACGTATTTCGAAAACTACACCTGGTGCTTAAATTTTAATTTTTTTCTCAAAAAACGAACTTTTTTGATTTTTTGGTGAGCATTATTTTATTTAGATGGTTTTCGAATTATTCGTTTACTTATGCATTAGTATTGTTTCTAAAAATTTTCTTTGAAAATATGTCAGTTTGGAAAACTTTTGATACTGTTTTTCAAATATTCATGACTTCGAAAACTTCTATATTGACGTTATATTGTTTTACTTATTTACACATATCTCATTAATAAATTTTTAAGTTAATTGACATGGCCCAATATCGATTGGTCAACCATTTGTACAAAACGAGGAAATCCATCAAGTTCCCACCAAATTACTACGAACTTTTCCGTTTCCCAGCCACCACAGCGAATTAAATCGAATGTGTAAACTCAATAAAACAAACATTTTGTGCGTGTACAAGAACCTCACCAACCAACCATTTCCCACCCATCTTCAAACCCAATAATCCGCTCAAAGCGACACGACCTCTCCATCATCCGACACGATTCCTGCACCTTTACCCAGCCCGGGCTCCTTCATTTCCACCCCTTTCGCCGCGACGCTCCGTCACAGCTCGTCGGGCGGCTTCGACGACTGCCCCAGCACGTAGCCCTTGGTGAGCGGGCTGTGCACCACGTTCTGCGCCGAGAAGTACCCGCCGCTCTTCGGCTTCACGTGCCGATTGTTGCTCTCCATGTGCACGATTCGCATGAACTCTATTTGGGCGGCCAGTTTCTGGATCTCCTCCTGCAACACAACCGATAATATTCCACACAAATCACTCTACCATGTGCGGTACTTTGAGTTCCTCGTTCTCTTGGTAGAGGTCCGGAGCTTCTTCGGGTACCAATCCGATTCCGTTGAGCGAGAACGAGGCTGTTACGCCTCGCGATCTCGCTCGGCTGTCCCATTGGTCTCCTTGTCCTCTTAATACTCTTATAATCTGTAAAGTATATTTAGCGTGAACGCGCTAGCGAAATTAGTAATGAATTTACCTTCGGTCCGAACACCAAAGCTATAGTGGTGGATGTAGACAGCTGCGTTCGAATGAACCCTAATAGATATTTAATGTCCGGTCCGGCTCTTGGGAAAATAAACAAGCTGCAAATCGATCGAATTAGATAAAAGAAATTTCAACGCCAACGCGAACACTAACTGAAAAGCGATCATCATTATATTGACGATGGCGATGTTGTAAATCGCGTAGCTGATCAATCTGGCTTCGTTATACAGAGATTCAGCGTTTCTGACGTTGTAACAAACTCTAATACCCCACGCTAGGAATAATACCTCGCCTAAAAAAAAAACCAATGAAACTCGATGAAAAAAGCTTAATTGATAAATCACCTATAGCCAAACTGTGGTCCCACCAATTGTACATGCACTGCTTGAACCTCAAGTCGTTATTGTCGACTATATCCTCCGCGTTGGGCGTATCGGATAGAGTCCAAGTGCCCAGATATATCAGCATGACGAGCAGTATGGGCACCATCCACTGGAGCAGCTGCTTATCGGTCAGTTTCACTTTGTGCGCCGACTTGACGCGGTACGTCAACGACACCCTGTATATTATACCGGATTAAAAATTGTGCTTTAAAGCATTAACTTGTCGTACCTCCAAGTCTTCATTAAAAGCGCCGTGTAGGTAACGCAGAAACCTAAATGCCTCGTCCATTTGGTGGCTATGCACGAGTATTGGTCTAATATTGGAAAAATGGCGGCCATCTGAAAAGTTAATTTTATTTTTCGGGGTGGTAAGTGGTGTAGATGATTTACCTCTAAATACATCGTAGCGCAACCTAGTAGAGTGATGCTCAAGAATATCGGACTGGCCACTTTGAAGACCTTCAATTTTCTGTGTTTGTACATGTAGAGGATCAAAATTATCGTACACATCACGCAAATAATCGAAATCGATAACAAAGCAACCCTAAAATGTTTATATTTTCGTTAGAAAATAAAATAAACGCTCCGTTCGAGAAGAGTATACCTGAACGGCCAGTGATATGTAGCTAAACATGGCGATTGGTCTTTGCAAAAATGGCATCCAGGGGCGCATTTCCTGCATCTGAAGACGATTTCCCAAGCGTTACTGCTGCTCCTCAAATACTCAGACCAAGCGACTAAAATACGATATTTTATTTAGCACTAACATTATTGGCTTCAGCAGTAGCATCATTCAATTCCAGTTATCCCATTACTCGATTCGTACTAGTTGCGAAAGAAACGCTCTCTCGTAATAAAAGTCCGATAAATTTTTTTCCCACGTAAACCGGGACACCCGCGGGGAAAATCGATGGGAATAAAAAGGCTAATAAAAATCGAGATGAGCAGGGGATATTAGCGACCCGCGACATCTGCTCGAGCCGCCACCTGGCGGAAGGACCTGTTCCTGCTTTTTAGCGCGCTTTGCATACCGATTTTTCCTCGTACGATCATGTAAATTTACTCTCGCATTTCCTCCTGTTCTCAAGTCGACAGATTCGAATTAGACACAGTCGTTTTCGGACTGAATTAGCTCGCGATACAAAAAAAGAATGATGGAAAAAATCAATTAGTGTATGAAATATTGGATTGTTAACTTACTTTCCACTAGAGTTCCATTAAAAACGCCATTGTGATACTCGGAATAAAAGCCCTGTCTGCAAACGCATTGGTATTTTCCTCTCGTCCAGGATTCTTTATGCAAAAACGGTCGATAGACGCACTGGAAACGAGAAATAACTTTGCAATCTTTTGAAAGAAAATGAAAGAAAATCCCCTTTCTGCTCTACGTACGCTCCAATTTAATTTCTCGAACGGAACTCGATACCATAAAAGCGAACCTATCTCGTTGCACCCATCTTTAATAACATCATTATCCTTTAAGGCGCGCAATAACAATGTTAATTACGTCGGGGACGTCGCCCTGTTGCTGCTCCAGTCGCCCGGACTTCAATTTCGCCGTATAATTCGCGCAAAATTTACCGGATCATTAGCCGGTCCGTGGACGATGGAACTAAAACTCGCGAAATACGGCGAAGAATTCCAATTTCCGCGGGCGCTAAATTCATTTCCGCCTGCACACCGGTCAAAGTTAATTCCATCTTTACCAGCACATTCGGAGCTTTGCAGGAGGAAATTATCGCGATGCAAATTGCTTATTTTTCCCTCGCTTCCTTCTTTATTAACGCGCTTATTTTCGTAATAAAGAAAGCCGGATGAAGTACGAAAATATTAACTGTACTTATCGCAGTTTTCTCTTCCATACACTTTCTATATAGAGGGAAGCTTAACGCCTTCGAGGGCGGTGGATTTATCAATTTAACTGTGGATAAATGGGTTGTGTAATAAAATAATTGCGCTTACTTGGGTGGTGTAGTTGTGGCATTTGTGGGATCCGTGAAATATGGAGATTTCGTTATCGGAATGGTGGCTTCTGTGTCGTTCGCATTGGTTTATCTCCAAATGGGAAACGTCGACGTCTAAGCTGAGGAATCCTTTGAGCCTGCAACACAATTCCCCGCGAATTTAATCGATTTAATCGCGCTGTACGATTCGAGCCAGTCGATAAAAAGTGCGCCCATCGTTGCTCTGTTGTTGTTTACAAGAGACCTCTCGAATCCGCGATTTTGTAAGCGAGCGTTTATCCCCGATTAGTTTGAAAGAAATTTAAAGTACACAGATGAATTGTTTGTTGTATTTACGTCATTCTATTGATTATATATTTTGTAATAACACAATCGAAAACTTTAAGCGATAATAAACTAATCAGAGTCGTCGCAAATATCATTTATATACCATATATTAATTAAATTGTTTAATATTTATAACGATTTACTAGTAATAAAATTATATCTACAGAAAAATTCGAATTAGAAACCTGCACTATTAACAACTCCAAAATTTTATGGAGTAAAATTGAATCCGCAATCTTGTAATCTACGTCTCTGATTGTTGTTTCTCGTGTGATAATTATAGAGATAACGAGTTTATCAAGCTATTAAGCTCGAATTTGTATGTATATAATATTAAAACGGATCCGCAAAGTAATGAATTTGGTGAAAAAGGTGTCGCAGAACATTCTAGGTAACAATCCGAAAATGAGAATCGTGCAATTCCGATACGGCGATGATAAAACTAGGATAGGAGTGTTGAAGAACGATCGCGTGGTGGACGTCAACGCCACCGATCCCACCGTACCCTACTCGCTGGTGGAATTTCTGCAAACCCGCAACCCTCTGGACGCTCTTAAAAGGTACCTAAAATCGTGGCTGAATTATTACCGTATTCGAGGCCTTATACCGTTCTCTCAAGGATCGCAGGAAGCTCGAGCATCGAACACAACCTATCCGACGTGAAACTCCTCTCGCCCATCACCAAGCCGGACAAGATCCTGGGCGTAGCCTCGAATTACAAGTGCGACTGCACCAAGAGGAACATCCAGTTCCCGAAGGAACCCACCGTATTCACGAAATTCCCGTCGGTAATCACCGGTCCCTACGATGAAATACCCAAATCACCATCCACCAACGCACGTAAACTCCCTCCAATCCACCTCCGTGAAACTAAAGAACTAATTCTTTTTAGGCGATGGACTGGGAGATCGAACTGGTGGCGGTCATCGGGAAAACGGCCAAGCACGTGAAAGCCGCGGACGCCATGGATTTCGTCTTCGGCTACACCGTAACGCAGGATTTGACCGCCAAGGATTGGGTGATGAGGAACGGCGGGCAGCTGGTGATGTGCAAAGGCTTCGACGGATTCTGCCCGCTGGGCCCCTGGATCGTCACCAAGGAGGAGCTGGGCGATCCGTACGACGTGAGATTGAGGACGTGGATCAACGGCGAGCTGAAGCAGGACGGCCATTCCTCCAGCATGCTGCAGAGGATCGACAAGATGATCGAATATCTATCGAGGTAACTTCGATTTATCGCCTTCTGTAGGTGTTTTTATTGCGTTTTTATCGTGTTGCAGCGTAATGACTTTGCTTCCCGGTGATCTAATCCTGACGGGTACTCCGTATGGAGTCGGCGCGAGTCAAATTCCACCGCAGTATTTGAAGAGCGGCGATGTGATGGAGAGCGAAATCGATAAAATCGGGAAAATGTCGAATAAGATAGTGTAATGATTGAAAAATGTGAACGTTCATATTAAAACAGTACAATCGACATACAAAAATTTGTTTCCGTCGAGTTATTATCTCATTATTTTCGCATTGCCGAGGAATTGTTTGAGGAAGAAGTGTAGAGAGTAGAGAGTAGATAGTAAAGTAGAGAGAATAGAGTATCAGTTTGGGGAATTACTGCGTGTAAATTCATTGATTAAAGTCGATTAATTTTGCCGTATCTTCAATTTCCAGACAGCAAAAATACCCCATTTCCCCGTTTCTACGTCTCAATTACAATCCCGGCCGTTCGATAAACAATTTATTAAATTCATTCTAATCGAATTAAAACCCATCGAACGAGATAAATATTCCGGCCGTGGAAATTTTCGAAGCCGGGACGCCCTCGCTCCGGAATCCGGATTTCCCTTTCGCCGTATACAATTAACGTTTAGCGCAAATGAAAACAAACCTCCGAATCAAAAAATGTCGACTTACCCTCGCCTGCCGGGCGCCGGAATCGGCACGCTGTACGATATCAACCATTTTCTGCTCGAGCACGAGTAGTAAGGGAACGTCCACCAGCCCTTATACGCCACGTTGGGGGGGCTGTCGATGAATTTGGGCGAGCGAACGCCCGGGCTCGAATCCGCGTCTTCGTACCTGCAATAACACACCATCGATTTCGTAACAGCATCGCGTTATATCGCGAATTTACCATGGAAAATCGGCGTTGGGGCGACGTCCGATTTCCATGCCGATGTCTGCGAGTTTCTTGGGTTCCCCGACGTCCAAGCCTTGCTTCTGCCACCAAGCGCAGTTTATCAGAGACCCCGTGGAGGCGTTGATGGCCAATATGCGGGCCGATAGCACCGACTTATCGGCCACTATGAGGTTCTTCGACAGGGCGTCCTGCAATCCTGCAACGAAAATCACCGAAACATTCATCCAGGTGATGAATACATTGCTATCCGTCGACGCGATTCGCGTCGGAATTCTCGCTCGAACAGATAAAAACCGTTCCGTATATATTTTAATCCGGCGAATTTACGTAGCCGCCAAATAGATATAAGGTAATAATCGTTATCAGTACGCGTAATATACACACGCAGTTAGTCTATAAACCTTCGACGGTTGGATGCGGCTCGTCGGAGACGAGCACTTCGTTCAGTTCAAACGGCTTTCCGAACGAAACCATCCGGAATCGGGGGTTGGTGATGCGTTGAAGGGACTCGCCCGTTTCGCCGGTTCCTCGAAAGGAAACCAAAGACCAGCCCGATAGGAACATACGTAAGGTAAGAAATTTCTCTATCGATGCATTCGAATTCTTTTCGGCGGAGTTTGTTCGATCGGGAAGGGGTGTTTGGTTTGTAATTAGAGCGCAACTCCTAGTCGTTGTTCGGCTAGAATGCGTTTAATTACGAACCTACTAATTGGTGAAACGGGAATGCTGAAGGGTTGTTAACGGGAAAGCTCGAATTACAACAGTATGATAACTAAATATAAGCAGGTATTACAGAATGCGATCCAAAGGAAACACAAAATTACCTGTCGGAATTTATACATAGTAGATATGTAACAAATTATTGACTAAATAAAACAAATTCTAAATAAACTATTCGAAACGGCTAATAAAATACCAATAATTCGTCATTGTCACTAATTTTAGTAATTCAACAGGTAGTCTATATTGACGCATCATCCGGCATTTACCAATCAATTCGTTAATTAGACTAATTGACTTATTTTGTGTGAATGTTTTGAATGAAATTCAGGAATGTATATTTGCTGTATCATCGCAAATATCCCAAAGGAAGCGCTATTAATCCGCTGGAGATAAAAGCGATTAAGTAAATAAATAAAGAGACGTATTCATCGCTGATAATGATAGAAAAATTCGTTGCAATTCGATTAAAACCTGCAAAAATCAATTAATTGTTTCGGATCAAAAAACAACAATGTCCTAATTTTGTATAATGCTTTTTTACTGTCATCGCTAATGAAGATATCCAGATAAGAAATCCTTCTTATTTGAAGTGGGTTTGTACACATTTTAAAAGCATTCTCGCGATAAGATTTATTATTTGAATGCCATAATTCCTATTTATAACAGCAGTAGTTTCGGGTAAATATTTGCGGAAAAGAAACTCGGATATTAAAAAAAATATTTACAATCAAATTTTTATATTCACCGACTAAATAATACATGTCCCAATATTTTCTATCATCGTTTACTTAAATTATATGCTCGTACATATAAAAATATTTTATTCTAGTACATAAGCACACAAGATAACAGAATATTTAAAGTGGGACTTTTTAAATTAGAGAGAATATAGTACTCGATTATGAATTGTGTTTTTTGGTCTTTCGAGTGACTACGATTGTTAAATAATAATGCAAATAAAATAAAAATATCGATTCTAATGAGAGAAAATCGCATTAGACTCGAACTCGCGGTTAAAGTGTATACAATTAGCGTTGGAAATAGGGTAAATGAGGGTCGAATAATTCGATAACTCCTCTTACACCATTACAAAGTTTCGGTAAGTTTTGTTAATTGTTTACCAGTTAGTGTTCTAGTATTTAGAACACTAAGAAAAGCTACAAGGAACATCACAAACATCAATATCTAACTCTTTTCATTTAAATAAACATCTCGCGTTTTAAAGGATTAATCCATTATCTCATTACTAAGACGTATCATAGATATTTATCCTATCTAATCAGCCTGGTAAATTAATAAAATCCCATTACGATCACATTCAATAGCATAATATCCATGCCACACCGTTGAACTAGCGTCATTTCTATTCCTCCAGATGAACAACCGGCCGCCCTCCATTCCCTTTTCCGTCATACGCGAACTAAGATGTGGAAATTGCCGAAACGCCATCAGCTGCGCCCCGGTTATCGTTCTCTCCCACGAAGTCGTCCTGTGCGGAAGGTAAGCGCCTTCTATTATCTATTCAACCTTATCACTGCGGACGTTTTGCGGAAAAATAAATAGGGAGATTGCCCACCAAACTATTTAGTAGCTGTTTTTGGTGTGGAAAGTTTGAGCGTTGAGGTAGAATCTGTATGCTGTATGAAGAAATGTATAGTCGAAAAATATGCAAATTGGAGAAGTGGAAAATGAAGTTTTCCTTTTAAAATGTAATTAAAGCGAAGTTTCTAGATAGAGTAGTCCGGAGTTCGTTGAAAATGTAAAATTATGTCGCGATTTTCTCGAAAAATCAGAACACGATACAGAATCTTAAACTCGAAGAACTAGAGAACTCCAGGAATGATATTATTCAAAGGTTAAATTAATCACCATTAATTACAGTTCATTGCAAAGTTACAGTAACCACTGATCACTCAATATCTGTGCATAATCTCAGTTAGTATTTACCCAAAAATAGATGCCACAAAGTCACCAAAAACGGTTACCGCAACCACGCCTTCGAAGCCCTCGCCTCCATATTCCTCTACCCCTGCCGATACTGGAGCAACCACTGCCCGCGCATCCTCCAATGGAACGAATGCTTCGACCACGAGGAACGATGCTCCTACAGCTCCGGCTGCGGCCTCTTCTTCAAGCACCCCAAGGCGTTCGTCAAAGGCGCCCGAGACATGCCCTTCGATGGTAATCTCCTTCACTCCACTCTTATCCCAGCTAACCGCTTGTCTACATCCAGACGTCCGGCTGATACCCGTCCCGGAGACGCTCTTCGACCAAATCAAGTGCGTCCAGTGCGAGAGCTACCTCTCCTGCGAGCCGGTGCACATCCGCCCCGACGGCCGCAACCTCTGCCACCGGTGCTACAGCTCCAACGGCGCGCCGGGCGAGTGCCTGCGCAACGTCGCCTACGAGATGGTCTCCAACATCCTGGTGTTCCCGTGCGTGTACCGGAACCGCGGCTGCCCCACTCGGCTGAAATTCGGAAGGGATCTCTGGCACCACGAGAGCGAGTGCTCCTACAACCAGATGTACAGGAAGCCGGAGAGGAATGCATCGAAGAAGGAGCGCGGCGTTATACAGACCCATTCCGGACACTATTACGGTGAGTGTGAATGGTATAATCGTATTGTAGATGGATATTTATGGGTTGATTCAGGTACTATAACGCCGTATTCGGCGCCGTTTGCGCCGCCATCCACTAATTCCGAGTTCGACATCAACAAAGAGCTGGTGAAGTCGCTGAAGAAGCAACAGGAGAGGAAGATGATGAAAGCCGAAGAGATCAATTCCGCTATATTGGACAATTCCTCCGTAGAAAACAAGAGCTCGTCGAGCGAATACAGCACGAGGTACTGTATATACTTTTTTTATTGCGTTGTTAATTGCGAATTTATCGGAAACTTCCAAACCGAAATCGACGGCGAAGGGAAAAACTTGGATGTTTGTTGGTTATTTTTTTTAAAGCGATCCCCGGAGTTTTACCTTGACGAGGGTGACTCTAAATGTCCGTGAAAACAAAGAGCCGCGCTTATCTCGATCTTTCTCATCCAATTTCGCGCATGTTATATCAGGAAATTATCTGTTCCCAAGTACTATCAGCATGTTCTACCAGGAGATCCACCGTTCCCAAGCAGTATCAGCAGATCGTATTTCCAAATTCTTGTTAACGCTGTGAGAACACTTGTTTTGCTAATTCTAACATTGTAATTTTTCCAGTCAGTTCATGATTAGATTTCGAGTAGTTTAAATCATAAAAATTATAAATTGTAACTTTCAGTTTTTGTAGTGAATAAAATTTTTTTAAAAACTATTTTTGAAGTAACGGAGTTATTTCTGGCGCAGTCAGTAGGATATCCGGGAATTCACGTATCGAACGCGGATTTTTCGTCGAAACGATTGACTGGATATCGAACCGTATACGTGTTGTATCGTTGTTAAGTGTTGTACCTGGGCGGCTCCACAAAAATCGGGAACCCTATCTTGAGTACCAGAGCAATTCAATCAGTGATACATCGGGGATTGGAACAAAATCGTCCAATTTCGCAAGGAGAACCAACCATCTACAGAGAAGACTACATCGCGGACCTGTAGTGGCCATCATCCTTACAGTTAAGAGAGATATGTACAAGATATTGATGTTAATGTGAGTACAATTTAATTTTATGGCAAATTCCTATGAGAATAGTAAAAATTGGTCAATTAGAAATCAAGTAGAGCTTTTAACTGACTCAGACGAAGAACCAAATCAAGTAATCCCAATTATTAGTGCTTTAAACGAAATCGAAATCATGGCTCAATTCAAACCTGATTATTTAAACTGCATCCCCGAATTCGACGGGAGTCCCAATGACTTAAATAGATTTTTGACAACCAGCGAATCAGTGCTAAGTGCATTTTATGATGCGGCGAACCCTAACAATTTTCAAAATGTTTATTTGCTAAATTCCATAATCCAAAAACTACATGGCAACGCTAAAAAGGTTGTAAATATTCATAATGTAACCACTTGGGATGATTTAAAAGCGACCTTAACGCGCACTTTTGCAGATCAAAGGGACGAAGCATGTCTAAACAGAGATTTGGTTATGCTTCGTCAGGGTAATGAAAGTCCCCAAGAATTTTACGATAAAGTATTGAATATTTTGAACCTATTGTGCAGTTACGTCGATTTACACGAACCAAATGCTAATGATAGGCAATCAAAAAGAATTTTATACAATAGTTTAGCCCTAAAAACGTTCCTATCCGGTCTAAGAGAACCATTGGGTACCATCATTCGCTGCATGCAACCCCAAGATTTAAGTCAAGCCCTTCAAAAAGTTTTAGAAGAAGGAAATACACGATATTTTCAAAATTTCAATCGACAACCCAACAGACAATCATTTTTTGACACCAAGACGAATAGAAATAACAACTTCAACCAAAACCAAAACAGGAACCCTCCTAACAATTTCTATCCTAGACAAAACTTTCAAAACCAATCCCAAAGATTCCAAAATTTCCAAAATAACTTCCAAAATCAACCTCAAAGATTCCAAAACTTTCAAAATCAACCCCCAAGATTTCAAAACTTCCCCAACAACTCCCAAAATCAAATAGCTCCCCAGTCGAGACAAAACACTAACGTTTTTCGACCGAACCCGCAACAACAGTTAGACAAACCCACACCGATGAGTATTTCCACAAGAAATACATTTGCCCCTACACAAACCAGAAATTTTAACCGACCTCCATTCAGACCACAACAAAATCAAAGAAACTTTATCGCTGAAGAACTGTTCAATGCCGATTGCGAAGACCCCAACTCACCCGATGGAAATTTCATATATGATAATAATACGCAACCCCATCCGAACGACGTCGAAGTTGACGATTTGATTGACCTTTCCGAATCAAACGAGAATTTTCAACGGGCACCTCAAACCAAAAATCGGAGGTAACCACAATACATCTAAATAACATTAACCCCAGCATATTACCCTACATCATCCTCCCCGAACAAAATTTAAAATTATTGATCGACTCTGGTTCAACCAGATCCTTCATAGATCCAGATATTGCACATCGCTTTTTCTCCGACCAAATCCGATGTGACCCCTTTGTAGTTACCACAGTATTACAGAAATCCTATCACGACTATAGTACCCTGATACCGACATCAAAAATATTTAACTTGCCGAGTTCAACTAGTATGAAATTTTTTGTATTTAGATTTCATAACGTATTTGATGGGCTCATAGGCATGGATAATTTAATGCTCTTAAAAGCACACCTAGATCTTGAGAATCATTATTTAGTAACCCCACACGCAAGAATAAAATTATTATTTCTTGAAACACAAAAAGAAATAAATTTAACAACGGTTTCTGCGAGAAACCAACAAGTAATAAAAGTAAAAACTTCAATAGAAAATGGCGAAATCATCATACCTTATACAAAAATTCAAAATTGCGAAATACCTGAAAATATTACAATAGCTAGAAACGGAGAAGCCTTTACAACCATTTTAAACCCCACAACTCAATCAGTAATATTAGACCTATCACAACCTATTGAAGCAGAAAAATTTGAAAATCATGAAATAAAAACGGAAATAGAATTAAACAATATCTACGACTATCCATTCCAGAAATTAGACTTAAATAAAATTAGAACAGATCATTTGAATGTAGAAGAAAAATCTGCAATTTTAAAAATCTGCCGAGAATTTTCCGACATATTTTACAACGAAAACGACCCACTTACATTCACAAATAGAGTTAAACACCAAATTCGAACATCAGATGAAATCCCTATTTACACAAAACCTTATAGATATCCCTTTATATATAAAGAAGAAGTGCAAAATCAAATAAAGAAAATGTTAGATTCAAAAATAATTAGACCTAGTAATTCACCTTGGTCCTCCCCAATTTGGGTAGTCCCCAAAAAACTAGATTCATCAGGGAAACGTAAATTCAGAGTAGTAATAGATTATAGGCAGCTAAATTCAAAAACAATTGACGACAAATACCCCCTACCCAATATAACAGATTTGTTGGATAAATTAGGAAAATGCCAATATTTTACTACTCTAGATCTCGCCAGTGGCTTCCACCAAATCGAGATGGAAGAAAAAGATATCGAGAAAACTGCGTTCACTACGGAAAACGGACATTGGGAATTTTTGAGGATGCCCTTTGGATTGAAAGGAGCACCAGCTACCTTCCAACGCGTTATGGATAATATCTTACGGGGTATCCAAAACGAACAATGTCTCGTTTACCTAGACGATATCATTATCTTTTCTACTTCATTGCAAGAACACCTCGAAAGACTTAAGAATGTATTCCAACGACTTCGAGAATCAAATTTCAAGATACAGCTCGATAAATCCGAATTTTTACGTAAAGAAGTTGCTTATCTAGGCCACGTAGTAACCCCAGAGGGGGTCAAACCTAATCCAGATAAGATCAAAGCAATTAAAAACTACCCAATACCAAATACCACCAAACAAATTAAAGGTTTCTTGGGTCTATTAGGTTATTACCGTAGATTCATCCCCAATTTCGCAAAAATCACGAAACCATTAACGAAATGTCTAAAAAAGGGCGCAAAAATTATACACGATGAAGAGTTTTTGAAATGTTTCGAAATTTGTAAGAATCTCTTAATCAACGAACCCATATTACAGTATCCGGACTTTTCTAAAACGTTCAACCTTACGACCGACGCTAGTAACGTAGCGATAGGAGCCGTGTTATCCCAGGGCCCTATCGGAAAGGACCTTCCTGTTGCATATGCATCACGAACCTTGAACGAATCAGAACAAAAATACTCCGTCATAGAAAAGGAACTCTTGGCCATAGTATGGGCCACAAAATATTTTAGACCCTATATTTACGGCAAACGTTTCAATGTCATAATGGACCACAAACCTCTAAAATGGCTATTTTCTCTAAAGGATGAAAATTCAAAGTTCACCCGTTGGAAACTAAAACTATCCGAATACGACTTTGACATCACCTACAAAAAGGGACAATTAAACTCAAACGCCGACGCACTTTCTAGAATAGAAATCCACACTAAAGAGACAGATGACGAATTCTGGAAGAAGGTAGACGAAATACTAAAGGAATCTGACGATTATTGTCAAACAAACCGAAACCTGTTTCCTCCAATGGTAAATTCCAATGAGCAACCCCAGTACTCTCCAACGTCCGACTTCCTACCCTTAAACAACAATCGTACCACCGATAGAGACATAGATAACGTCTCCCTTCTAGTACAACCTAATACAGATATCTATAGTGAAATCGAAGACATACAAGAACCGCCACAAAACGACGAATTGTTAAATCAGCCATCGACATCATTTAACGAACCCAATCAAATTCATAGAAATAGCTTACCTAACGATTCCGACGACGATCAAACTATTCATTCCAACGTTGAACATAACCCAACGTTTGAAATTCCTACCACATCTGCTGCTATCAATTTAGCTCAAAACCAAATCATAATTAATTCTGTCCACCATTCTCCAACAACACCAAAAACCACAATATTATTCGAAAAAAAGAAACGAATAAACGTCCAACTCTCTCAAAATAACTTTGAAAAAGATATTATCGATTTCATTAAAAATTATATTAACCCCGATACGCAATACTATCTATATTTCGAAAACCCAGACACATTCGAACCATTCTTAGTAACATTACAAAAATATTTTAAATATTCCACACTAAAACTTAAAAGATGTACTAAAAAATTAATCGACATAACAAGTAAAGACGAAATAAAAGAACTAATCCAAGCTTACCACGAGGGCAAAACTAACCATAGAGGAATAGACGAAACTCATCAAAGAATGAAAGACAAGTACTATTGGCCGACAATGAAAAATTCCATTCAAACATACATAAACGATTGCGAAATTTGTCAATTAAGCAAATACGAAAGGAATCCAGTGAACATAAGAATGAACCAAACACCTACCGCAACCAAACCTTTTCAAATCGTCTTCATGGATACCTTCACCATAGAACAAAATAAATTCCTCACGGTAATCGACAGCTTCTCGAAATACGCCCAAGCGTATCCCTTAAAATCCTTATCCAGTACAGAGATTGTCGATGGTCTGCTAACATTCTTCTCTCATCACGGTACTCCAGAACAGGTGTACACTGATAACGGGACAGAGTTTAAAAACTCTGTAATTTCAGAATTGCTAAGTTTGCATAAAATTAAAATTCATTTTGGTTCACCTGATCATCCGCAATCTCAAGGAAGCATTGAACGCCTACATTCAACCATAATAGAACACATTCGCTTGCTCAACTCAAAGGGCTTCCTTAAGAGCCCAACCTCTACAAAAATGACTTGTGCTATACTCGCCTACAATCACACTCTCCATTCTGCCACAAAGTTAAAACCAATCGATGTAATAAATGGGCACATCAGTTCAAATGACCCATTTAATATGGACATCGACAAAATTCTTCTAAACGACTATATTCAAAATCACAAAGATCGCACAAAAATCCTTTATTCCAAAATAAACGAAGATCTCGTAAACGAGAAACAACAAAGAACCGAAAAAATCAATAATGATCGCGACCCACCTGAAATTTTTAAAGAAAATCAGACAGCATTCATCAAAATTCACAAAAGACAGAAAACAGCTAACAAATTTAGTAAACCTACCAAACTTAAGACAGTAAATGCAGAAAACAAAACCGTTTCGACTAACACCCAACCAAAAATTCACATGGACAACCTAAAACGTCCACTTCAAAAAACCTTTGATTTCGAAACTAACTTTAACCAACTGTTTTCAGTTTATCCGGAGTCCTCGGTATTCCGGAACGAGTAGATATAAGGAATTTAGAAAATGCAAATGTTCTCAAGTTGAGTAAAATGCACCTAGAATCATGAAGAGTAGTTATTTCCTTCATGAATTAAAGCTTATAGAAAGTAGATTAGAAAAAATTAAGTTACCCTAGATGTAAGTTTAAATAATCTTTTTCTTCTAGAAAATTTAGTAAAGATTGAAAGTTACTCGTCCAAAAATAGAATCAATTTTATATTGCAAATTCCAATTACCTATCCATTCACAGTAGACCTATATCATTTGTATTCAATACCCATTCTTCAGAAAAGTCAGTTCAAAGTTATAATTCCAGAAAACAAATTTTTAATAATCAACGAATTGTACTTTGCATTCACTGATAACAAATGTACAAAAATCTCTGAAAAACTGTGTCTCTGCGATGAGACCACCACTAAAATCCATTGCCGACAACAAGAAGAAATTCTGAAGCTGCGGGGTACATACCTATTCGAAATTCCATTGGGATGCCAGGTTGAAACCAACTTCAAAAATATCATCAACGAGGAACTCGTCATCGATCCCAGCCAAACGATTTTGTTTCCGAACATACCGCTTCCAAATCTCGAGGAACAACCCGAAAAGTTCGACATCGAATTCGAAAATATAGACTTCGATGAGCTTCAGGAAATCCGAAACGAACTAATCAATAACCAACCCGTCTTGGAATCATCAATACCATCCAGTACACCCAGTATCTGGACGATCATCATCTACGGGGTCAGCATCCTCCTCATCTGTTTCATAGTCTACAAGAAAATTTTGGCCAAGAAGAAGAAGGCTCCAAATCATCGCCAAACCACCGAATTATCGAACGTTCAACTCCCTCAGTAACTTCGGGACTTGAATCTCAGGGGGAAGGTGTTATATCAGGAAATTATCTGTTCCCAAGTACTATCAGCATGTTCTACCAGGAGATCCACCGTTCCCAAGCAGTATCAGCAGATCGTATTTCCAAATTCTTGTTAACGCTGTGAGAACACTTGTTTTGCTAATTCTAACATTGTAATTTTTCCAGTTAGTTCATGATTAGATTTCGAGTAGTTTAAATCATAAAAATTATAAATTGTAACTTTCAGTTTTTGTAGTGAATAAAATTTTTTTAAAAACTATTTTTGAAGTAACGGAGTTATTTCGCGCATAAAGTCCCCCGAATTGCCGCCGCTTTTCGTGTTTACCGATCGAGAGAGCGAGGAGAAAAAAAAGCGTCGGAATTTCGCGCGATTCCCGTCGAACCGGACCTAATCCGTTCCGGCGGAAAATCCAGTTAGTTATTTCCAATAAATATTTATATGCGATGAGTGTTTGATTCGCAGATCGGACGAGCCGCAGACGCCGCGAAGCGCCTACTCCGACAACTTCGCCTACACCAACGGCGTCCGCGACGATCCGGAGGCCGATTCCGGGGGCGGCGAGCCGCCGCCGGCGAGCCGCAGGGGCAGCAACGACGGCGAGCGGCACCTCTCGCGCGCCAATTCCTACATCTACGAGCCGGTGTTGTACAAGGGCCAGAAGTCGCCGCTGCAGGATTTGGACTACAACCTGCTCGCCGGGCATTATCCGGTTTTTTTGAATCCCTACGGGCAGGGAATTATCCCCAAGCCGTCCTTCAGGAGCGCCGTCAGAACTGACAGCTTTCTGAACAACAAGGAGCTGATCAACGAGCTGAGATTGAAGCAGCAATTGAAGGCGAGGAGCGCCGAGAAAAGGGACGCCGATAATAGTCCGTACAAGGAGTGCAATAATTTAGAGGAGATTTTGCAAGCGCATAACAATATTGGGTAATTTCAAACGATTTATACAGGGTGTCCCAAAATCGACGTCAGAAAACAAGGGCACCCTCTACAAGCTTCTGTTCTCAATCAGTATTTGAATGGGAACAAACAATCCCTATTTATTCACTTTGTAATGGTAATTTATGATTAATACATTGATATTTAATAATTAGTATTGTTTACTTGTAAAATATAATAATTTTTTCCACGTCGTTTAGCACAGTAGATACTTATTGTAATTTATTGATAAGATGATGTGAAATATATTTTTATTAATAAATACTTGGAATCTCTTAATATTGGAGTATTTTTATATTTTACAATTACAACAAACGAAATAGAAACAATTAGTACGGCGTCTTATCTTAATAAATTCTTCGTTGTCATCTTTATTTTTCGCCAATAAATGTTTACTAGTAATGAATGAATCCGATAAGTGAGTATCAACTACATTAAAACGAACTCTTTAAAATTTGCAAGGCCAGTCGATTCGGCACAATTAAATAATTTCCCGAGATTAACCGAATTAACAACGGTGTGTGTTAAACTTCGAACCGTTGTCGGGTTTCAACTCGACGAGAAATTACCCGATACAACGTGTAGGTGTAGCAATATAAGTTCTAATCCCGCGATTTGCTGGATGCTCGCAAATTCGTTCGTTATCAACGCGACCTGATAAGGTTTTGATGAAACCTAATCCATTAATGCCGGCGTTCGATTACCGCGTGTACTTCCAAAACGATAAATTCGTCGGCAATTGGAATTTTTCAACCGCAAGCCACGTGGATATTGGCTCGATATTACACAAAAGAGGCATGCTCAAAGGCAGAATTCGAATTGATCAAAGATCACCTGTGGAAAGGGAGCAAGATATGATTTTTTTTTGAGTTCTTGATGAAATTTTGATTAGTAAATACGGCTGATAAAAACGCCCATTCACATCCAACACATCGAATTTATTATACGGATTTTGATCGATACTCCATACGCCTTTTTCCGAACACTCTCTTTTATATAAATTCCCGCCCTTATATATTATACATAATGTATTTTTTCATGTTGTTCGCAATCCAATCGGCGCGTTCATCCGGGTTAGACTGCCGTGAAAAAATCGCCCAAATAGAGGAAGGAATCGATAAAATGACAGTTTATTACGTAACGAGTTTTACAGGCGTAAAGGTGAAATTGTCGGTGAATACAACGGAGTCCTGGGGGAAATAAAACGACGGAGCGCCCGTAAATCCCGCGCTCGTCGCCGAGAAAACGGCGGAAGAAACGCCCTTAAAGCGCCTCTGCACGTCCGTTTTGTACTCGAGAAGGTGCTTATTGGGTATTAAGCATTAAGCTTTTAAGGTAGACTGCGATCGATCTCGAGATATAATCGTTAATTAACCCGTTAACGTCTTCCGAGTTTCGCGAATATCTCGACGGATATTAGAAATGTTTCAATTTTCCTCCGTTTCCACGCCGCAAGAACGCCAAGATTTCCAAACTTAATACAATAGGTTGAGGTAAAGGAGCCGGATTTTCTCATATACAGTGTCAAATACAATTTTAGATGAAATTTTGCAACGAAAACCAATTCTGATATCATAAATTAGCAACATTTCTCCATCGAAAAACCCTTCGAAAAGACTCTCCATCGAAGTCCTGCGGCGTCTTCGGAGAAATAGAACGAAAAAACTAAAGCTTTGGCCTTACCGTTGTGATGGGCGACCCCCAGGTCCTGCAGGAGCGTGGCCGCCAGATCGGCCTTCTGCCTGATGGGCTCGAACCTGGAGGTGTCCAGCGGCACCGTCAGCGAGTCGAACTGCTTGGTGACGCAGAGGTCCCCCAGGCTAGCGATGGCCACGTCGTGGATGCTCTCCAAGCTCGATTCGACGTTCTCCTTGCAACGAAAATACATTTTAAGAGCGTGACATTGAGGAATGACGTTTGTTTTGTACATTTTTCACGGTAATTTCTCTTTGCTTTTAGGGCGTAATTTTAGTGGATTCGGTCTAATGATGGGGTATTAAAGTTAAGCGTAGGGGATTTATGTATTATTAATTTGTACGTCGGTTGAAGTTTTTGTTGTTGTAAATTACCGAGCGGGATCTATTTCGGTGTATTATATGGAAATTCGAAAGGCGAGTGTGGGACGATTCGTGTTCGGACATTAAATTTTTCTTTTTGTGTCGCATTTTTATAAGAGTGAAAGATATTTCCTCTCGGGGGAGCGTATATAAAGGTTTTTTTTTCACTACATTGTATCCGCCTCGTGTTTGTTTACATATTGCGCTCGATATACTTTAGGTGATTCTCACGTGAATTTATTTCAGCGGGGAATGCAAACAAGAAAAACCGCGTCATTTTTCATACGTTTCCGACTTTCCGGCTACAACCTGTTCGAATTTTCCTCCGGACTTTGATATATCGAACGGGAAATTTCATACGCCGTGGATTCCATTAGAAATAGTGGCTTTTTCATGAAATGCAACTTTGTGAAAAGCGCAATAAAACGTATCTGATCCGGGGCGCTTTTATTATTATTACATCAAGCTGTTTATAGTCAATAATTCCGCGACTTTGCGTCGCCGGCATGCCCGTTTTATATCCCAGTACTCACAACTCGGCATTTCCTGTAAATTAATTTACATCCTTTGTACAACGCGAACCGGAAATTATAATACTTCAAAACGAAAGTTTGTTCTTGCTCAAACTCTCCATCTATTTATGCTATCTAATTATACACTCGACTTTTTTTCCTGCAAATTAGCAACACACTCCTGTGCATACAACTCCCCCAAGAGAAACTTCCCCAATTTTCCCGGAGTTATTTGCTGAATCTAAAGGATTTTTAAATTAAAATTTTCAAATTTTGTGGGTAGATAATTCGAAACTAGCTAATTTAATAAGCAACAGTTCAACGCGAAAACTCCCATCTCTATTAAACTCTAATTGTAGAGCGAAAAAATACGAGAATTCTCGTCCGGCTCCACTAAAACAGAATAATTGGCGGGCTCAACGTTCCAAATCCGAATTTCGGGTCCAACAAAGGACCCGTAAGCTTTTCATAATTACTCCCACTTTGTATACATTAAACTTCGTTTGAAAAGGTTTAGCAGGTACGTAATTTATATTGTAGCAGTCGGATAAAAGCCGGTGTAATAAAACGTGCATTAAAAAGGATATCGATTGATATTATCCAACTCTATACACCCAGATTTTTAGAGCAATTTCATTGTTCCGATCGTTTATGACTAATCTGCGAAGTGTATGAATAAGTACATACCTTTCTGACGAGCGCGTTTCCTCCTGAAAGAACGAAACTGCACGTAATTACGATAGCGAACGTCCGAAATTTCCAGACGAAGCTCTTCTCCATCACGCATCCTCATTGATTCTGCAACAAAAATTCCAGCGTAAAATTCTCTCTATTGTACACAAACAAACACTAAACTCGAGTTAACGCGTTAAATTTATCGCTAACGCAACCGCAAAGATAACGTCATCTTAACGTATTTATAATTAATTCGTTGTGTGAGAAACCTCATGGATGAGCGAGTAATTAGCTGCCTTAAATGTAGAAAATTCTTCGATCCTTCGGCTAGGTATTAAACCATCATCCCCGGCTCGGCTCGAGCGCGTCGCGACGCGTCGATACACGTCTCTCTACACGTCGTCGGCGGAGCTTTTGCCCAGCCAGGCGTGTAGCTCGGCCAATTTGAGAGGAACAAAGTCCCGTCCCGCTTTCGATCCAGCGCTCGCGGTTATTTTGGTTCACCCTTCGACTGGAAAATAACTCCCGTGTATAAGGATGGCCTAATCTACTGATTTTTATACCTAGATGTCCATTGAATACGGTGGAATTTGTAGCAAATTGCGGTCTATTAGATGACGCAGCGGAGGAATTTCGTAAATTTCCGATTAGCGGAAATTTATTTCCCTTAGTTCGAGATTAAATTGAGAAAGTCGCTGTAATTAATGATCCGGTTTTAAAGACTTTCCGTCCTTTCGGAGCCGACGACGAGGCAATATCGTCGAGCGAGCTTCCATTAAGCGTGATCTATGGAAACGTCGGGACGATTCGAAATTGCATACAACAGTCGTTCGAATAAACTAATATTTACTTATCATAGTGTTACAAATTTTTATGTCATCGCTCGGCGGATTTTTCCCTCATCCGTTTCTGCATCTCGGCGGATTTTTCGGCGTTCCGGCGGCTCCGCAGGAGGTGCTCCCGCTGCTGGCACTTCGCCTTCAGGTCGTGGGCGCCGTTGCAGGCGCCGAGGAATTTCTTGAAGGGGTTCTCCCTGTGGCAGCGCTTCAGCTGATCGACGAAATAGTCGCATTTGTCGTCGTGCAATCGCGAGAGATCCGCGTGCATGGTGCTTTGACAATCATTGTCAGTCGATCGAAATTTCATCGATTAACCCCAAAATATACCGCAGCAGGAAAAATCCAGTAATCGGAGAAATAAATAAAAATCGCGGCGTTATTTAGCGGTAAAATTGACCGCGCTACATCGATACGTTCGAGTTATCGAATTAAATCAAAGCCCGGCCGAAGTACCCAAGTAGAGAGAATTATTCGCAAATTAAATTCGCTTCGACGGTGATTAATAATAATTCCCGTTCGGTCGCGGTCCTTCGACGCCCGGATTTAGTTTTTAATGGAGCGGAACGGGGACTAATAAGGAGAATTCGGGTCGGGTTTCGAGATCCCGTAAGGTTTGATTAAAACCTCCGACTGTTCCGTCGAGCACGTCCTCGACGAATCGGCCCGGCAATTAATTAGATCGAATTTCGAATTGCGCGCAAAAATTTCACAGCCCGAAATATCCCTTTTGTATCGAACAAATTTCAACCAGTAGAAGCTGAGTAAATTATGCTCCGTTCGCCATTAGGAGAAGCAAATATTTTGTTACTATACATCTCCTAATCGCGAACGGAGTATATATTTTAATGTAACAGGTATAAAGTAGGAAATTTATTCAATAAATATCTGGAACGCGAATGAAATATATCTCGAATTGGCTATTGACGGGAGCATGCCGGTACAATTTCCGTACCTGGAATGGGAATAATGACGTATATATGTAAATATATCGATTTAGACGAGAGCTGGTCTTAGAATTCCATTTCCATATCAATCGTCGAAGACGGGGGTAGATTAAACGAAACGTCGGAAGTATTCGGGATATCGGCCTGGTGCAATAAAGTCGGATTTACAATTGTATCTACCAATCTGCAATCTCATCGTTCAATTTTCATTCAGAAAGCGGGCGAGAGCGGGCAATCCCGTCGGTTTAAGCAGATTAAATTGGCGTTATCGATTTTTAATGAAGCGATCCGCCAGAAGAAATCTGAAATGGGTTTGCGACCTTCGACAAGAGCCATTTACCGGGCTCCCGGATCGACGGCTGGCGATCGCCTTCAATTCCGTTCGACGATCTCTCCGGCTAACAAGATTCCCAGAGTAGTTTCCCCGACGAAAATTACTTATAGAGAGGCCAGCGGTGTAATTGAAAGTGCCGATTACCCGGAGAACTTCCCGTAAACAACTCACGAGTTTCTGTTCGGCTACAAAAACCACGAATTCGAAATGTATAAGATTTTATGTGGAGCCCGAAATAACCGTATTCAGCGCTTTTTTTCCTTCTTCATAAACTTTACTACCATCGTAACTATTCTCTTTGGATGGTTATTACAAAATAATCGCTTTATCTTGACTAAAGCGCTTTTTCAACATCCCCTGTAATTATTGACTAATGAAATCCATCTCTCATTGTTTCCCGTACTTCATTAAGGTCCTTTTGAAACAGTATCGGTGTCAATACAGACTCATTAAAATATAGGATAGGTTCGGAAAAAGAAGCGAAGGATTTTTTTGCGAGTTGCCAGTTATATTTACTCTACCGTCGAGCTTTTAAAAGCTTACAGATCCTTCCGCGAGACCCTTTTAGATATAATAAAATATCCGAAACACTCGGAATATCTCACGCAATTCCTTTCGGACTTCCCCTTAATCATCCCCTTTCTTGTTTCGACCCTTTTTCTTTCGTTAATTCGACGCGATGGCGTGTCGCTTAAAATTTATACAAATGGCTTTTTTAATCGGTATATAATTCCCATCCTCACCTCCAATCAGCATGAAAAATTTAATTTCGCTATTTTTCTTTCGCGCTCTTCTCCTCGAGCCCCGTATATATCTAATTAGTGCGCTCCGGAGATGTAAACTCGTTAGTTTCCAAGAACAATTTTCCAAGAACCGAGCAACAAAAACACATAAAGGTTTTCGGGTTTAATTGGAAGGGCTCGATACATTTCCCAAAAGGTTAGAGCGTCTCCAAAAATAACACGACTAGACCAAGCCGGGGAAACCGTTATCACGCTTTCCTTTTAGCCCGACGCGTTTTCCATTTTTCGTGAATTTTTAACAGTGCTTCAAGAGGAATTTCTGAAAGTGGTGTCCTTTCTGAACAATCGATAATATTACTAACGACACGTTTAGACAGAAGAAGAATTAAAAAGTTATCTAACTGTATAAATGTCATCTGAACATCAATAATGGATGTGTCATTTCAAGTTTTGGAAGGAGAGGATGTGCTGAAACCCATTCTACAGCCCGCGGCACCGCCGCGATTCATCCTCGAGGAGTTGATAGAAGAGAGGAAACTCACTCTAGATGAAGCCTCCAAAGGATTGAGCACCCTCGGCAAGGACGAAAGCGGCGTTAGATACGCCTATTTGATGCTAACCGCGGCCGATATGATGCTCACCGATATCTCGGTAATAACCAATTACAATCACTTGCTCTTCGTCGATGTCAGAGGAAATTTATTGAACCTGGACGCCCTGCAAGTACTAGCCGATATTCCGTTTTTGTTGTTCATCAGAGCGGAGAGAAACCGGCTGGAATCCGCCGCTCTAAAACCCATGCCATACCTACAAGTGCTCATCCTAAACAGCAACGCCATCATAGAAACCGGAGAGATCCACCAACGGATGCTGCACACTCTAGAACTATCAGAGAACCAGATATTCACCGCCCAATTCGTCCCGGACCAACTCGAATCCCTCAAGGAGCTATCGATGGCTGGCAACCACCTGCTCGACACCTCCGGCACGTTCCCCGCCAACGTCGAGAAGCTCTACTTGTGCCGCAACAAAATCGCCAAGATCAACACCAACTTCGCGCTGCTGCCGAAGCTCCAGGTGCTCCACCTGCGCGGCAACAACATCAGGAAGCTGTCGGGCTTCTCGCCGCTCTCCGAGAACCTCACCTACCTCAACCTGCGCAACAACAAGATCACCAAGATGCGCGAGTTCCGCAAGCTGGGCTGCCTGCCCAACTTGGACACGCTCATCATGTCGGAGAACCCGGTCTGCGAGCAGCAGCTCAAGCAGACGGCGATGAAGGGCGAGAGCGACCGCGGCCTGACCACCGACAGCGACGAGGACGAGATGTCCGGCGAGGGCGACGACGCGCCGCCCATCGACATCGTGCGCGTCCGGCTGCTGGCCATGCTGCCCGACCTGAAGCGCATCAACAAGGAGCAGGTGGGCGCCGAGGAGCGGCTCTACGCCGAGACCAACAAGCAGGCGCTGCTCGACGATGTGTTCGTCGATGAGAGCAGCGAAGAGGAGACGGAGTTCGTTACGACGAATTACACGAGCGAGTTCAGCGATTTGGATTTGGATGGGGCCGGGCATCCGGTCAGCGAGAAGAGCGAGGATTTCTACTCGGAAGCCGGCGATTTTCGTTAATGTTTATACACACTGCCCAGTATTCAGCGCCTCTGTTTAACTTTGAGTGACTCTTTAGAGTGACATTTACATTGTTGTTATGGAGTAACTAAGGAGATTATTCCAAATTGACAGTTTTACATTGTTGTTATGGAGTAACTAAGGAGATTCTTTCAAATTGACAGTTTTACATTGTTGTTATGGAGTAACTAAGGAGATTCTTTCAAATTGACAGTTTTATATTGTTGTTATAGAGTAACTAGGGACTCGAGACTTTAGAGTCACGCTAAAGTTTAACAGAGGCACTGAATTATGTCTATATTTTATTCGAAATAAAGTAGTTGAGTTTGATTTGAAACTCCCCGTTGGATAACTGAAGAGGAAAGTCCATCAACAACTCGACGAGGAGAAAGTTTTTTTTTTTATATCCTCATCGTATAAGAACTAATTCGTTTAGCGGCTTTCCCTCGAACCCATCAAAGAAGCATCCTTTCGGAACAATACACCGGACGAAAAAGCACCGCATGTGGGCGAAAGGTGATAATTAGAAGTTTGTTCGACGGGGGTTTCGTCGAGGCAGGGCCGGGGCGGGAAAATCGATCGGGAAATTTCAGACAACACAAACCGGAGCGGAACAGACGGAGGAATTTAATTTTTGGATTTTCGCGTCGCCCGGCTCGAATTTCTCTCGCCGGTTTTTCCCGGCGTTATTAAAGCGATCGGCGGAAAAAGCGGTGTGCTGCGTACGTAAACAAAAACGGAATTTTATCGATTCCGTATCTTGGTAAACTGGACGAGAACAAAATGTCTATTGTGTGTCCGTTCGACCGTTCGAGTTGGGCATAATGAAATCGCCGATTCCGTTCGTATCGTAAACCTTTTGAGTTTCCGTGTTTCCAATATTCGACCGGCTGGAAATCCCGTCTCATCGGCTATTTTCATAATTTCACGCGTATAGGTACTGCTCTAGATTTTTATGTAGCAATCTTCAATATTCATAACATTATTAGGAATGGTAATGTAATTTTAACGATTTTTATTATGTATCGCGTTATCAATTCTTGAATTATCCTTCGAAAATTTAACAAATAAATGATGTAATTTTGTTGAAATACCTGTGAGAAATGGTATGGATACGTCTCTGGGTCCATTACGCTTGGATAGTGTGTATACTCTTATTTTTTACCTGTTCGGGGTAACGAAATGATGGGTTTTTAAAGCGAATATTCGGTAAAACGTTATATTTTATTCATGCCGGTCGACGGGCAAGGTGATAGCGGATTTTCCTGCCGCTTTCAAAATAGAATTTCGCACAAATACGTTCCGGCAAATGGAACAGAAAATTTGTTTCTCGCCATTTATCCCAGAAAATGTACCGAAATTTTAATTGCTTATTTACATTGTGAATTAATTGTCATTACCTAATTAAAAAAAAAACCTAGTTAATAACTGAATATATCAAACAATGTTGCGAATTTGCTGCATCGTTAACCACCAACCTATTCGAAACCAAGATGGTTATTAATTAACAGAATAATTAATTATAAAACTCATTAGTTACCTATCATCAAAGCTTATTATGCAACAAGTGAAAAAAAATTCGTACACATTAAAACCTACGTTATCTTTTAAATCTAATTAATATTACAAATCACAAAAGCAAACCTCTGGTTACAACTTATTGTTCAGTACAAATTCTATTCAATAAACCATAATAAAGGAATGCAACAACTTACCTTAAAATAAATATTAAACGCAAACTCTTCGAACAAACGCATCAAAAACCACTTCGAAGCGACGAGGATTCCCCAACAAAAAAGCCACCCGTCGGAGAGCCGCGATTTTCTGGTATGGTATGTAATTTTTTTCAAACGACAAAGGGCATAACGGTCCGCGTGCGACGGCGAACAGGTCGAAACAGAAACCGGGTTGTGAGGCTGACTGAACGGGGTTGCTGCTGGATTTTCCACGAATGCGCGCCTGCCCCGATGCTCCATTCAGCTTTTCCGTGTTCACTGGCCCGCGGCCGGACCCCCAGCGAGGGTTCCGATGCACTTTCATTCAGAAACTTCCTCGAAACGGATCCTGCACACACCCACGCTCGCCACCGAAACCCTAATGGGGATTTTAATATGTTTAATAGTAGAGTAGTAGCAGGCGTAAATTAGTAGTAGCTCCGGACGGGGGTAAAGTTTTATGATTAGCAAGCCGGGAAATTTCCACCTGCAGATGATATAGTTATAGGAGTTATAGATGGGTATAGAAGTTATATAAGTTTTATTCGGTTTTTAATCAAATTCTTGATGGATAATTGGAATTTTGCAATCCTCATAGGCGCTCTAATTTTACGCAATCGGGGGGTGGTGTCAATCGATGTGGCGGGCGTCCCGTCGATCGCCACCTGTAGATTTTCCGATGGGGAGCGGTCGGAGGCGGCTCGGGCGCCCGCCGCACCGTTTCCTCGTGCAAATAAATTTAAATAACGAGATTGAGGCGGCGAGTAAGCGCTGCACCGGGGCTTTGGAAGCAATTTATTTTTGTATTACGTTTTTAAATTATCCCTGGACTGGTTTTTTGTGTTAAACCGGGAGATATGAAACGCGAAATCTCTGTTATAAAATACAATAGACTCGTAGATTGAGTGATTCGATGAAGGGGATTTTATGCGGAAAACATTGAACAGAAATAATTATCATCGTAGCGATAGCTGAAGGATTTTTTTTAAATTTGGGACTCATTAATATTGAACGAACAGATAAAAAACCGTCCATAACATTGGCGCCCAGGGCGCAGTTACATAAAATTAAATATTACAGCGCGGTAATTAGGTCCTGAATAGATTAAGATATGTTATTCAAATCATTGATATATCGTATAGTTCAGATACGAGTCTATTGAAATGTCCAGTCCGATGTTGTAACTACTCACTGGTAAGTTCGGCTTTTGATAAACTTTAATCCAAACAATTCTACACCAGAACAGAATTCTAAAAATAGATAATTTGATGTTTAGGGTCGCAATTTTGACATTAATATGCCCGGTAATCTAGCGTTAATTTAATAGATAAATTTGCATTGTTTCTAATGGATGAATCGTGATTTTGATTTTATTTCGCGAACGAATCTATAGATAAAGCGCCCGACAAAGGTGGAGTGTTTTCTATTCCTTATCGATAAGAAAACCGTTTCTGCCTCCGAGCGAACCTTGAGTATTGGCCCGCTCGTTTCGAAACTGGTAAGAAATCGTTTACTTTGCTTTTAGATAAAAATTACATAATCGTGATAGTCTACATTTTAGTGGAATCGTTAATTAATTTTTTGTAATGCCTATTGTAATGTTGCTCCACCTCAACCCTACTGTTATCGATACGGAAATTCGTACAAAATTTATACGAAAGGGCAAAAATTCGCTTTCTTCTAGCAACAAATTAATCAGTTTGCTAGATAAATTTAATAGGAATTGATCGGTAAATATCAAACATTAAGAACATATAACACGTTTCTCTTTATTTACTACCCGTTTCATTAGGTACACATTCTCAGTCATAAATATAGATATACTAAAAATAAAATACACATTATATAGAATTAATAATTAACCGACTTTGAGGCTGTCTTTTCTGTCTTTCTTACCGGAGCTCGACTTTTGCTCGTTGGGTAAGTAGCTCTGCACCAATTTCGATCTCTTCTGCAATTCCATGACGAGCGAATTGACGTGCTCCTCCAAGAAATCGATTTTCTCCGATTTCTTAGCGCTGATTTTCTGCAATTTAACAATATGCTCGATCAAAGTTTGCTGATCGATTTCCGCATTAGGCCTGTCGTTTGTTAGCGAAGAATTCGAACTATTAGTGCTCGATTTATCCAAACTCTCCAGTTTCTTGTGACAGTGTTGCAGCTCTTTGTTCACCTCCCGCAACGATAAATCGAATTTTCTTTTAATCAACGCGTTTTCGGATTTCCTATCGATCGTCTCCTGCTTGAATTCCTTGCACAATTTGCTGGTTTCTTTCAATTTCTTGTCCAAATCTTCGGTTTCCTCTTTGTACTTCTGTCGCTCTTCGTTTAGTTTTGTACTCAACAAGTTCGCTCTGTTTTCCTGTTCTTTGATCTGTCGCTTGAGGAGGGTTTGTTCGCAGCTCAGCTGTTGCACTCTCGTCTCCATCGAGGTGAATTCGGATTGCAATCGGACGTTTTTCTCGGTCAGTTGTTGGGTGAACAGGAGCAATTCGGCCTCGCGGGACCTGCACGTTTCCATGTCGGACTCCAGTTCGGCGTTCCGCTGCTTCAGCAGGGCCATTTGCTCGTTCGAGGCGGCTAATTGGTCTTGCTCGTGCTTCAATTGCAGCTTCAGCTGCTCCAATTGGACCGATTTCGTTTGGAGATTGACGACGTCTTGGCGTTGTTGGTCGGCGCATCCTCTTAATTCGCTGAGTTTCAGTTCGTTCTCCGATCGATCCTTCTCGAGCTGTTGGACTTTGAGCGATAGGGAGTTGTTCTCGTGCAGCATTTCCTTTTGCTTCGTTTGTAGCCTTTCCAACTCGCTTTGTAGCATGTTTAGTTGTTCTTCTTTGTCTTTTCTTTCGTGCTTGAGTAGGATTAAGGAGGCTTGTTGTTCTTGGAGTTGTCGTTCCATGACGAACGCCCGGTTGTCTTCGGATACATGGAAGGATTTGACGGATTCTTCGGCGTCTTTTTTGATTTGATCGATGTTGTTGGAGATTTCTTGGTATTTGCCGGTCAGTAATTCTAGTTTGGCTTGCGTGTCTCGGTGGTTTTCCAGTTCGGTTTTTAGGTTGTTTTGGGACCATTTCAATTTGGTTTCTAGCGCGTGTAAATCGTGGTTTTTCTGTTCCAATTGCTGTTGGATCAGTTTGTTATCGTATATTTTGTTGTCCAACATTTGGCAGATTCGGGATTTTTCGGATATGAGAGTTTGTATCCGGTGTTGCAATATCTCGAGTTCTTTGGTATTTTCATTTGCTTTTTTCTCCGCGGATTCTTTGAGTTTTTGCTCTTTGAGGACATTCTTCTCGGCGACGGCATATCTACAAAAATGTTTTTAAATTAACAAATTTAATTTAAAAATTAATGACACACTGATGACAGAAATGACAGTTGACATAGGGTTTTTTTCGTTTATCACTAAATGTACCAACCAGCTGTCTAAATTTGTTCTCTAGTAAGTAAAATATTTTGAAATTACTAAAAATTATTATATTTAGCATATGAGACTTGCCTAACAACCATAGCTTCCTTCTCCTTGAGAGCAGCATCTTTCTTTCTATTAGCGACATCCAATCTAAGTTCCAAATCTTTGGTAATTTGTTGTAATTTCGAGTAATTCTCTTCCAACGATTTAATTTTATTCGTGTTCTGTTCGATAATGTTCTGTTGATACGTTACGGTTTCCCTTAATTTCTCGGCCAAACTGCCTTCTGTCGTGGATTCGCCTGTAGTGGAAACACTCTCGTCGTTTTCTGAACAATCTGTAGCCGCATTCGCGTCCAAAACGCTATCGATTTCGTCCGAATTTTTTCCCTCCGATTCGTTTTCGTCCGAGTTTGGGTTTTCCGAATTGTTCACATCGTTCATATTTCGTTAATAATTAAAAAACATAAGGAAATTAATGGTTGTTCTTGCTGTATGAAATTTTGACAGGAAGTGACATTTGAGATAACGATTTTTCAGGCACTTTCCATTTGACATTTGACTTCCGCACGACCTGAAACCGGAAAGCTTGTTCGATTAGAATGAAAATTGTTGGGTTGTATTGTGTGTTGCATAACTAGTAGAGCGTTGCAGTAAAAATGTATCCGAATAAAAAACAGAGCTGCACTCAGGGGGATTTGATTCATTAATTATTCATTTCGATGATAGATGATCGCTCTTGAATGTAATACAATTTAAATACATCCATGCACGTGTAGTTACGAATAAGTCATAATTATCGGTTTACCATAATGGTAAAAAATAACGATATAACGAATAACGATAAAGGTGCATCATTATTTGGTACCTTATTATTTTGTTTTTTCAGCAATTATTTTTTTGTCGTTACCGTACTTAATAATGAAAAACCGAAAATATTTCTTAAAAAGGTACAAAACAGTTTCAGGCCGGTTACCAAAGTTTTAGTGTAATAAGTAAGTCGATAAAATTAATTCAAACAGAAAGAGAAAGTTCACTTTATAATTTAGGATCCTTGAAAAGGAATTGTCAGGCCTAGTCCCGCACAAACCAGTTTACATATCTTTTAATTATTTTACATCGTATAATTCCATTTGCACATTGTGCTTTATTGTTTCCACACGAATTAATGTTACCGGTATAAAACACGCAATTATGGTTGTTCGGAATCGTAAGTGTTTTACAACCCGCCAAATAATTTAATAATTCATTAGCTAATCTAAATCCACCATGTATTTTTCCTTCAACGTGTACGCTGAGATAAGAATTTATTAATTCAAACAATTCTAGGTTTGCACCTGTTTTTCGTTGTTAGTTTCGTCTCGATTTGGATACAGACGGCCAAAATGGAGAAACTCACCGTGTTAATCACCAACCCCACCGTACCGATCGTTGCTATTAAAGAAATGGAAGAGAAGGGGTAAGTTATAAAACAACCCTATCATGAGTTATCACAACATTTGGTGCTAACCTCAGGTACAACATCAAAATCGTCAACAAAGAAGACAGAGCGGAAATCCTGCAGAAGCTACCCGGAACCCACGGCCTCTGGTGGGCCTCCCAACTGAAACTCGACAAAGAAATTTTAGACGCCGCCGGTACCACCCCTTCAATCCAGTACCACCACCAGCGCTAATCCCTCGTGTGTTTCCAGGGCCCCAGTTGAAAATGATCGGAGTCATGTCGGCGGGCTACAATCACGTCTCCCTCGACGAACTGAAGAAACGGGGCATCAAAGCCTCGAACACCCCCAACGTGCTGAACGACGCCGTCGCCGACGTCGCGGTGCTACTGTCACTGGCAGCCGGCAGGCGAATGACCGAGGCAAGATGGGCCATAGAGAAGTGAGTTTTTCGCACTCGAAGATACCTTTAAGTACATTATTTTTGATGCAGTAACCAATGGGTGAACAACGAATGGAAGTGGATGGTGGGCCAAGACGTCAGGAACAGCACGATCGGCATCATCGGCTTGGGAGGCATCGGCTTCACGACGGCCAGGAGATTCAAGGGATTCGACGTGAAGGACATCCTGTACACCGGCCACAAGGAGAAGAAAGAAGGTAGGTGGTCGAATATTGCTTGAGAGTTGTCTAATCGAGAGTTTAGCCGCCGAATTGGGCTACAAGTTCGTGGATTTGGACGCCCTGCTGGCCGCCAGCGACTTCGTCATCGTCGCCGTCCCGCTGACCGCCGAGACGCAGGGATTCTGCGACGCCGCGTTCTTCAAGAAAATGAAGAAGAACGCCGTGTTCGTCAACATCAGCAGGGGCCCGGTGGTCGACCAGCCGGCCCTTATTAACGCCCTGAAAACCGGGGAGATATTCGCCGCCGGATTGGACGTCATGACGCCCGAGCCCCTGCCGCCCGATCACGAGCTACTCAAGATGCCCAACGTCGGTACGAGAGACATTTTTTTTTTTGGTTTGAAATTGTAGAATAATTTGTTGTAGTTGTGTTACCCCACATCGCGAGCGCTACTAATCATACCAGAGACGGAATGGCCATTTTGACCATGCAGAACCTCCATAGAGGACTCACTGGCCAGCCTTTATTGACGCCTATAGTAGAATAAGTCGTGTGATTGTTTGATTTGTAAATAAATTGGTTATTGAAGTATTTAGTACCACTCATTTAAGTATCCCTAAATAAATTACAACTACTTATAACTCAAGGAAAAATAAAATTGCTACAATTCTCGCCACTTTTATCAATTTAATTCAATTAAAAATGAAATAACAACCCCCCGCAGGTTCGGCATCCCGATCGGCGGTATCCATCAAAAATCGATGGCGATAACTTCATCCCGTTTCCCCTCTGTGCGAATTAGAAACACCACTTGCGATAATCTAATTTTATAAATTCATTTTAGTTCGTGTTTGAACAACAGACGGCTGTCGGCCGGTGTGCTAATGAAATTGCCTCGTGTTTTATTTATCGCGCTTTTCGAAAGCTCGCGGTAATGGAGAAACAACGGGCGCGTGCGAGGAGATGCGAGTGCGGGAGGATGCGAAAAAACGTGTCGATGCATTTTAAGGAATATTGCAGGTCGAGCTCGATGCACGGCTTTAAGTATTTCGGCGAAGACAGGACTCTGGTGGAGAAGTAAGATGAGGTTTTTTTGTAAATCCCGTGCTGTGTTGTGGTAAATGTGTTTCAGAATATGGTGGGTGGTTTGTATAACGTCTTGCATATTATTTTGCGGCACGATGCTGTATAAAATATTCTTGAAATACTCCTACTTCCCCGTCATTGTGACGTTTTCCATGAAGGAATCCCGGTTGCAGAGATTACCGTTTCCCGCCGTAACGATATGCCCTCGAGCGAGGGTTTCTCAGAAATATTTCAATTTCACCGAATATTTCTACAAAGAATTAAATTCCGTTCCGACTACCGCGTATGAGTAAGTTACTTTCGCGATTCGTTAGTGCACTAGAAATTCCATTTTTTTTTCTATTTTAAATCGACAGGAACAAAATCAGGGACATGTCGGCGACGATTTGCGATTTCTATCCGTCCAATTCGACAGAAAAAATCGACGAGAACGAATTTAAAGAGTTCCTTAATGAGGTATAAATTGTAGTAATTATTATTATTGAAATATTGCCTTGATTATTTTAGAGTCAAACGGATATTTTCTACTACTGTCAATATTTAAACGTGGAATATTTGCCTTGCAAGGAATTGTTTACGCCGATCCTCACTGAAGACGGAATTTGCTATTCATTCAACATATTAGACAAAGGAGATATTTACAGAGAAAATGTAGAGTAAGTTCGAAACAAAAACATTTTTAATCAAATACCGAAATTTCACATTAAGTGCCATTACTATAAAATCTACACTTATAATCCGGTAACTAACGACACTTCTATTACATTCACTATCACAAACAGCATTTTCTTTATTGTAAAATCGAAATATAAAATTTGTAGACCGTTAATTTACGATCAAGTGCCAGACATAGCTGGAGTGCGAGGAAATAACTTGACACTAATTTCTCTACTAGAAATATCATTAAACCGATATCAAAGACCTGCGTAGAGGTTAATTTACTAGAGAAAAACAACTTTTCCGTGCGTTAGTGAGTAAATAGACGTTTCTCCCGCGACTTGGCGAAATTAATGTCCAACAAACAGGTTCCTGATTTTTCGACTGGATAGTTTCCAATAAAAAACCCGACCAGAAATAAATTGTCTAATCCGCATGGGAAATATAAATCGCTTAATGATGATGCGAAAACGATGGCAGGCGTTATTTATGTTCGAGAGGAATCAAGGATTATCGAAACATCTTTCTGCTATTACCATTAAATATATTAATCCGTGCGTTCTATTTTCGAACCATATCCTATTTACTTATGACGACGAAAATCAACACGAGTTATTACGAAATAATATTGGTAACAAAATGATATTCACCTATTTTCACCCGGGAGTTTAATTTTAGAAGACACCATAAAAATATCAATTATTTCAATGGTAATTTCAAAATATTTAGCTTACTTTTCGAGGATTTTCACAAAGCGCCTCCCTCGATTTGGAACGTGGAGACAGGATTCCTGAGCAAAAATGTCAGTACTTACCCCAGAAGGGCGTTAAGAATAGGAATAAGGAACCAACTCATGGTAATTCTAAAAACCAAATTCAAGGATGTGGAATTTCAATGCGCCGGGGACGATTCTGGATACAGGGTGAGTTTACAAATTATCCCATTGAAATATAAAATATCTCGAATTTATTGTATTTATTATTCATTTTTAGCCGAAGGATTTTATATGAATCTAATCGACTACATGTTTTCGAGTTAAACAGTTCATTTGTAAATGTCGCTTATATTCCATTAAATTGTAACTAACATTTTTGGCTCGCTAGTAATTTCGAAAACATGATAAACTACTTGCCAAGTAGCAAAAAAATTAAACGAACCATTTTTTAAATCCACTTTGATCTATTTTCGACACCACTGCAATCCATCATTATTCCATCTTCATCAAATTCTACCTATTCTAGGTCTCAGTGCATCTTCCTTCGGACGTACCGGAGGTACCGGAGAACCACTTCTACGCCCCGTTGGGCCAGCGAGTGGTGAGCGCCATCGTACCGCACACCATCAGAACCTCCGAAGGCGTGAAGAACTTCTCGCCGGCCAAGCGCGATTGCTACTTCGAATCCGAAAAGCGGCTGAAGTTCTTCAAATTGTACTCGCACGCCAATTGCATGATCGAGTGCAAGGCGAACTACACGTTGAACGAGTGCGGCTGCGTCGCTTTCCACATGCCCAGTACGTTCCACTGCAGCAGGAAGTTTTGAGGAAAGTTTTGGAAATTCGTTGGGTTTTCTTTTTTGATTTCAGGGGAAGCCGGTACGCCTGTGTGTTTTTTGGATAAGTTGGATTGCATCGAAGTAGCTTTAGGTGAGGTTGTTTAGTTCTATAGTACTAGATTCTTATGTTGTTTGGTTTTGTAGATATCTTTTCGATATTCAACGAGGACAAAACTTCGAGCAACGATGAGGAAACTTACGCATCGCAGAGTTGCGATTGCAAACCCACCTGCACGGATGTGAGCTACAGCGTGGATCTCTCAACCAACAACATAATTTTCGAAATTTTGAACAAAACACTGAGAGACGACATCGATTTCGACAAGTTAGTACAGTTTTTAAGTTGCGGAGAATATTTTGTATTAACGTTTGTTACCCACAGCAACGCTTTTACGACGTTGAGCTTTTATTTCAAGAACGACCACGTGGAAACGAAGGAGAGAAACGAAATATACGGTTTCTCCGACGTAATTTCGAACTTCGGCGGTCTACTGGGATTATTTACGGGATTTTCGATTCTATCATTTTTGGAGATCCTTTATTTTCTGTCTTTGAGGATTTGGGGGAATATAAGGATATATGGTACGTGGATTAAACCTAACAATCTCGAGGAAAGATCTGCAGAGGAAACTTCGAAATGAAAAATAGCCGAAGAATTTTACAAATAAATTCATATTCACGTATATCAGCTGTTTTGTTAATTTTTTTACAATAGTGCAAATAAATTATACAAATACAAATTCATGTGCTTCCTTATACAATCAACTATGTGTGAATACATGCAATTAATCCTTTGAGAAGCTGTAATGGTCCTTTCCGGACCAATGTCCGTATATCCTGACGTTGCAAAACATCCTCAGGGTAAAGAAATAGAGAGCCTCCATGACCGAGAGCATGGAAAAACCGGTGAACAATCCGAGCAAACCGCCGAAATTGGCGAGAAAATCCAACGGCCCGTACAATTCGTTCCTCTCGGAAAATATAAAATCGGACGGTTTCATATACAATATCAATTTGGACCTTCTAGCCCTGGAAAATATTAACAAGTTAATCCGCTAGCGTCAGTAAAAATGAACACTCACGCCAACATCTTCATAAGTACGGCGCTGCTGTTTCTTTTGGGAAACGATTCGAGCCAATTCCATTTGCTCTGCGACGTTTCCACGTTGTAGGTCAAATCGGAGCATAAGGGCAAACATTCGCAGTCCGGTAGATCCCCGGCGAAGAACTCGCCCTCGTGCGGCCAGTCTTTATTATCGAGCGATTCGAGCGTTTCGCCCAGATCGTTTCGCAGGCTCCTCGACTGGAAGCTTTGCTCGGCGAATTGGGCGCAGTCGAAGCTGCCCAGGCCGCAGATGTTGGTCGAATTCTCCCCTGGAAGAACGCGGTACTATAGAGTATAGAGTGCCGATTAAAATTGGAACTTACTGGGCATGTAAAACGGTACGCAACCGCAATAGTAGAGCGTGTAGTTGGCGACGCATTCCATTCTGCAGTTTTTGGGAGTGTAGATTTTGAAGTATTTTAGATGTTTTTCGTAGGAGAAATAGCAATGGCGTTGACTGACGTCGTAGTACTCGAGGCGGCTGTTTGTTCTGATCATGTTTGGAGTGACGCCGGCTATGACTACTTCATCAAGGGGCACCTTAAAATTCCACATTGAGTTTATCTACACTAAAGAAAAAATTAAAACTCATTTGAACCTACGCGAAAATATTCATGCGCCATTCGAGGAATTCTTGTCGCTGTATGTAAAGCAACCTAGAAGAAATAGAGTATTTACTAAAAGGATACAGCTCGAATAAGAAATGCAAACCTTCAGGCCTTGATTGCCCTTTTTGCAGGTTTTGTCTAGATCCAAATGCGTAAATAAAACATTCACAATCAATGAATTGGTGATATCTGAAAGCAATGCTCTTCTAGGATAAGTTTTTAAACCTGCATCTTTTGAATAACCCTCCTCTAACGACCATTCCAATTTAGAGTGGTTCACCTTAGATAAAGAGTGGAAATATCTAAAACAATAAACAATACAAAACTTACAATGTTGTTTTGTAATGTGTTACTCACACGTTCTCCCTGTAAATATCTGAATTATCGGCTGTATTGAACGTATAACACAACCCTTCTTCTGTAAAAACTTTCGTAAATAATTCATCGCAAGGATAATCTTTGCCCATGAATTGGCAGTAAAACATAGGCATCGAGGGACTTAGCTAAAAAATATTATAGCATAAGAATTTCCTACACACTAGCGAAATTAACTTACACTGTCCAATTTCGAGTATATTTCGTCGGTGATGAATTCGTTATCGGGGTATTCTATAGCCAAATCTCTCTCACAAATCAATCCCATGTATCGTAAATTTTCTAAGCTGAAAGGAAGTTAAAGAAGAAACTCTTACAATAACCTGCGATACTTACTCCTCGTCTGACACGTTCCTGTTAAAGAAGAAGTCGTTGACGACCTTCTGGTGGCTGTACAAGTACTGGGCGGTTTTGGATTCGGGGCAGATCGTTACAGATGGAAAAGGGATGGTGTAAATTGGTGTTTCCATGGTTGAGAAAGTGACAATCACCGGACTTTTGATCCATTTCTGGTACACCTGCATTATGGAGTACAAGGCGATGCACAGCGTTATGACGAACACCACGAACCACCAAATTCTGTTAACGAATACACGAAATTGAGGAACTAATTGATTTTTTTTGGAGGTAAGTAATTACCTTTCAAAATAAGATCTGTTCTCGCCGAAATATTTGAACCCGTGTATGCTGGAATTATTGCAGTATTCCTTGAAGTAATTCCTCGCGTTTTTACAGAGCAATTTATTCGGTCGCCGTATCTGCACCATTTTCACTTTTCGAATGAACAAACAAACCCATCTGCTCTTTAGAATTAATGTCATATCATATTTTTTTAATTACATAAATGTACAATTTGACTTGTTCGAATAAATAGCATTAAATTAATGAAAAATATATCTACTCAGCACGTAAATATTCGGGTGTTAATTACAAACTGACGAATTAATCCATTAAGAGGATTTCATATCCTGGTTATCAAGCTTTTGCCCTTTATTTTTTGTAGGTAACTATAGATTATTTTTTTACCCTACAAACATGCAAAAGTCCATTTTATTATTCCCATCGGCCGCGAATCGGAATTAACCGAATTGAACAAAAAAAAAAAACGCGAACAAAAACTTTAGTAAAAAGAACTTTTTGCGTAATTCCATTTGAGCCGGAGTGGGATAAAAAGGGGCTTTGCATTTTAAGCGATTCATCGGCGATGATTCTCGTCAAAGGATTTTCGAATTCGTGCAATTTGAATATTCGAAATTAGGTGTAATTGGTCCCCGGCGAGAGATTAGCTCCTCGATTATAAAACTTTTCGATGACGTTACAATTTTACAGCCGAGGTCCGAAACCTTAATCAGATTGAGTTACATTTTGTGTATTAATCGCCCTAACTATAATCTGCTTTACAGTGCGGTGGCTTATAGTACTTTTATTAGTGCAAGTTTTTTTTTTGGTTAAATTTCTTTATTAGTGTTTGTGAAATGAAAGGCGTTAATCACCGCACAATCATTTTCGACGCAAGATGATCGACCGATAGCGAAAACAACAAGGAAAACTCCGAAATTGCTCGTAGAAATTACTTAATAATGTCTCGCTCGGAACAAGAAATATGTAGAAATCGCGTGCGACTCGAGCATTTTTTTGAACTACAATTTTTTCCCGGCCGCAATTATTGTAATGCGTGGTGCGTTCGAGCCGCAGGAGTTTGTCCCTATCAGAAAGCGTTTCCCGGGAGCAGCGCAAAGTAATTGATCCATCTATCTTTAGCTTAACCGGTTGACAAGGCGAAATTCATCCCGAATTACTCGAGACTCCTTCGCACTATTCTCCTGTTTACGTTTCGCCACTACAGCGACACATTCGCGAAACTAATAACACAAATGGAACAGCGACAATTTACCGAATTGGAAAAAGCAAATACCACAAATTCAATTGGGGCAAATATTATTTCAACATTAGCGGTATTATACCTATCAAATTAACGATTTCTCGACATGTCTTTGTTTACCTTCAATAAGCTTAATAAACCGATAGGGGAGTTTCGTTTCACCATTCAGCTGGCGATCTTCGCTACGATGGGTTCCATAGAGAAGCGCTACGTCACCACCATCAGCGGAAGGCTGGACAGGAGGAAGAGCTCGCTGAGCACCAACGGGAAGCGCATCAGGAAGTATTGCAGGGAGTATTGCGAGTACACCGGCATACACGGCATGCGATACTTCGGCGAGAAGAGGAGCGCTTTCGAAAAGTAAATTTACACCAAAAAATTCGCTATGCTCGCTTTATTGTTCTTGGTTAAGGATTTGCTGGGTGGCCGTCTTCGTGACCAGCCTGCTGGTGTGCCTAGCGGTGATTTACCAAACGTACAGGAAGTGGCAACACCAGCCGCTGATGGTGAATTTCTCGTCGAACGAGAGGAACATCAACGAGATCCCGTTTCCTGCGGTGACCATTTGCCAGGAGACGCGGGTGTCCAGGAGCTTCTTCAACTACTCGAGAGCGCTGAGGAATTACGTTTTCGAAGGGAAAGCGGACGCTGACGAGTATTGGTATTCTAAAGAATCGTTACTGTTGTTTTAAATTCCTGATTTTAGTTTGAAGAAACTGCGGTATATGTCGCTGCTATGCGCAGCAGGGAAGATCTTCAAGCATAAAATACCCAACGTGACGACCATAGATGAAGATTTCTACAAGTTTCTAGCAGATGTAAGTAGTTTTAGTTCGTAACAGTTTGGTACTATAATATTTTTGTGCGAAAGGGAGCCACTCAATTCCTGGAGTCTTGCACCTGGATGGGCGAGAAGATGAGTTGCAGGGAGATTTTCCGGCCGATCGTCACCGACGAAGGGCTGTGCTACACCTTCAATATGCTGGAAAACGATGACATCTTCAGCAACGTCTCGTAAACGATCGAAAATCGATAACCAGCAATCGCCTAACGGCGGATTTTTACAGGTTCGTTCCGAACTTCAACCATCCCACCGCTTCTGACGGTTTGTACAGCAACACGAAATTATGGTCGGTCGATAACGGTTACTCGGACGATGCCCCGGTGCACACGTACCCGAGAAGAGCCCTGCTGTCCGGCTACACCAACGCCCTGGTGGTGAATTTGAAGATCAACATTTCGGATATCGATTACGCTTGCACCAGCTTCCAGGGATACCAAGTAATATTCGCCGAACAACTACGATAAACCTCTGTTTATTCGAGCATTTCAGGTGGTTTTGCACCAAGCTATTCGGTATCCCATAGTGCAGATCCACCACTTCAGGGTGCCCATTCGGAAGGCGGTGATAGTGGCGATTTCGCCGACGCAAATGGAGAATTCCGAGGAGGTGAACGATTACAGTTTGGACAAACGGGATTGCTTCTTGCAGGGCGAGAAAATGCTGAAGTTCTTCAAGAATTACACGCAGAACAACTGCGAATTGGAGTGCGTGGCCAACTTGACGTTGTCCAAATGCGGTTGCGTGGCCTTTTACATGCCGAGTAACTCGCTATATTAGCAAACTTCTTATTACTCCATGAGTGTTTTTTTTAGGAGAAAATTCCACGAAGATATGCGGTAATCAAAGAATGGATTGCATCACTACAGTTAAAAGTAAGTTTACGTTTGCATCTGCGGCGTTGCGAATACTTTTAATAAGGATGCTTTCCAGATAAAATGAACACGAGGAAACTGGAATTATCGTTGGACGAGGATCGGTGCAACAGACGGAGAAATCCGCACAACGAATGTAATTGCTTGCCGATGTGCGCGCAAATCAATTACGACACGGAAATTACCGAAATCGAGTACGACAGGCGCAAGGAATACGAATCATTGGAGATGTGCAATTCCACCGAGCAAGACCAGTAAGTGTTCAATTTTCTTCAAGCACTTATTTAGCTTTATGTTTTTGCAATCTGGAACAAAACCGAGCTCGTCTCGACTTGTTTACAATCCGCGCTTTTATCTCCCAGACTAATTTATCTCGATGCTATGCGAGTAATCGACAATCGATACTTTACTGTATCGATTCGTTTTCTTCGTTCGGTTTGTTTGTTACAGTCACGCCTGGTCTCAGCTGGTGATCTACTTCAAGAGCAGCTATTTTATACCGCACGTGAGGAGCGAATTGTACGGACATTTGGACTTTTTGGCTAACGTCGGGGGCCTCTTGGGCCTCTTCATCGGCTTCTCTTTGCTGTCCCTATTCGAAATCATCTATTTCGCTTCGGTCCGGATTATATGCAACACTAAGATGTACAAAAAATGGTACGGGGAACACAACAATTAGAGAATACGATTAGGCACACAATTAGTTAGTTATTTTGGCATATGTTTTATTCGTAATAATTAAAAAAATTAGGTGGATATGGAAAATAATATGTGATGTTAATTTAAACGAGTTCTAGCCCGTTAACGCACGGTTTGCGTATCAACAGTGGAAACTGTTTTCATTAAAAGTTGGAGCGCAGAAGAAGGTTTATTATACAAGAAAGTTGGGAGAGTTTGGTCGGAGTTTTACTCATGACATGTGCTTACTTTAATTAAAATAGTAACTTCCGACGCAACTCGTCGAGTGAACTCCGTCGTTTTCGGTTTGCGCTCTCTCCGCGGAGAATTATTCGCGATATTTCGGAGGATAATGCGCGAAATAGATACAAATCGTTTTTGTCGACTACCATAACTGGTTTCATAGCAATAAATATCAATTTCGAAGTTTCTCCGTTGTATAGCGAAAATGATAATAATCGCGGGAAATATGAAACTTTCAACCGGTCGGGAAATTATCGAATGCTTTCGATCCTCATCGAAAGTAGCTACACTTTTCGAAAGCTGTTATTCCGTGCCGTCGGATGGAAAGCCATCCGGCGTTTTTTATCCGGGCGTCGCGACGCTACTCATGCGAATTTCGGAGCCGAAACCACGGCGGTGGCATTTGAATTTATATTGAAATTTTCTGTTTACCCTTTTTAACCGTCGAATTTATGGCCTCCCTTTTTTTCATAATAAAACTTTTTTTTCGTGACGCGCCCGACTTCACCTTCATCGAAATGTCGACCTTTTTTTTTGTATTTTTGTTTCGCCCCGTTTACGAATTCGATGCGATACGCGAAATCGAATCTGGAAAACAGCCGTTCTGTGAGATTTCATTCATCCGAATCAAGTTCGATTGGGAAAATTAGCATCGGGAATTCTTCCATTAACGCTCCACCACGAAATCGCCCGGCCTAGCGTGCATTCCGATAACATCGCGACCTCCTCGCGAGCGAAAAAAACCATTTCCTCCCTCCGGAGATTCCCCCAAACTATTTTCCAAGAGGGCGCTGATGGCTAATTAAAGTAATGCTACGCGCAACAACGTTGCAAGGTAAGGGACTTTCGTTTATTAATTAGTTAATTATCATAACATCCGGGTGTAAAACGTTAAACCCGAAAATTCAGAGTGCTTCGTTCTTTAATACCTACATACAAGAATATTCAGTTCGACCGTTAGCGTTAGCGAATAAACTCCGAAATTAATATAATCCTGCGATAGAGCGAATCAATTCCAATTGAAGCCCATTTACGATTTAATGAAATTTAACGTAAGCACCCTGTTTGCATATAACGTAATAATAACAGGTATATACGTGTCATGCACGAGCTAATTTAATACTCCGGTGGGTTCGCGATAAATGTAAAACGAGTTAAACGACCCATCCCGATTGCACAGTGCAACTAAATCCCCAACAGCAACCAGTTATTTCAAGAGTTTCCGCGATGGCGGAGCGCAAGGAACACCCCAAGTTCTTCCGGAGCCTCCGGAACTACTTCAGGGAGTACTGTCGCAACACCAGCATACACGGCTTCCGGTACTTCGGCGAGAACAGGACCTACTTCGAACGGTAAGATGGCTCAAACCATAGTAAATAGTATTGGTAAATTCTTGTTTGGAAGGGTGTGGTGGTTCTTGGTGTTCGGGGTCACTTTGGCCGCCTGCGTGATGTCCATCAGGGAGGTGTACAACAAGTGGCTCAGGAGCCCGGTGATCGTGAGTTTCGCCACGAAGGGGACGCCCATTTACACCATACCATTCCCCGCCGTCACCATCTGCCCAACCTTCAAGTCCGTCCAAGCGATCTACAGCCACACGAACATCATAAAGAAACTCAACCACAACGTGTCTTTAACCGAAAAAGAGTAATAACCTCGCCGGTAGCTTAACCGATCGATTAAATGCCGTTTTCCAGGAGGAAGATCCTCGATTACATGGGATTGATCTGCGACAGCAACAAAGCCATCAAGCACTCCGACATCGATTATTTCACCGACGATTTTTACGAAACGTTGAAAGAGGTAAATCGGTGGGAGTTCGAGGAGGGCTCGCTCATGCAATACGGTTTTTCGCCGCAGATTAAAGGCGACGAGTTTCCCTTCGGCAGTTGCACTTACTTGGATGTCCAGTACAATCCGTGCGTGCTCTTCAAGCCCGTCATCACCGACGAAGGCATTTGCTACACGTTCAACATGCTGGACAAACGCGAAATATTCAAAGAAGTCTCGTAAGTGTTGCAGCGTTCGCGGATTCCATCGAATAAATCGGTTGATTGATTTTGCAGGTGGATACCGAAAGAGTTTTACAATGCAAGAAAACCTTCGATAGGTACTTGGACACTTGAGGGGGGTTATTCGGATGAAGCTGGTTTATTTCCCTATCCTAAACGAGCTATGTTCGCAGGGGCCACCAGCGGTCTTACAGTAAAGCTGTTTATGCCTAAAAACAATAAAGATCACAGTTGCAAACAGGGGAATCAAGGATTTAGGGTCTCTTTACACCTGCCATCGAGGATTCCCAGACCCAGCCAAGATTACTTCCGGGTAGTATACTTGTAATTAATACTAATTAGTAATTGTGTAGAATATAAATTGTAGGTACCACTTGATCAAACGGTGATGGCGGCGATCAATCCAGAAATGACCGCTACCGACAGCGCCGTGGAGAAATACAGCCCGTCGAAGAGAGAATGTTACTTTCCCAACGAGAAGAAACTGCGATTTTTCAAGCTGTACACGGCGAAAAACTGCCAATTGGAGTGCCAGACTAATTACACGCTGCGCTTTTGCGATTGCGTCAATTTCTTCATGCCGAGTAAGTCGAATGAAAAATGAATGATTAAGGGCTCGTTTGTCGTATTGCTCTGTCGTTTGCTGGAATATTATTCACCGGTTTTGTCTATCGAGCGAAATCTTCATAAAATCGAAGCGAAAATAAATAAGACCCGTCCGATTCGGACGCGCGAAACGACTTTCGCGAGCGAACTTCAAGCCAGGATTGTACTCGTTGCGATTTTGCAGGAGAGAACGGGACGAAGATGTGCGGCATAAGCAAATTGGGCTGCATGCAGAAGGCGTACTTCAGTTTCAGATTGGGAGATAATCTGCGTAACAAATTAGGCGATCGGTTTCAAACGAACGAAAGGGCGAAGAAACTCTTGAAAAGGTACAAAGGATGCGATTGCTTGCCGACGTGCACGGATTTGACGTACAACGTGGTTACTTCCCAAAGCCCGTGGGACGTGATGGAGTCGATAAAAGCCGAAAGGATGAATTGGTCGGCGGAAATCGAAAACGATGAGTAAGTGACACTTTAAGAAAAAATTGAAATTTTGTACTAATCGCCCTTACTATAATGTATTTAATAGTCAGGTGGCTAAAGGGACTTTATTGGCAAAATTAGTACTAATTGAAATTTTGTACTAATCGCCCTTACTATAAAACTAATTTAATAGTCTGGTGGTTAAAGGCGTTTTCTTAAAAAATAATCAAAACGAGTATTTTTCGGATAGAGCATCTAAAAAAACCTCTCATTTCAGCTACTACGTATCGAAACTGATCTTGTTCTTCAAGTCGTCGTCGTTCGTTACGTCCGAACGGCACGAATTGTACGGACCGACCGATTTCCTGGCGAATTTCGGCGGTTTGCTGGGGCTTTTCACCGGCTTTTCGATACTCTCGCTCATGGAGGCCATTTACTTTCTGACCGTGCGATTGTGCTGCAATTCGAGGGCGTACGGCTATTGGGCCGGCCCGGAAAACTGAAACGGACCGAACGGTTCTGGTCGTAAAATGGAAAATGGGAAAAAAGGAGGAAAAACGGTGGCTTTCTTTTCGCATCGGTGCTTCGTCAAATGCTTCAATCGCTTCAATCGCAGAGAGCTTTCGTTTGCTCCGGTTTGTTTACGTAATTTAATAAAGCTTATAATAATAAATAACGTGTGTTGGAATTGTATTCGTAATTTATTGGGCAAATAAATATAAATTGTGCTTATTAGAACCGATAGTCTTAATTGGTGAGTTCCACGGCGAACGACGGAAGGAAGAAAATCGAATTAATTGGAATAAGTCGACGTTTTCTTTAAAATTCTCCCGGAAAATTCGGCATCGGAAAGTGCACGCGCAGCGTTGCGATTTTCCTTTGGCGAATAAACAAGCGATAACGATCGTTATTTATCTATAAAAATAAGTTGAATCCGTCGAGTCATCTATTACTTTACAGACTTTTATGATCATTTAGAGAAGTCCATTATGAAATTTATGTCTGCCGTTTTGATAGCTCGCCGCTCGATATCGGAAAGAGTCTATTTTCTATATCCCCGAGGAGTTATAAACGTCCCATCGATCTTGCGATTTATCCGTTTATAAGGTTTTAATCAAATAGCGACACCGCACCGGCTACTCCAACTTCCTCGCAACTTTCGGACTTCCAGAACTCCGCTGACCGCCGGAACCGGCTACCAGCATTTACAAAAAACCGCCGGTTCAACAACCTGAGGAGTTTCGAATAAACATTTCGAGCGTTTTTTGGTTATTGGAGTTGTATGTCGAATCGAAATTTGGGCGGGAATAAACTCCCCTCGGCTCTTTCGGTTGATTTATTTCGGTAAGTTGACCCGTCGGTGATGATGCATTCGGAGCTATCGAAAGTTGAGGGGGCTCCTCGGGCGGGAAGTTTTCGGACTTTGCGGAAAGTTTAAAATGAAAAAGAATGGAAACGTAGGTCGGCGGGGAGTATGATTGATGAGGACGTTTATCCGGGGGGTAGAAAAAGACTCCGAAGTTGGGGAAAGGACGAGTGGCTTTCGAAGGGAATCCTCCCGTACTTCATATAATTGTATAGGGATAGTTTGAATTAGGCGCGAACTGTTAAAAAAAACTCGCTCTGATATAATCCCGCTGTTGGTTTCGGTAAAATAATTATAAATTTCGAAATAATGAACTTGCGAAGTTGTTAAACATTGCTAAGTTACCGGGCGCATTTTGGGAAACTTTCACTAAAAACTTATCCATTAATGCCACTCGTGCATATTAACACACCCTCATAATTATCCCTTCGAGCTCGAAGAAGGATAAACCAGTGGCGTTGGCCACAAAAATTTTTCATACTTCCACCAGGGAATTCCAAAATGTTTCTTATTAGCACTACAAGTCAAATGTCAATTCAGCTATGTCAAAATAATGACAATATAACGAAAAAAGTATCAACTTATGAGACACCCTGCATGCAAAAAAAACCACTTTATGCAACTAGAACGAAGAACTTGTCAATTACCCGTTGGGTTTTTCCCCCCGCTCGGGGACCAGTTCAGTCCGGCGGCGTCCCGACGCTGTCGCTCCGTTCGATCCGGGCAGGCGTCGAGCGGTGCGCTCGCGCCGCTCCGTCCGACTTCGGAACTCCGGCCCCCCGAACTCCCGACGGTTTCAAACCGCTCCAGACGTAGCGCACCGGCCGCACAGTGATGTTCACCGTCCCCGCGGAGGCGGTCTTTTGTCCACATCGCAGCGCCGTCGACGGCTTGGAGTGACGCCGGGCTGTTGGTCGGGAGTTTCGCGTGGAGTTGGCCCGCGGACGGATCCGCCATCGACAGGATGCGGCCCGCCGGAAGGGCGTAAGTTGCATTACCTTCTAGATATTATACCTATAGTATACCCTCTGTTGTTGTTGTTGTTGTTTCGAGCAAGCACGCGCTAACATGTTTAGGTACATACTAATTGAAGTTTGTTTGATGCAAAATCGAGATATTGTGTAGTTGGTTTGAAGAGAAATCGTTATTAATTTCCTCGCATTTAATCGCAGAAGCGATTAATCGAAAAATATTCCTACTTTTATTCATGCAAATTGGGTTTTATTACTGCGAATGGCTCGTAAAATGAAGCGAGAGCCTACAGCTTGGAGTTCAATAAGCTGTATTCGCCGGAACTCCGTTTCGCAGTTTCTGGAAAACTTCCAGATCGTATAAATAAAGTTGATTGTTTCTTGTAGGTCGCGGGGGATTATTTAAAACCTGTTCGGATGCAACAAAAAGCTGTAATTGGCGCAGTCGAGGAGGATTTTTCTTCCTCGATCTGCACGCATCAAAATGATTTACCAGCGAACTTTTTTACGCCGACTTCTCGGGCAAACATAAAAAACTCGCCTTCCATACGTTCGCATAAACAAACATCATTATGCGGGAGGAAGAGCCGGGGAATCGAGACTCGATTGTGTAATTTATTCGAATCCGAAAAGTTAAATATAATAGAGCAGAGACAGGGGAAAAAAGCGGGGCCGTATATAAATCAACCGACGCACTTTTCCCGCCCGGATGGGACCGGAATTTTCGCGAATTTTCGCGAATTTTCGCGAACTTTGCCTCGTCGATGTCGAGGAACGTTTGTTTCCGGCGAGCAAACAAAAAAAGAAACAAGTCGAATAGGAATAAAAGATGTCCCGAGCTGCCCGAGAGCAGGAAATTTATTCCTCAAAAATTCCAGCAATATGCAGCTCAATCTGCATAATGCATACAATACAATTTACACAATTTACATATGCATGAAGATGCACTTAATCTTCAGGGAACAGTATGACTAATCAATGAAGATATATTTCTGCGGATACACACAGAACTGAAACACGCACTGACACCTGCCACTTTAGAGCGATTTGACGTTCATTCCGACTGCGATGTTTCAAAACATCGAATCGAAACGCTCGCCTGGAACGTTCGGCTAAATGCACGTCTCATTTTCTCCCTTAAATTCTCTCCCGTTCGCCTTAAACAGCCCCCGCCCGACACCTGTTCGCGAAAGTGAAACGTTTTATTTAACGTAGCTTCTAATCCTCCTCTCTTTCGATGGACGTTTAGACGGGGGGCTCCGGGGCTTTCCGCGGTTTACGACCGAATGGAAATTGCGCGGGTTTTTGCAGCTTCGCAGCTGCATATGAGACGGCTTTCCTAATGCCTTCGCTGCAATTTCGTCGCGGATATACCGAAGTCGCTGAAGAATAAATCGTAGGAATAAGAGGCTCTGGTGCGAGTGAAAAAATGAAACAGAAATTGATTGGATTCGGCGAGCTCGTTTCCTTCGGAATGCTTAATATATAAAGTGTATCAATTAGTTTCTTGCTGGATATAGGGTATTGTTGGAAGCTTAGTTTTTGCTGGAGCAACTCGAAACTCTCCGGTTGTTCGGTAAGTGAGTTAAATGGCTCGCTTGTAAAACCGGAATCCTATACCGGGGAAAAAAGGAGTTTTCTGGAAGGGAATTCACCTTCAATTAAACGTTTATCTCGGAATCGGTCATAAGGAATTCATCGGTAAAAGTTTCTTATGTTCGATTCGAGCTCGTTTCTTCTAAGTGTGATTGATTAGCGTGATAGAGTCTTTTGTATCATTATTGAATCATTTGTTCATTATTGAATAATATTTCGAAAATGTTTTCATAGCATCGACCGAAATGAACAATTAATAATATTTACGCAAACACGATTTCGGCATTTCGACAATATTTTGATAAATTATGGGATTTCGGTTGGCTTTGCGGCGTACACGAATCCATAGTTCGTATGATTATTTCGATTTGTAGATACAGAGATTAAATATCGACCCGATTATTCATCGCATGTTCGAGTTAGCCTCGTAAGCTAATTAAAAATTGTAATGCAGAGATTTTACAAGCATTACAATAACGTATTAACTCAACGTAAAGAACTCGTAATAGAATTAATCTGGAGATTTTTTTTCTGTTCGATTCCCTGAGGTCGTAACAAAACGATTCTGTCTATTTAAAATAATAAATCGACGTCGTTTGTGCGTAATGAAAGAGCCGAAAAATCGAATCCGAATCCGAATATTAAACCGAAAATTCCGCGCTTTACCCGTTTCGATGATTTTTCATTCGCCAACGAGCCATTCGAAATCGCGTTATCGCGTCTTTCTATCTTTTTGTTCGCCGCCCAAAACGCCCGAAATAATCGAACAATTTTTTTGTTCCGCAATTTAATTTCGATTCGTTTCTAAATAAAATACGCCAATAGTGCTAGGAAAGGAAAACCTTGTAACAATGTCTGCAAACTCGCTCAAATCTCTCCGCATTTTCGCGAGATTATTTTCGTTTGTACGAAACACTCCTGTCTTTGAGCGCTTGAAACAAACAGCCAACTAGTTACGTGGAGAACAGCGGCAAGTTTTCCGACCTATCTAATTTTCCTCGTTCCGTCGGTTTCTTTCGCCACTCGGAGTCCATGTTTGCCGATACACTCCGGCGTTCCGGGAGCGCTAACGAAGCGGTCGCCCCGGCTCGTACCTTTTCCTTGATTTCCTTTACTTTCCATGCACATTCTCCGTTTTCTTTCCCGAGGAATTTCCATGCGACTCGTGCGCGGCCGAGACCTAATGGCCTAACTCGCTTATTTTATGTATCTGCTCGGGAACGCGGAAGGAAAATTATACAGCAAAAACTGCCGAGTGAAAAATAAATAAAAACGGAACGCTATCGACTGCAAATCACTGGAAATACAAAGTTATGTTTTAATGAGAACGTTCTGTGTGGATGGGTAGTAAAAAAAATAGTCAGCGTTATTCTATTTCAATTTTATAATTAGTTTAATGTAATGAATGTAGCTAGAGGTAATATTTCATAATTAAATTTGTTTGCTTTATAAGAATATCTACTGTTTAATGAATCGCAGTTGGAAATGTACATTTGTTAGATCTAAAAAGCGATATTTCACGTTTTTAACGAACCCCCAATTAAAACTAACATAGCCGAACCGGTTGAAATGCACTATTTTTTTTTGCTCTACGTACAGAGGGTTAAATGGGGTATAATTTACACTCGAATGCAATTTGTTGATTGGTAGCGATGTATTTACAAAACAAAAAAAAAATGCGAATGACGGCTCGGAAAATCCAAAATCGCGATTTTTTACCATGAAAAAAGCCGAGTTGAATAATTAGCGGAAAGTAATTAACGATTGATTCGTACCGACGCAGCGGTTTTGTTTAGCGCTAAAACCGATTGCGGAATCGCCGGTTGGAAATTGAAAATAAAAAAAAAATACACCAGAAAAGAGCGATTGCGTTAAACTCGGAAAAAATAACGCAATTACGGCCCGTACTATAAATTTCGAAGAATACACACTCCATTACAAAAGTCAATTATTTAACTGTTCCGCTAGATAGCCGGGTAATTGCAGACGAGCCGGCATTTACCGAGCAGCTTTTCTATTGGATTCCGAAAAAAAAATTCTCACAACTTTTGAATTTCGAAGCCATTGTGCATCGCATCGGAGCCCTCGAAAGCGTCAACGATCCGCGTATTAGCCCGGCGGTATGCGTTTGAGAATTTTCCATTAAATTGTTTCGTTTCGGTTTTTTTCCTCAACTGCACTGCCGACCGGGAAAAAGAGCAGGAAAAGGTCAAAGAGCTGATTCCAAACGCATATACACAAAGGTTTTCAATGAGACATCCTGTATATCGTATCGAATCTTGCAACTATTTATTAATTCATCGGCGTTGTTTTTTGGAAATCCACAGAACTTCGGCAAACTTCCGAAATACAAGCGCTCGATCGCGAAGAAATTCGTTTTGAATAAAACATAACAATGCTCGGGAGATGAAAGAGCTCGCGTCTACGTGTCGCATCGAAATTCAGGAATTTCTTTCGATATGGAAATCGCGCGAGCGCTGGATGTATGCTAGATACATATGGAATTAGCGCGAAATCTGGCCGAATGCAAATTAGCATTAGTCAGAGAAGGGGAGCAACTGATGACTGATGTTCATTGTAACCGGCTCTTAATCAATATGCTACACAGCGAACGCCGCTCTAAGCCCTATCCGGATTCCTCTTACCAGAACTAGTCGGGAGCACAGCAGGTGGAAAACTCCTTTCCATCATCCGACCCCCGTACTTCCCATATATCCCCCCATAATTTGGTTAATTTAGCGCGGGGCTTAGCCGAATAAGCGAGGGGAATTCGTATCAATTAGCGCGAATGTGTCGATTTTAGCTTACGAATCAACCCCTAAACATTTCTCACGATCGATCGGATTTTCTCCGCAGGTTCGTGCAACTTATTTCCACGGTTCTCCTGCTAACGACCACTTGGAGCTCGAGTCCGGCCGCGACGTGCAGGAAAACGCAACGCCGTTGCGACGACGGCCGATGCATCGACGCCAGCAAATTCTGCAACGGCGTCGAGGACTGCAAGGACGCCAGCGACGAGCGGCCAGGATGCTCACGTAAGTACATCATTCCAATTAATTTACCTACTGTGCTGGATAATAACGTTGCTACGGTACAAATTGCCGCTATAAACGGGTCATTACTGCGACTAGATTCAAGATGAGATGTCTCTGGATGGGTCAAAAATTTCAAACTAGAGAGAATTTTGGTGGAATTGTAAACTATCTTGGTTCCTTCTTCTTTGATTGACTTGTTGAGTTTTGTAACTTTTACTACCATTTTGATGATCTGAGCGCAGTCGAAATGACTTGTTAACCAGACAATAACTTCTACACCCCGTTACTCGGTAATTACTTCTGGTTATATCGATGATTTAATTTCCTTTGCCGTTTCTTCGTCATTATCGGGTCTCGGAATGACAATAAATAGATAATATTTCGTTTTATCGACGTTGCGCTTGGTCGGGTTCCCCGACCGCGAATCCCTCCGCCTAATTGCCCTAATCCGGAGGAACGACGTCGGGAGTCGCGAATTAAAAGTCGCACCCTTTCCGAAATAATAATTAAAAGACGGAAGCCGGCGGGGCGAGAATGGATAAAAAAAAATGGCGCGCCATTCAAAAGCTCGGAAGTCGTTAGGGAATCGGGCGGTTTTGTACGTGTGCGGCGAAGTTTTCCTTTCGTTTTGAATTTTTAGGGATTTAGTAGTTTTCGGAAACGCGGGTCGTTAATTATTTTTTTAAAAGTTGGCAGTACGAGGAAGCCGGCGTTAAGTTTTATATATTAGGTTTTAATTGCGAAAGCTCGGACTTTTCATCGCAGCCGAGGAAGTTTTTAATGGTAATTTCGATCGCTTTCTCAATTGCGCTGATTGTTAATTTCGTATATTACTCGCTGAGTTATTAGACTGCAGTTCATTAGTTTGTATTTCGAAAAATGCGCGCGAAGCGCTCGGACTATAATTTTAATTTACAGTACGGAAGCTTAATGCGTAGTGTGCTGTATTTAATCATAAAACGACTCTTCTTTTGTATACTTTCATTATTTACGCTAACGTCAGAAAAATTTTATTCCGAATTGTTCGAAAAAACAATTTCTCCGGGCCGTCTGTCGACCTTATTCAAAACGCCCCCGGAGCGCCGAGGGGTCCCCGCAGGGGGATAATAATCACGCGGAAATGATACGAGCGCCTCCTTTTGTTTCCTATTTTCCAATATGAAATTCTGCAGGCAGGCGAAAGACTTTTTTTTATCATCGCGCGCGGCTCGAAAGACCGGGATCAAAAATTTCGTCTTTTGTGTCGTAATAACCCAGAGCACGGTGATATCCTTTCGTACGGAAAGAATGGAGAATCACCCATGCATATCGGTGATCGATAATTCCGGAGCTTTGATACGTTTTGAGTGGGGCCGCTTTTTTTTGGGAAAATTCGGCGGAATTCGCCGTCGAAACGGCGATTTTTTATGGAGAAGTTCACTTCGCGAAACGCGAATCGAACAGTAGTGTCTCTAGTAGCGGAAAAATTTAATCCACTTTGCGGGTTTCGAAGAATGATAAAAACCCGCCCGGTTTTCAATAATATTCCGCCATCGATCAATACATCAATATGTCAATTAGGAAGTCTGAGAATTTATGTTTCATGGAGAGATATTGTTTTCTTCGGTCCCGAATCCGAGATAAATCACTGGGGCGCTTCGAACTGTTTTGAATATATCGATCGGTTGTCGAAACCGTCCCCGGCGGCGGTTACGTTTCTTCCAGCCGCGGCGTATCCGCTTAAAGGGAGCTTTCTGTTTGCGCCGATCAATTACCAATCAGGTACCTGTTTATTTAGCCGGTACTTTGCGCCTAATCTGCCGGATTGCACGCGGTTACTTCGGGCTGTTTCATTACAAAAATCCATTTCGCGAATATACTTTTTAATCGGCGATTAATTATAAATTCGCGTATTCTTCGCTTTTGTGTCAAAGTGGAGAGAATTTCCCCCTCTGCTCTAAATATTCCTTTAATAAATCAAACCCCACCAATCCGGCAACCCATTAGATATATTGAATAAACTATTTCGAGTGGGAAATTTGCGAGGGAGAGGTTTATTATTAATTATTAACGCGCTCAAAATTCGAAGTCTCCGAGCTTCGGAAAGACAACAAGTTAAGCTCGACTTCACAACAAATACTTAGGTATCGAAATACCGTGCACTTAATGGAGTATTCGGAGCCAATTAGGGAGCGATTAGGGGATCAGGCGGGTAAATTTTCGTTTGGAAAAAATAAATCTACGCCCGTAATTATTTCGAAGTAGGTAGCGTTTTTCACGGGGCGCCGTACGGAAAGTTTTCGGTCGGTTCATTCGTTATGATTACGGCAATTAGGGGGAGGATTTGCGGCGAAAGCGGGGCGAGCAGTCGCGAATTCGAGGCCCCGTTTCGTACACACGAGAAATTAAATTTTAGGCAAATTGCTACGGCGAAATTGTAATATACGAAGTGTAATTCCACTGGATTACCATTCGTTGTTCGCTATGGAAACAATGGAAAAGGCTCGTTAAGAAGCAGAGGCGCCGTGCAAGTGGAAAAACTCATCGAAGAGAAACTGAAATCTGAATTATTTAGTGCTCAAAATGTGTAATTTCTAACATGTGGAAAAGATAACTACGCAAAAAATTCTTATTTCTTGATTATTCGGCTGAATTATAGCGTTTAGTTTGAATTGGTTTTGCACCAACTGTATTATTGAGGATATTAATCCTATAGTCAGTATAGTCCTTGCTTTGTATCTATGTTGTATAAGTATATAAGTAATTGTAAATGGGATTCGTCGATAAAGCTACTTAAAGAGTATGAAATTCATAAGAGTGTTTGGTATAAAAGAGCTTTTTTTACGGCGTCGTAAAAGCGCTTTAAGATCGCGAATGTTGAAATTAACCGAAAAATCCGGGACGGTATATATTTCGCGGAGAAGTTAAAAAAGAATGCTATACGGAAGAGCGATGAAAACTTCTTAACGAACGTTTTATAGATATGCATCGAGGATTTATGGACCGAATTTACTTTTATATTAGTTACCTATATACATAGAAGGATTGATATCCGTTTTATGTTTGCCTATACGTATGCGAACGATCGTTAAAAACTTTCGGACACGACCAGCAATCAAACTAGTTAGCAGTAAAATATCGCAGTAAAATGTATTTTTCGAGTGCATTACGGCTCGTAAATTATTCAAAACTATTTCTCTACATTAAAAACCAAGTCTCATTTCCCCGCTTACGCAACAATTCGGTGTAATAGTCGAGGCGCATTCGGAGCGATCGAGTCCGGTGCATATCAAACCATCCATAAACGCTGTTTTCACTGCGATCATAATTAGAGGAGAGAGTTTCGGAGCCCTTCGATGGCGCATCGAACTCGGTTTCGTTACAACCAAATTACCCGGACTTTGAAGACGTCTTCGGCGGCATATTCCGCTCCTTCGGCGATCGATAAATGGAAATTGTGGTCAAACGTTTCACCATCGGAAAACTGCAGTTTGCTGCGATCGAGCTCGTTTAGCTACATTACGCTAAATTGTATAAATTATCCAAAACTCCAGCCCTGATTGCATGAATAGTTATGGCGATTATACACTAATTCGTTATATTTAAATTTCATAAACGAAGCCTATTTCTAATAGGCAATTCCAAAACTCGAACCCGAAGAGTTCTAAATGATTCTGGACAATTCTAAATCATTCTAGATAGTTGTAAATCATTCTGAAGAATTCTAAATTGTTCTCAACAATTCTGATTCGTCCTTAAAGCAATGTAAATGATCCTGCACAGTTCTAAATCATTCTGGATAGATCTCAATGATTCTAGACAGTTGTAAATCATTATGTACTATTCTAAATGGTCCTCAACACTTCTGATTCATCCTGAATGATTCTGGACAGTTCAAAATCATTCTATATAGTTGTTAAGTAATTCAATATGCTTAATAGTATCAGTATTTTAAAACAGCGTCATTAAAAACGCTTCGGTCGAACGATACAATTTTTTTGAAATTTGTTTCGCATTTTTTTAATGAGGAATTTAATTAAACGAATTCATGTCCCGATGTGGGGGACGGGAGAGAGCGGCGGTCGCCTAATTGCTTATCTGAAAAACGGGCACTCTCTCCATTTCTCCCATCTCTGGTTTCCGCCAACCTCCATTAATTGGGTTAAGGTTAGATTTAATTGGTTTTTGGGAGAACTCCGGGACACAGCGATTGATCTTTTCGGTGTTTACATGCGTTTTTACGCAACTTTCGCTTTCGCGAATAATGAGGTAGATACCTACAGAACGACTAAAAATATTGTTACATAAAAGGATACTAAATTTTCTCTTTAAAACGAGAGTATCGCGGTGAATTAATCATTCGAATATACAAATTGCGGGATCCGAAAAGCCGGTAGAAATTTATGGGAGTTATCTAGGAAGCCGGACAAAAAATTCAAGCGATACCGGCAAACTCCGGTCCGGGAAATTTCGCAGATAAAGAATCGCATAATAGAAATAATGGAATCGCAATAATTCTCGAAACTTTCCGAAAAGCGCCTTATCGATGAGCCGTTATTCATCCGGAGTCTCCGGTCGTTCGGACGCGAAAAAATAAGAAAACGCACATACTCGTGCTCGACGAGGAACGGGGGATAAGAACTTCTTACCTTTTTGTCGTCTACAGCCGCCTCCCGTCGAGCTCTTATCGCCCGATATAATTCGAACAACTTTTCTTAGCTATCGCCGAAAGTTCCCACTCGAAATTTCTCTCCCCCCGACACAAAACAAAACTTCCAGATTCCTCCACTTGGATCCTTCAAGGGCTTAATATTGCTCGCCTGTAAATACCCAAACTCTTAATCAATCAATCGCTCTTTGTAAATTAATAATGAAGGTGATTATGTGTGGTTCAAAAACTGTAGCGCAAAATTTATAGTAAAGGCGATTGGGATGGAAATTAGGATCTATTACAAAAGTTGTGGTGTGAAAATATAGTTTCTTTAGACAATACGACTCACCCAAATCCACCGAAAAGCCCTCGAGTAGGAGAGAAACCGTTTTATTATCTGGAAACTTCATTTTATCCCGTTTTTTATCGCGCGACACCTTCCACCCTTGCGCACCTCGCCATTTGTCTCCAAGGTGTTAGGTTGGCCCGTCCGGAGTGCTTTATGTTTCGCTTTTTTTACGACCCGTCCCGGAGAATGGCCGGAAACCGTAATTCCCGGCAAAAACAAGAGAGGTCGCCGTCGCGCCAATTAACCGAAGTAGCTTCCGGGAGACCGGAAAAACCGGCGTTCCTCCGGGTCCGGGGGCGGAGCGCGGCCCTTCGTCCCGTTCGTCAGTCACGACCTTATCAAAACAAAGTATAATGCTATCAATTATACGGTATCTCTCTGTGTAAGGGCGACGTGTTCGGAAAACGGATTCGTTTTTTGGGATAATAAATTTTCGCAGGTCGCGTTTCTTTGGCTCTTTTGTATGCAGTGACGTGCCCACTAGGCACTCGCAGTTTTTTAGTTCTACCAGTAATACCACCTGTTTTCGTTTTTATACAGTTGGTAGCACTTTATTACTAGCACACATAACCTCTAATCGCTATAAAATCATTACTGTTGTTATCGTTATGTGTGCGTTATTAAATTTTGGAGTCTAATAGGGCTTTAATAAGGGACGAAGTAACATTTATACTTTTTAGTAGGTTAATAAATCGCTGTGAGGGTTCGTTTGCGCCGTACGCTCGTGATATTTCGTGCAATAAATTTTCCTAAATAAGTATCTTTTTCTTCGTTTATCTTTTTCCGGGATATCTGCGACTAATTTACGAAAATGAGATGATTTAAGTGCGGCGAGATTAACTTTTATCCGCTCGGGGTTGATCTCGGGCGGTTTTTCTTTCTTGACGAACGGCCCGTTTTATCGTTTTCGCCGTTCGTTTTGATCTGGAAATAATCATAAATATCGCAGATTTGTTTTAGCAGGAATTATGTACGCCCTGCTGGTAAATTCGGGCTCGTATAATTGACCCTCTTGTATATATCAAGGAATTGAATCTAATTAATTACTTCGCTTTACAATCGCTAAATGCGGCCATTAGATGATTAAAAATACGAAAGGTGAAATTGTTGTTTATTTTTCGAATCCGATCTAATCGAAATTCGAAACGCGTTCGGAGATCCTTTGCAGGATTCGTAGCTGTTTCCTGAGCACGTAAAGCCGGTTATCTAGTTAATAGTCGTTTTAGAAAACTAACGATTACCGTTTTTTATGATTCCTCCTTAACGAAACTTGTTAATGCATCGGGCATTGTGTGTAACAATTTCTCAACTTCAAATTAAATTTTTTTCTCTAACGTTATTTTGCTGGTTTATTTACTCTTTTTGCAGCTGTTCATGTCCGAAAATTCGAAAAATTCCTATTGTATTTAAATGAAATGTGCATTCGAATTTGATATTATTGTTGATTGTGCTTTCATCGACCGTTCGAAAATGTTGACAACAATTATAAATATTCTATTACAGGTTTATAGTCAAACGTAACTCGAAACTTTACAACCCATTGTTAATGAAATAACGTTATAATGTGGTTAATTCACGTATGAGATTCATTAATTTTTAAATTCCCATTATAAATAAACCAAGCAAATCCGCTATGCAAAGACAATAGGGTAATAATTAAAGATAACAAGGTTACTATATACCCTTCTGGTTATTCCAGAAATACAGTAGGTACAGAATTTCGAACAATGTCCTTTCGGAATGAACTCATTTACTTAGATTACCCTTATCTTGCCGAAAATTGCGCCGGAACAACCGGATAATATCGACAATAAGGGTATCTTATGCACGACCTAAAATAGGTACAATAAGGGACGTCCCGTATATAACCGCGCGAATCTTTCGATCGGACAACCTGTACGCTCATTTAATTTCAACTCGCAACACGACCTACTGGCAGGCATCGGCTACAGAGCCAGGAGATAGAGACAAAGAGGACCTTTGAGAGCGCGGCTCCCTCGGCGGCCTCGAAACTCGTTTCGAACTTTCGCAGTAATAAGATTTTCTCGGTGAAAACGGGCATGCGTGGGGTCCCCGGAGTCCCCTGAATCACATCCGGATAAGAAACGATCCGGACACGTCGAAAAAATTCATAACTGGACCGTAATTAAACGGCCGCGTCTCGTTGTTGTGGAAGCGTTGATGAAAAGACATCGTGAATGAAAAGGACGTATAGAAAAGCCTTTGGAATCGGCGGAAAACCGGAAACAATCTCTCCAAATTACCAGCCGGTTCGGTTTGGAAAATGCCGGAATGGCAGGACGGGCCCCGTCAGAAGTTAGAGAAACACTGATTAGTCGCTTTGAAGTGAAACGTTCGTTCATTTCAAAGCAATAATCAATTGAAGCGAACTCCAATATTCCATATAAATTCCAATCAATCTGCATATTTAATACCAACTGCATTAATACGAGTATTTATGCTGTGACGAAGCGAGTGGAAAATTATGCAGAATAAATCCCTCAAAACGTATTGATGGATTAAACAAATTTATATAACATCCTATACAGAGTAACTCAAAATTGGACAATTCTTCTACATCGCAAACAAATTTACACTCACCCGCATTTCAGTAGTATACTAGTTATTTCATTCGCCTTGTATACAGTAATACTTACAGGGTTATTAAGGGTATTTACGCTCTGTCGATCGCATTCCGAGACAAGGAACGGGTTTTGTTCGTCGGGCCCTTATCCGAGACCCGGGTGTATCGGAGTCGGGTTTTGTAACAAGAAAATTACAGGGACTTCGGCGGTCTCGTATCAATAGATCGATAATTGAAATTGCGGCCGATGTAGGAGTGCTCGATTAATTGGGTTTTCGACCGGCAAACGACAAAAGCCAAAACAAGAAAATTAATGCGCCGGAGTATCGGAAAACACTTGCTTGTTTGTACGCTTGCAATTCATAATTGAAAACGCGGCAAAAATAACATAGGACATCCGGCAACGTCGCTAAGCGGGCATTTCGTCCTGGCAATTTGAAGGAGTTTTAATTACGCGGGTCCTGTACATATTTCGCCGGTCCCTTTGCCTTTCCGCGTTTCGCGGAAAATGGAAATGGAATTAATAATAATTTGCTCTGTGTTCTGTTCTGTTCTGTTCCAGCTTGTAATACGACCCATTATGGTTACGTGGGCGTTACGTACGAAATAGAGATAAAGCGACCCTCGGAGAGCCGGTTGCCCTTTATCTGCTACCTCAACTTTACGGCGGGCGGAGGCGCTCTCGGCGAACTCGTTCAGGTGAGAGAATATTAACAGTGCTTTGGATTAATAAGTTTTCTTATCGGTTATATTCCGGAATTTAGTACATTATATATAATTTTCGCGTTAAGCTCCCTTACTATAAAATTATAGTGTGTCCGCTTACGGCTATTTCAGTTGCTCGGTAATAAAAATATTTTTCCAGCGGGACGAGGACAGCACTGAATACACATTTCCGCGGAACGACACGTATGTGTTCGTACACAAACGTGTACCGAAAATTCCGCTTTTATGCATTATTTCGCCGCCGGGGAGAAAATTTATGTTACGTGATCATAATCTTAATCTGGGCGCTCTGTGCTCTCCTAACTTTTCGGATAGTTAACATGTCGGCCGATTACCGCAGTGAATGCGAGAACTACCGGCAACTTTGTTGACTAAACACTCGCGGAGCGAAAAAATAATCGGCGGAAAACTGCGAGCGGAATAACAAATATGACCGCTTTAGGGATTCCGGAGTGGCCTTAGTTAATTCGATGGAATAATAACGTATTAGAAGCGTCCCGGAATTATTGGGGTGTGCTCGACTCCGGCGAATCGGGGCGGTTTTCTCAACTCTTCCATTTAGATACGTTCCTGAATTAAATACAACGGCATCTAATAGAGGAATAGGAAAAGTTTATCGGAGCACCTGGTGCATTCGAACGATTTCTGATGCGATAAGCGAGTCGATTCTGGAAACTTGAAAGTTTTCTTAATTAGATCGCAAACACGACGACCGAAAATCATCCGGTCGTCGTGCGCAATTTTCCATTCCCAGATAAATTTCCTCGTTCCGCGTCAAAATATGTGGAAAATATACATTCGGAGTCGTTCGCGGAATCCCATTTTCCGGCATGTCGACGTCGACTGTGCAACAAAAACCGATACGAATCTGCCGCCTTTGGTTCGAGCGAAAACGGTCTCTCATTCAGGGAAATTTAACGAATACGTTTCGGATTGAACTAAACGTGATGAATAGGAGCAAGTTTGCTTTTATATATTATCAAAACGGAATTTATTTCCATTCGTTTAAGCTCGGGATAAGCTGTTTATGCGGGACGAAATCTCCTCCTCTGGAGTACACCACGGATTTTTTTATGCCAGCGAAAATGGAATATGTTTCGTTTGAAATACTATAAGCCTAAGCCGCTATATAGCTGACAAACAAAAAGTAAGCATTAAGCGACTTTACTAATAAACGAACACAACATAGTAAAGGAGATTAACGGCAAAAAAAAGCGCATAATAATTTCCATGGCGAGCCGATAAATCTTGGCGTGGAAACGCAACCTTCCCAAGATTACGTCGTCGATCGTAAAAACGCGAATTTACGAGCAGGTCGTTTGTTTTCGAAATTTTAAACACGCTTTAATTCCACGATATCTAATTAACGTGCCCCGGCCACTTCGAAACGGACCATTAATCGCGATAGACATCGCGGCGACCCGACCAAAACAACCCGTTGCAACGCCAGACGGAGCGTCTCGACGCCGACGCCACCTACGAAACAATTTCCTCGACTCCCTGCAATTTCCATCTTATTGTTTGTTACGGGAAATTTATAATTTATAGAATAAAAATCTGCGACTATATTTCTGCACAGTTCGCAAAATTTTCCGGGCATTTTTGATAGAGTGGTACAAGTTTTTGTATGTCCTCCTTATGGAAAGTTGCCGCCTGTGTTTTGCAAATTGCAAATGGATTGATTCTGGAAAATTTTCGCGAACTAGTGATCGAGAGAATTGCGGAAATTCTATAGAAAGATTATGATTAGTTAAACTTAATCTTTTCCTTAATCTTTTTACTTCAATTGAATGTTATGTGAAAACCAATCTCTAATAGACAGTAGATAGAAAAATGGTCGGAAGATTTTGAGATGTGTGTAGAAACATACAACGATTGTATTTTCGAGCCATCAAGGGGAGCAAAAGTGGCCAAATGGCAGGTCGAATTTTACGAGCGCCCTCCGGCGGAATTAACACTTATTGTTAAACTAAAGCGAAACTGGCTGAAGTTGCATGCACGTCGTTGCGCGCTTTGTTGGTTTCCGGCATCGAACCGGAACTAATCCTTCAGCGAACTTTGATTAAATATTTACCTTTAAGAAAGTGCAGTCGAGGTCGTTTCTCTCGCTCCGGTCGCGTCTCCGCCTCGACGTCGTTCCGCGGGCGAGACGGATGGAGCTCGAGCGCCCCGACGCCCGGCGTCGCGGCCACTAAATGATTCACGAGCGGTTCGGAGCCGCTTAATTGTCTTCGTTAGTTGCGCTGTAATTGTTTCGTCCGAGGTGTTGGGAATCCTGGTAATTCTGAAAAGAACCGACGGGTATATATTTATATATTTCGCTGGTGAATTTCGCTAGGCGGAATGTAAATGTTGCATCGGAAACAATCGACACGTCGCACTCACGCTTTGTTAATATTCCGCGGACGCGCCGCGCGCTTTAATTCTTTATAATCGAGGCGGGAGTTCGAAGACGTCGCGACGCGTAGATACACGTAGGTAGGACGGATGATTAAAATTAATGGAGCGCAATGGAGGAGATATACGTCGTGCGCCTTTTTGAAAAATTCACGTCGCCTCGACGCCGCGACGCTCGCCAGAATGTTTAAAAAATTTCCTGGGTAACTAGAGCAAAACATCGGCAATGCCGATTTCCAGCGCGACGGGAATTTCTTTCGTTGAAACAGTTCTTTTATTTGTATCTAGACGAACTGTTTAATTCGACATTTGATTGAGCACGCTAATGAAATCATAAATTAAATAGAACGAATTAAATAGAGAAAAGTTATAAACTAAATTGACATTTGATTGACAGTAACAAAAAAAAATCACAGCATTCTGATAAAACCGGATAAAACACTAAAGTCGATTTTTTTGACGTTTTATGCAAACAATTAATTTGACGTTTGAGTGACAGAATGACAGTCGCGACCTACTAACAATAGAAAAATAAACTTTTTACGCCGCAATATTCACGAATTCTGTTTACCGGAATAATTTTCCATTTTAAAACTATTTGTAAATACGTACAGCGCGGAATCCATTAAGCACCTACTGGTGGATGGCGCCGTAAAAGAGCCATTACACGAATTCTCATTGTACAGATATGATTATGGCCCTCGCTAAAAATATGGCCCGTTCCCCACTTGCTGTCGCAAATGTAAGCCCCGGCGGATCTTTATTTACGATTATTACGCCCGACTTTACGTCGAACGAATCAATTTCCAATCGGCGATAAGAATTTTTGAATATTATTACGGCCTCGAAGGGTATCGTTCCTACGGCAACAGGGGATATTTTCGGTAAGGCGATTTTCTTTTCTCGTTCCAGCTGAGCTTCGAGGCGTTTTCGGTGGGGACGTTCGAGTCCTTCACGTCCGGCGGGTGCCCCGACGGGGCCGTTTCCATACAGGAATCGAACCGGCCGAGCACCGGGGGCGAATGGTGCGGCAGCGCCTGGGGCTACTCCGTCTACTACAGCGAAACCTCCAGCGTGAACCTCACTTTGATTTTGAGCAAACTCAACCAGGAGGTATGTAAACCATTTATTCCATAACTGTTGTATAAAGTAGAGTTGGCCGGATGTGTTACTTCGCAAGAGGCCATGGAAGAAAGTTATAGTTGCGGGTTTAATTTGACAGTTTTACATTGTTGTTATGGAGTAACTAAGGACATTTGTTTATGTTAAGAATCTTTGCGATTAACGTTAAAAAGCAGCGCTGAATAGCGACTCTTGTAATTAGTATAGGAAAATAGGCATATCTATAATGAATATAAAAAATAATCGACCACTCTGTATATAGATAGTTTGACGAGGGATGAGTTAATACCCTTAAAAAAGGAATCCTTTAGCTGTCCAATCTAGCACGCCGGCAATTCAGCTTCCGAGATTTCGCAAGCCGGCTGGGATGGAAAGACGAACGATGACGTAAACAAAAAGTTTTTCCTGGCTTTTTTCCTATTATTATATCGGTCGCTAATGACGTTGAATTTCCACGAAAAACCGGGCCGTTATCTTCGACTTTTCGCCCGTTTGTGCTATTTTTTTGAATCTCCGGAAATAATTTCTCCGATGCGGCAATTTAATTGGTAATATATGCGACGGTTAAATATAGCGTTTTGTCTACGACAAGTGAAAAATTATCAAGAGATTAGTGCGATTGTTTTTAACGGTTAATTTATTTGCGAAGTCTTGTTATTTGGCGAATCAAAAAGCCGAACCCTCCATCTTATTAAATTACGGAAAAGCCCCTCTGAGTCGTTTGATATTATTACATTTTTTTTGCGGGGCCTTTCGCAAGCCGCCTCGCGCTCTTAATTCTCTCCTTATTTATATTTTCCCGACCTATTATGCAAATTACTCCGGAGTTATTTATCATCAAAAACAGATTTTTATCTCTCTCGCTCCGTCTCGCGGATCCCGCCAGACCTTCCCAGTCTGTCACGCCGACCGTCGACTTTTTCGCGCATTAATTTCCCGTAAACGCTCCGACGCGCGACCCGCTCTTTCATGTCCCGTTTTTTCCCTCTACACCAACAAAAAAACACCGAGGAAAATACTCCGGTTTTTATTCCAGATAACATGACAAGCTCCAAAACGCCGCCTTGGGTTTTCCAGCGTCAAACGTCAAATGTCAGAACTGTCAAATTTTTGCAACAGTAGAATCCTGTTGCAGGTGTTTTGTGTACTCCACTGGGTATAGTGTAAAAGGTGTAGAAACTCCTAGGATTCTTCTGAGAAGTGAATTTTCGATTTCTTTAAATTCTTACTACCCGTCGGTTTTTTTTCAAGCTCCAAAAACAAGCTCCAAAACGCCGCCTTGATTTTCCATTGTTGACATTTATAAAATGCCAAATGTCAAAATATGTCAAAATCATGCATTGATAGGAGGTAGAAACTTTGGATTCTCCCTGAGCAATTAATCATATGGTATGTTGATGAAATTTACCATGGAACTGAATTTTGACCCTTTAAATTCCCACTCCCCGCCGGCCTTTTTTGTAATAAATCACGCGCTGTCGAAGCGTCGGTATCGAATTTTTTACCCGATTCAACGGGGTTCGATCTAACAATGAACCGCCTAATGGTAAATACGACTGGCATGGCGTAGCGAAAGGCCCTTTTGTTCCAATGAAATTACCTGGGCCCCCTCCCGCCCCGAATAAAATGTACTGTGTACATTACATGAAAAATGTTTTTCTACGGTTCATTAATGATTGATGGGCCGCGATCGAACGCACGTGATGTCTGCTAATAATGAATGAAATCGGCGGGACATCGGAGATAATTCTTTCGGTATAATTTATTACCCCAACGTCAGCTAAATGACTTACTCGACGAAGGAAAGTTAAGAGATACAAGTTGGTAGACACGGATATAGAGAGTTGGCAGCAATGACGCGTCAAATTTTAAAAACCACCGAACGCGTACGTCAATTTACTCGGCGAAATCCCAATCAATAGAATACGGAGCGTTTTTCATCCGGCGTCGAATCCCGGAAGATTGCTCGCCTTAAATTAACACGCCGTTGTACAAATTTTCATTCGCGCCATCACAATAGGCGGCGAATTCGCGCTGATAATTTTCGTGTTTCGAATCGCAAGAGCAGATTTTCTTCCTGTTCACTTCGCCTCCCCCGGCGCGGCTTTCTCCGGCCGCCTCCCGAACGCCGTTGTGTCGGCTGAATAGAGATCGGAGAAAATTATTTCAATAGAAATTTGTATGCATACGACTCCGAGATAAGCGAGTGCATGCATAAGCATCGGGAGGGCCGTAAACATCGTCCGGGATTAAAATTTCCTCGTAAATTATTGCTCGAATCGCGACAAACCCGATTCCAAATACCTATAAAATTTGTTAACATAATGTCGTCCAACAAACGTCACTTTGTATTAAAAATAGTAAAGTAAGTTGCCTAAATTCAGGTGCGCTGTTTCATATAGTCTATTCAACAATTAATCTTGTGACGTCACCGCGTGATTAAGTTGAACGTAGTTCAGCAAGTTTTCGCGAAAGTATATCTGCAAGTAGGAGGTCTATCGAACTGCGAAATGTCTGGTTATTATTCGGCAAGATCGTAATTTTTGATTCGCCACCATCTAAATTAGATCCCGGGCGGGAGTTCGAGCGGGCGAACGGAAATTACGTAACGACTAGACTTTCGAATGAACTTAACGAACTCCCATAGAGTCCGTTTTAAATAACTATTGTCTAAGTTTCGATGGGTTGGCGTTTCGCAAATGATGTTTATTATTTTTGGCCCGCATCCGAAATACGCGATGTTCGCCTGTGTATATTGACTACACCAAAAAGTTTTAATGGCTTTCGGTTAAAAGCCGAAGTACATTCGGAATTATATGATGTGAACTGCTGTAGATTCGAGCAGACATTTCGAGGATTTTTAGCGTTTAGTCGATGTAAGTAAAAAACGGAGGTGAGTAATTAGAGGTGTTCCGGCCAATTAATTTCCAGTTAATCGCGTTTCGCGACAACCCAACGAAAACTCCGAAGAATCCCCGACCTAATCCCATTATGTTTCGACCGAAAAAGAAGAATAAAGCCCGCGGGGCGCTGAAATCTAATATCCACTTCATTTTCGTCGACGAAAATAAACTCCAGATTTTTTTCCTGATTAAATTGATGTTGCGCCATCATATTTTTCATGACTGTAATTTACCTCGACCGAAAACCGTACAAAACGGCTTTTCATCCGCTCTCTCGCGGGCCTTTTTTTCACGCCGGCGGTGCCGATTCGGACGCCTACCCTGGATTTTGATTAAAAATTAGCGCCCGCAAAATAACACTACCACTCAAAGGACAAAGGACTTTGTGCTTGCATCCTTTATCGACCTCGATAGATTTAACAACTCCATGGGGGTATTTAAATCGCCAAAATACAGGGTATTTTTTACCCGAAAACCACTTACTTTGTGTAAGATGTACGATATGTTGTTTTAAGCGAAAAAATGGAATATACACGGGTGAGTCGTGGAGTAGCAAAATGAGCGAGATTCACTCTGTTCTATCCAGGATATCCCACGAATTGGTTTACCTATATAGAAGGCAAAAAACCGCCTTGTATAAGAGTAAAGAATCGCTTAGTCATGCACAATTTTTCTTGTTCGGTGCCGCTTCGAGTGGAGTACACAATCATTTAGTAACTATCGATTATATTACGACGTCGTTCATTTCGAGCGGGAGTTCTTTCGACCCGGAGTGCTTACCCGGAGCGATTTCCTTCGGAAACTTATGAGCGGCCCTCTACATGTCTTTTTCCACTTAAACGTTTTAAGTGTTAGATGCTTCCGTTTGACCGCATTGTTTCTCCGAACTGAAGCGGGCTCGTAAAAAGAAAGTGCCGAGCCGTCGTTTTCGGGCACAATGCCGCCCGTCTCCGCTTTACGTCCGAATACATTGTTATCGTTCGTTGAATGGAAACCGCCCGATTTCACCGCGCAGAAATCATTGCAGAATTCAAACGAAACCGCCTGCGAGATATTTCACAAAGCGAGGTGTCGTAATTAAAGTTGTCGAGTAGTTGTTTTGGGTAAAACAGAGGCAGTTTCATTTTCAGCAGAACTCCGGAAACAAGTTCGAGTTCAAGCTCACCTACAAATTCCTGAAATTGAGCGATGCACGGATCCGATACGGGAACTCCACGCAGCGATCGTACAGGTAAGGCGAACCCGGGGGGGCTGGGAATGCATCTCATATACTCTATATCTCTACTGTAATCCCGCGCTGCTTGAGTTATTATTTAATTAAAAACTCCACGGTCGCGAAGCGAAGAAGTGATTTTGCAGGAGCTAGTATCTACGCTATTAATAAGACAGTAAATTCGCTCTACAGCGCGCAAAATCAATAGTTCTCTTACAACAAACTCCTTTTGTATATACCGATTCGAAAAAAGCACGATTGCCATTACCAATCGCAATGAAAAAATCTCAAAGCGAACGTAATCCCTAACAAACAGCTCAAAGTCGAGCCCCATAAAATATTCACCTCTGAACTCTTTCCGCGCGCGCTCCCGCCCTCTTGACCGTACATCTGCATGTTCAGTTTCCTTTTCGAACGCCACCGGTCTTCAAACGGAGACGAATAAATAATTCCCCGTTTCGACCGGTCCCCGGAGACTCTAAACGGGCGCAACTCCCCCCGATTATACCGGGATTTACGCGGGGTACGTGCAGCTTTATCCGCACGCCGATAAAGCCCCGATACACTTTTATTTATTCAAGGGACTAATGTTTAATATTGATGTTAAACGGTCCAATCCCGAGTTTGCCCTTCGGCTGGATTTAGGCCCATTTTTTCTATTGCTAGGTAAATACTGCTAGACCCATTAGAAACTCTATACTACTCGAATATGAGTTGAACTTTTTGCGAGAGATGACCCCTGGCAATATTCCTCCCGCTTTGCATTTCGCGTTTTCCCGTTGGAGTGACGAGTGCTCGGTGTTTAGGGGGAAGCTGAGCGCCGGGACGTTCTGCGACCGGTTGTTGGAGGGATGCTCGCGGAGGACGTGTCGCATCCAGTCCCCGAACTATCCGGGGATCTACCAGCGGAACGTCAGCTGTTCGTACAGGGTGAGGGAGAGGAACGTGCCGCAGGGGAAACATGCACTTATAGCAGTCAGACAAGCGAATTTCCATTACAAGGAGCACGTCGCCAAATTCGATGGCGGCGACAGGGGATTTAGGTGAGATATATAAATTTTTTATAACCGAGCGGGTTTCAATCGATGGCGCGGTTTCAGGACGCTGGACCAGTGCAATATGATGCAGGATTACATAGAAATATTGGACGGATGGGGCCCATCGGCTATAACCTTAGCGCATTTGTGTAGCGGCGAAACTATACCGCAAATCATCAGCAGCGGACCGGAGTTATTGGTGAAATTTCACACGTCCCCTTCGGGGAATCCCTTCCATCCCCTGCCCATATCTTATTTACCCGGATTCGAATTGGAAGTAGAGGTAAACCCACAATCTCTCTCTCTCTCTCTGAATTACATCCACAATTTCCTCTTCATCACCAGGTAGTATACGTGAACAAAGAATCCCCGACTTACATCGAGCAAGGTAAGAAGTGCGAGTTCCTGGTGACCTCCTTCGACAGGCCCTTCGGTTACCTGAAGAACCCGCTGCAATCCCTGCCGCCCAACACGACCTGCCACTACCACTTCCGCGGCCAATCGCGCGGCATCATCTGGATATCCTTCATCAAATACCACGTGATCAACGAGCGCCCGGCCGACTTCGAGCAGGGCGATTGCAACGTCGCCCTGCAGATCTGGGACGGCGACGTCCGCAGCGCCGCGACGGTGCCGCTGATGGGCCAGTTCTGCAAGGACGACAAGCCGCGCCTCTGCGACCACAGCCTGCTGAAGAACTCCTCGAGGATAACGAGACCGTGCGGCCTGAGCGAGAGCTACGTCAGCACCAATTCCGATCTGACCATAGCGCACACGGTGAAGTACGGCAGCGTGTTGTACCCGGTGAACTTCGTGCTGCGCTACGAGTTCGTGGATCTGTCGCAGGAGGGCGTGCAGATGAGCAAGAATCCCTGCGATCGGTTGTTCAGGACGCCCAACGGCCGGTTCTACTCGCCGAGAATAACGTTCCTGTACGGCAGAGGCGGCAAGGAGGACTTGAGTTGCACGTACCAGTTCGAATCGAGCGATCAACAACGATTGAAGATCACGTTCAACAAGGCGCAGTTCGGCGCGAAGAGCCGCTGCGAGTCGCGCTACGATCCCGACGCCGATCGGCGGGTGTGCTATAACAGGAACTCGGACTCCGCCTCGGCCTTCATCCAGATAGCGGAGTTTCCGTGGCCGGACGTCGAGCTGCGCCGCGACTGTCTCTGCGGCAACATCACGGAGCCCTTCAGCGTGGTGACCAAGACGTCGGCGAAGGTGGTCGTGAAGTTCGTGGTGAGGAAAATGTCCATCACCGACGATTACAACGACTACTTCTTCGACGCCAGCTTCGAGTTCGTGCCCAATGACAGCAACTGCTTGAATCCTTGGAACAATAGGAGATTGAAGGGCAGCAGCGGGGAGATTACGATCAGGAACGGGGAGAATAGTTTGGAGAAGACCGACGATGTTTTCAGCAAGAATCAGAGCGTCAGGTACTTACGATTTATACATTAATTTTTCGTCTTTAAATTTGTTGTTACAGGTATTGTCTTCAACAACCTTGGTTGATAGAACCCGAGGAGGACAGCAATTTTATTTACCTAAAAATCAAAGGTACTAAGAAAAAGGATTCCAGGCTATGTCCCAGCAAAAACAGGATATTGGTGTATCCCGCCGGTAAAACCGACACCGTCCACGTGATTTGCCCGCATTACGAACACCCCGAAGACGTCGTCGACATGTTTTCGGAAGGTTGGGTGCTGTACAGCTACAGGAAAACGCACAGTAAAAACTCCAGGAGCTTCGTCGTGGAGTTCCTGCGCAAAGAGAGCGGCAACTTCGCCGTGACTTGGATGGAAGTGTCCAAGAACCCGGCGCTTGCACTACCCACCTCCATGTTAATGATAGCACCGCCGGAATGCCCTCACAGGTAACGAATTCGATGCTGCATAATTCAAAAATTTCCCCGCTCATTTTCCCCGACCGATAAAGTTTTGAAAGGCATATCCGAAATAGCGCCAGTGTGTTCGTAATAGGCGCTTAAACATTTATAAAGCTCGCGTCCCGTTCGATTTATTCCCCGTTTACATATTTTATTAGCCGATAAATTACTTTTATTAACGCGATCAATTCCGGAACGCAGACGGTTGCGAGAAGAGCTAAGATGAAAAATGGAAAAATTGCAAGTCGACCGGGAAATGCGTTCTGCGCCGTCGGAGCCGCTTCCCCAGTTTATATCGAAACTGTACGAATCACTTTGGGGGATTTATATCGTTTGCTGAGTTAATGCGATGTGTTCTTATTATTGTTTTATTTTTTCGCAAGTAGATTAATCCGATAATCTTTCGAATCGAATTTCTATTTTTTATTAACTCGTGGAGGGATTGGTGGAAATCCTATTCTTCGATTTAAAATGAGAAAACTTTTACTTATTTGCTATTGTAGAAAGAAAGCCAATTATATTATTCTTGGAGTTTGCGATTCTTATATGAACTGCGTTTAAGTAACCGGAATATTAAAACGTGGATTAAACTGAAATTCGAGCTTCATTATTCACTGGAATAATCAACATCTCAATAATCAACAGTAGAATTTGTAAAGTTCGAGCGCTTGCATGCACGGGAAATTTCAAAAAGTTTAAATTAGTTTCATTAATGACTCTCGTAGTTTTAGCATAAGTAAATCAACTTCAAAACACTTTACTTTCCCGGATTCTCACATAACAATTCAAGAAACGAATCCATTATTACACCCCCGTGTAAGTTATGCAGCTATACACAGAGAACAAGGAGCATATAATTCCATTAACGTTATTCTACGAACTAATTGTAAACGGTATAGTTAGTTTGTGAATAATTCAAATCCAGTAAACTCCGATTCGGGGGAAATTTCGAGCGTCTTTATTTCGAGAAGGCAAGGTAAAAAGTGCAATTCCAACTCGGAATTTCGCATTCGAATATTCTCATCCCTGAGCACCTTCTCCCAGCTTTAAGCGGACAAAATTGAAAATAACATGCATTCTTCGCACATTTTCTATATCAGAATCAATATTCCTATTAATATTCACATTAACACCAGATTGAGTATTTGACAATGGTATAAAGATGGATAGAATAATCAAGGATATTGACGTATAATTTACTTTTTCGAGTAAATGCAAGTTTAATGTAAGTCGAGGATTTAGTATTTAGTCCATTTAGATAGGGGACAATGGCGTAACGTTCCATCAACGCGGCGTATCTCAAATGGAAATGAACTTCCTGAAAATTTCATGAGTATCGCCCGGGTCGGACTCGATTTCTGAATAAGTTTGACCTTTTCAACTTCGCTTAATAAAGGAAACGCCATTTTCTGAATACAAACCGGCGCGCTTTGGCTGACGAGAAAACGAATTACACACTTACAGATTATATAATACAACGTTTATTCTATTCTCAAATTAATTCGGAAACAAAATTGTTTCTTCGAAAACTGTTTGCACTAGTTCAATTACCACCCACGTTTTCCCTTCTTGCCATATCTTTTATACTTCCCAAGAGCCCCGTGGGAATCCCCCAAGGACATACATGACACCATATTAGTAAGGAATAGCTCAATATATCTTTTACAATAACTCTAAAATCATCTACAGTAACAGATACTTTGAGCTTTTCCATGGTAATATCATCTTGTAGACGACAGTAAATCATCTCTGATGGGTTCCAGCTGCCCGGAATTGGGCGCCTGCATCAGCTCCGAGTTGTGGTGCGACGGGCTGCGGCACTGCCCGTCGGGCAACGACGAGCAGGAGTCGAATTGCTCGTCGAAGGGCGGCTTCCCGGCGGCCTATCTGAACGCGCTGGCGCTGCCCGTGCTGGCGGTGACGGCGCTGCTGGCGGTCCTGATGGCGGCCGCGTTCGCCTACAGGCACTGGCGGCAGGAGCAGAAGAACGTGATGGTGTCCGTTACGGAACACACTTTTTTAGAGTTCAAAAGCGGATTTTGTTGAGTGGCGATCGTCGAGAGAGGAAACCTTTCGCGGTTATTGTACTTGTTAAAGTTGCGATGCGTTTGAACTTTCTTCGTAATATACTAGTCGTTTTTAATAGTAAATGAATGCAATAATGTAAAACAATCTTTAACATGTTATTATGATGTAAGAATACACCACCTTTCAAATTTGGTACTTAACTACAGACATTTATCATTATTATTTTTCGCCTAACAATGAAGAAGAACCAATACAATTAATAGCAATAACAATTACGTTTTATATATAATAAATAACCCTCGATTATACTAGATTTGAAAGGTATCACTATAAGTTTAAATGAAGGTGAAGAGATGGTTCGAAAGGACTGGCCGATTTGTCGACGGTATCTCTGGAAACGCCATGTGATGCTCAGTACAAGGAACCGGGAACGATTTGTACTTCAATGACTGACAATATATTCGTTGTAAATGTATTGTAATATAAATAAATGATAACAAAAAACTGTTTTTAAGGGTGTAAGAATTGAAAAGTTATAGAACGGTTTCGTTTTCGAATTTTAGTTTCGATTTTGTGTAAGTATTTACCGAACCGTAGAGCAATGAAACATTTTATGGAATAAATAAAAAACTTTCAAACGTTCGTTTTATTTTCAAAATGGTTGAAGAGGGTTTTTGTAAATTAATAACAAGTATAATTAAATAACGTTTTATTATAAAAGAATATAAAACCTTGTAGTATATAAAAAAATCAGCTAAAATGGACGGAGTATAATTCCCGAAAGTCTATAAATCAAATATTCTTAAACTAATTGTTAGCAATTTTTATGAGATTCGCGAATATATGGAAAAAATAAGTTGAATGCATAATATAGGCACTTAATATTTTTACAATATTTACAACTTGTGCTTCAACCAGTCCATATTACATCGAACTATTCCATAATGAGCTCTTTAAATATAAAAACTTCTAAAATCGGAATGTGCAAAACGAGATTCTCCCCTCAAAAAACTTCAATAAAACATAATTACAAAATAAACCTATATGCAATAAAAGCACATATAGTGCCCCATATCAATCCCGAAGAGATCCTTAAGTTCGACGAAGTATTACAACCATCTTTAGTATTACAAGTACAATATTCCATGAAAATATTATAAGTACCGGTTCGCATTAGGCAAAACCTTTCGTCTCCTGCTATACCCGGCTCCCCGAGATATGCGCAACTTCTTATGTACTTCCAAACGCCGTGCACTAGAATATTTAATAGTTTAATTACAGTACAATAATAAATGTATATGTGGCAATAAATGAATTAAAATAATAAAATACCTTTCTGTCTAATTTTTCTGCACATAGTAGGAAGTACGCCTTTCAAATAGTCCAATTCCTTCAATGTAGCGCAGTCTGTTATGGCGAATGTGGTGTTATCGAATGGATCGGAACATTTCGGATCAGCGTCCGATCTGCAATCCCAGCATTTTATCGAATAACCTGCAGAACAGTTTTACATTGTCGTTATCGAGCGAAAAAGTGTACTTTTTAGAGGAACGTTGGAGGTACTTAGTCACTTATTTATTAAACGAATGAGTAAAGTGGGTGAGGCTAGTAATATAAATTAAAAGTCGGCTTACTTGATTGTATTAAAACTGCTAATGTTACGAACAATATCGGTATGGCCAGTCTAAAGTTAAATTCCATTTTTGTGATCGATATAAGTGTTAATTTGGTAAATAAATGAATGTAGAATTTAAACAACAAATAAAAATACAACTCCCTTCATTAGGATAAATGTCAAATGTGGCATCTGTCGAATGTCAATGTCAGAAAAAAATTTAATGATCCATAAAAAGAAGAAATTAGAGGTTGCCAAATTGACATATAATTAAAGAAACATCTCCTAGATTATGCAACCAAGATTACATCCTTAAAAGCCGTACATTTTTCATTTTAAAACCATCTTGTTGCCACTGTTTATTTGTTTAGCCGTATAAAAATTTATAACAAAAATAGCTTATAAAAATACTTGTATAAAAACAATTCTAACAAGCATAGTAAGAGATTCTTCGACAATGAGTATATCATACAAAATTAATCATTTGAACGGGTGCAGAAGAATTCTCATCAATATAAAATGAGGTAGTCTAAGCACTAAGCATTAATCTTATAAAATAACACACTTATTTTCAAATTATAACAAATAATAAAAATGTAAAAAGTAAAACCCAAGATATCATAGACATCTTTAGATTAGTAGAAGAGTTACAACCATCCTTATCGTGGCAGGAACAGTAATCAGCATAACAATCATCAGAGCACATTTTTTCATAACAATCATTAGGATTACAAGGTCTCCGCAAACAATTCGAAGGATCTGTACTGTCAGTTTCGTTAATAAAGCCACATCTTCTTATTAATACATTTTGGCCTCTCTCTGTAAAATAATAACAAGTATAAAGTAAAATTTCTTACTTGTATTGAATTAAATTGTTTTACCGATTTGATGAATCTTCATGCAGGCCATGTCAGCTGTATTTCCTCGAAAGTTGCGAAGCGCAATTTCACATTCCGTTATAGCAAAAGTTTCATTATTGAAAGTATCTGAACATTTATTATAATAGTCAGATCTACACTCCCAACATTTAATCGTAGAACCTGTGGATAATTTAAAAAATATTAATAGAGTATTTACATTATTCAATAAACTTACCTTCTTGAAAACATAAACAAGCGATCACAGCAAGCCAAAAAATTGATCGATTGTTTAAGTCAAACATGATTTGATTTTTATCGAATTAGTTTTATTATATAACCAGCCACCTTTGCTCTTTTAATTAATTTTAATTATATTTATAGTGGTATACTTACAAAGGCCCCAGAAATTTGAAATGATTTAATTATAAGAAACGACAAAAAACAGTCGAATGTAACAAATGTTAGTATTTAGTATAAATCGAATACGCCAAAATTTGCCAAAATTTCACAAACACAAAATAACCTTCACATTTTATCATGGACAAATACCCGCATTTTATTAAATTAGCAAAATTAGTCGCAGATCGCAGACCAAATATAAAACTATTTTTAACCACAGAACACAGAACTTGAACATCATAGAACTTCCCTCTAGAAAAACAGTGTCAACAACCTAATAAACCAGATATTTAAAAAGCATCCACTTGTCACTCTTTGTTTTTTTACTTATTAAAAATTAGTCAGTTTGAAAACATATTTAAAGCATTAATATCATTTATTATTTAACAAGATTTGTTTCACAACTTTTACAAATTCTATAAAAAACAAATTTTATTCTTGTTTATTCCTATTGGTTGAAAAATCGTTCTCATAACGCAACTGTTAGTATTTTGTGTGCTCGCTAGCTGTCGCGTCCATGCCCCCGTGCGGCATTTATTTTTATTATTCATTCGGTGAATTCGCTCGCCGAGAGCACGAAGTGCGCTCGTTTCTCGTTTTATTTCTTTAATGAATGTTGCTTTTTTTTATTTGTTCATTCAATATCGATGTTCGTCGCGTATAACGCGGAATGATAGCACGAGCACGGCGAATATGTTTATTTACGTTCGGTCAGTTCGTCGCAGAATCGCCAGTACAAGGTAAATAACAAGCAGGTGCGATTTATCGGCGTAAAATGAACGATGGCAGTGCTGGTTTCCAATATAAGCGGACATATTCAAAACCAGTTGACCAGATCTTTGGAACGGATACTGGAAGAGGCGAACCAAAGCGGCGAGTTGAAGTTGAGCAACAGAAAATTGAAGGATTTCCCCAAAACCAACGAGAAGTATAATTTGAGTGATACAGTAATTGCAGGTAAATTTCTAATTATCATTTCTTGGTAGTATCGAACGTGTGTGTGACACACGGCTTGAATATTAAAGTTTGTTTTATTGCATTAGCATTCCGTATCACGCTCTCAGTTTCTCTCTTTGTGTGTGGTTTCTTTCGATGTTACACAGGAAGCCTTATCAAGAAGATAAACTGAATATCTAGTTAACTAGTTTTTGTAATATTTCATTTTTTTTTATTTAATTTTAAAGTTTCTCGGTTTGTTTGTTTTGGTACTATTTATTTCGTTCTACATGCTAGATATTTACTAAACACCTCTAGTTTATCTTTTATTTGGTGTTTGAATCCTCCCCGAATACCTGCACAAATCTTAAGCAGGTATATTACGAGGGTAAGGTGAAAAGTTCTCGGCGTAACAATGAAAGACTAGACATGATTTTCAGTTAAAAATTATATTATTTTTCTACATCTCGCTTGACTTCAATACACTTGGTCCGGCGTTTTTCCAGAATCAGAAAATCAGAGTCTGGAAGACTGCTAAAATATTCTCTCAACTTCTTCATTCAGGCCGAGAACATTTCACCTTACCCTCGTATAAAACTCACTGTATACCAGATTACATTTTTGTAATCTTCCTTCAAAACAAATAATGTAAATTAAAACTTTTTAAGATTTATTCAGGTGTTGATTTAGGGCCAATTTCATCATCTCTTCAGTTGGCTAATGTCAGATAGAATATTACTTATTTGAAAGGAAATGTAATAGAATAAACAAAAAGAGTCACTTTATTAGGCACAAAATTAAAGCCTGTTAACTTATTAGGCCTCTTCCAAGATAAATCACTAACCATCTAAAGGTTTAATTGATAATTTAGGTGCAATAGTCACCCGGCTTCCCTGATTGGCCTTTTACTAATCAATCTGCAGCTCCGTTCGTGCTTGACCGAGAAAATTAATTATTCTCCTATTTAACTTGGACACTGGATACCCCATGTAACTTTTCGCTTGAATACCCCTACCGTTGGTGGCGTGACAAAATCCATCGGATACCTTATAGGTAAAAATACTCCTCGAAAAAAAAGGCTCCCCCAATGTTTTCTCGTTTACGTTACTATCGAGCATCTGCTATAAAAAATAGTTTATGGTTCACAGTGCAGTCTTTCAACGCTTGGCTGCCGTCCGTAAATAGTGATTCTTTATTTCCAGTTCGTGAAAACAATGGGAAAATTATGGGAACTTTTAACCCTTTTGTCGAAAAGGGTCACCTTGTCTTTGATTATTAAGATTTATCTACCTTTTACTGCATGCGATGTAAAGGATGTCTTATTATTCCTTGTAATTTGATGAGCAAAATGAATTTTGCAGTATTAGACACCTGTTTAAATGTTTTCGTAGGATTCCTGTGATTTTTATTGGAGACCTCGATACGATGTAATTTATAGAACACAACAAAACGTTACTAAAAATACGATAAATTACATCAATGCGTAAAAATTCATGCCAAACAATTCCGATTTAAAGCATATTTACTAACGCTATTCGCGTTTTTTTGGCATTAGTTCTGCGGCATGAAATATAAAATCGCCGAAAAAAAAAATTATCTATTCTCAGTAGTTCGTGACTAATTTTCCGAGGTTCGTAAATCAGTCGCTAGTCGCGAGGGAAACTTATTTAAACTTAATATTTACGAACCCGAAAACGATCGATGGATTTATTCTTAGACCTCGAAGGCCCATATCATCCCTATATCGATTCAAATCCGAGAGTTTCAAATGCCAAGCCAAAGGTCGAGTCTTTTAGTTCTAATAATATTTGTCCGCCAAACTGACTAAAATAAAAATTATTGACTTTTTCCCATCTATTACAAGGCTCTCGTGCCGCCAATTTTTCTCTTCACAACCCTTTAATATCCTCCAAGTTTTCATTGCAAATTGTTAGAAATAAGGCAGTTAGATTCTACTCTGAATCTACTCTCAAACTATTTTCAATCTACTCTCGAACTACTCTGTAAATATTCGACTAGAATCTTCTGTAAATGTCCTACAAGGAACGCCATTCATACGTTACCGCTACGAATATCTCGTTTCTACGGACCTTTACATGGCGTTTTTGTTTGGTTTGCTCATTTCTCGTTTCGAGAGGACGGACAGTCGTCTGTACAAAGTGTAAAAGCAGTCGGGCCAATAAAACCTAAAGAGCAGTGCCCTTTAAAGTTCGCTGTATAGGAATTATCACGCGACACAATTAAATTGATATTAACTAAATGGATTATAGCAATTTCGATTAGATTTACGGACTTTATGTGGTGTTTTTTTTATTGGATCCCATAGAAAACGTTTTGATCTTAAGTGGTTAAGTTGCGAGGGACTTAAGTACATACTTAAAAAACAGTATTTTGAATGATACTAGCGTGTTTTATACAGAGACTCGAATTTTTAAGTGTACCTATTTAATTGTATTTTATTTCTATACGAAAAGAATATTGAACCCGGCATTTTCAAGGCGATATTACGCACCGTAACTAGCATATTTTATTACTCTATCGAACGCTCCAATATTGACCGGACCTAATTGGATATTAGCGCGAGAAAAGCAATCGAACCGTCCGATTTTAATATCAAACGGAGTTTCCCTTTGGAGCCGGTTTTGTTTCGTTTGATTTTCCTGCGAAACCTCGCCCCACAGACGCAGACCGAGCACCCTCCGAATTCTCGTTGTTCCCGTGCAAGAACCCCTGGCATATTTTAGGGGATATACCGGCGATCGATAACAGCCGTACCTCATGACATATCGAACCTTCCCCAACCGAACACTGAATATAGTTTATTCAATCCCAATTCCCATATGTTCGGGCTTTAAACGCTTTAAGTAGTATTTCACAGGATTAATTCTGTGGTAATTAGATTCAAAGTCTTGTAATCCTTTTGCTTGATTACTGTGGGATTATTTGAAATTTTATAGTTTTTAGTAGGGTTTTGTATACTTTAGGAAACTCCTGCTGTTCCGGCAATGGTTTCTAGCGCCCCTTCGACATTAGTCTACCATGTGTTCGAGTTGCGCGTGCCAAAAATTATCACAAGTGCAGCTGCCTATGAATCCTACTTTGAGTCGGGTCGTAAACATGTTGAACTCCCATTTTATTTTATTTTTTCTTGGTCCTCTGGTGATTTTTTCAAAAGGGTTCCACGGATGGATTGATCGCGCGGCTTCGGTCGATTTTTATTTTTAAAGTGAACGAACGCGTAGAAATTATAGGTATTTTTTATGATCGGTTTCGTAAGATTCAATAAACTTGATCATTAAATTTCATGTTGTGCAATTAACTACCTGTGCGTTTCTTAAAAATCGCTGGATGGTATACTTTCACTTTTTACATGAAATTGTACTTTGAGCATACAATGCTATTTTATAACTAATTGAAGTTCGAAAATATTATGCCTCTAATTAAATTAATTTGTTTTTAGTATTTTCCAAGTTACGATAAGCTAGTATTTTTTTAAATACTTGTATTTTTTATCAGGGGATAACAAAGGTCGGTATTTACGATTATCTCACAAATTACTTAAAAAATTGTTTACAATTTCCTCAATACCTTCCTTGACTCGAATTCTAGTAGAACCGTATTTAAATATTTACAAAAACGTGGCGCGGCGATCAATCATTCGTGTCCTCCTTGCTATTTAATTTATTACCATAATGTTTCGCTAACGATGATCGCGCTTATTTTTCGCAGATGCGAAACTATTCCGTGTTAAATTTTTTTATATCGAATATGTTGCTATTCAAACGCTCCTTAATTATTAATAGCAGCAATAAGAAAAGCCGAGGAATTCAATTAAATTAAATGGAAAAATTGCTCGGCTACAACAATAAAGAGCCCCATTACATTACAGGCATCCATAAATCCATCGTTTCGAAATTTATAGCATTGCGTTTTCGTTAACAAAGGCATCTTTCTTGTTCGCGTCGCTCCGCGAACGACGTTAAAAGAGTTAAATTGTTGTAGTATCGAGTTATGAATGGCGCTGTTTATAAATAAAAACGAAGTGTCGACGCGCATTCGAACTAGCTATGATAGAATTAAACATCCGACGGCCTTGCGTGAAATAAAAAAAATATTAATTCGATCCGCATTTTTCGTTTTCTTCGTTCTAGATCTGTCGAAAAATCGATTCGGCGAGTTGCCGGACGAGGTGTTGGGATTCCATTTTTTAGAAAAACTCCACTGTTACCACAACTCCATCCGCTTCATACCGGAAACCGTGAGCAGCCTTCAATGCTTGAATTTCATAGATCTCAGCAGGAACCAACTGACCTGTCTTCCGAGGGAATTATGCCAGTTGCCCATCCAGGTAAGAGATCAGTCAGAAGGAACTTCTTAAAATCGAATTTTAAACGCGCCGTTTAGGATGATGTCATTTCCCTCTGGTGTTTATCGAATTGGATGTTGGTTCTATAAATATTACAAGTTCCCAGCCAAATGGCGCCAAAATGCTTATTATGCCTGCGACTTTGCTTGAATACTAAGAAATGTGATGATCAATTGTGGGAATAAAATTTATTATAAGCAAACGAGGCGATTTATCATCTTTATCAGTACCATTACAGCGTTCTATAATACCTGTTTCGTTTAAAAAAAAACTCTTTACGGATGATATAGCATGTTTAAAAAGTCCTCGACGTTCGCTCCTGCTTCTTGGAATATCCTAACAACCCGTTCGGGTAGTGCTCCTTTGATTTTCCAAACTTTAAAAATAAACATTGCACATGCTATATTTAGTTTTCGGCTTGTCGGTTCTTCGTTAATCGTTAAAATAATATAAACACCGCGTCGCACCGTGCATGATAAACGCATAGGAAAATATACAATGTCTGCACGAAAGACACTCCACTCTTAATATCCCAGAATAAGCAACTGTTTGTGGATAAAAAGATTCAATCGATTAAAGTATGAGTAACAGAGTAAAGTACTCAAGGAACATGTAGCATTCAAAACACACTTCTCAAAATAGTAGAGCAGATAGTAAGTTGCTATCTAGCATTATCTATATAGCTTCTAGCTCCAAAATGTAGACACAACAAGGGATTTGGATTGTCTAAAGTTCACACCTCTAGCACATTAGCAACCTCTAGTGGAAACAATAAACTTACAATAGCAGGATCCTACAGAAGATCCTATGATCTAGGTGGTTAGGGGGGTGAAATGAATACCTATTTCGCCAAATTCTGATAGAATCTCGTTGGGAATTTAAAGATTTTGCTCGTATCGAACAACTCCCTGTCGTCGCTACCGGACGAGCTGTGCCGCATGTCCCAATTGACCGAGCTGGACGCGTCCTGCAACCAGCTGACCCACCTGCCGCCGCGGCTGGGCGACCTGCGGTCGCTGCAATCGTTGGTGCTGCGCAACAACCTCCTGCTGGCCGTTCCCGTCGAGCTGACCGGCCTGAAGCTGGCGAGGCTCGACCTCCGGGCCAACCGGATCGGCGGCCTTCCCGTCGAGATGAGGAACATGCAGACGTTGATCGAGCTGTCGGTGGAGGATAACCCGTTGACCAGTCCGCCGGCTAGCGTACGAAATGCGCTGTTTAGAGGTGGATTTTTTGGTAATTTTTAGTTGGTTTTAGTTGTGCAAACGGGGCAGGGTGCATATATTCAAATATCTGGAGATGGAGGCGTTGAAGTTCGATAGGAAGAGCGATCCGGGCGGCGGGACTTTGAGTAGAAGATCGAGGCGGAGCGGTGCTGGTTCATCGCCCGGTCCTCTGCATCTCACCGATAGACTGAAGCACAAAAGACAGAACGTCGATAGCGGTTACAGTACGAGCAGCGACGGTTACGAGAAACGGTGGAGCCAAGAAATAACCAGTAAGTTGGATTTCTCGGTTTCCTGCATCGCGGATAAGGCATTCGCGATATAAATAGTCGGTTTTAACGAAAAAAAAATGTGATAAAACGAGGATAGATAAACGAGCGAGGGATTTATCGTTGTTTATTACGGAGCAGAAGGATTATTATTTGTCAAAAGAGATTAGATTGTTCGTGTAAATATTTCGCAATGAATCATTTTGCAGTTCGGACGGTCGATCAAAATGGCACCCAATCGACTTTGTCGACGCCGTCGACGTTGTCGCCGGCGCTCGAGAATAACAACGATGAAGAAGTGGCGAGAAGCAACGATTTCGATAAATCGGACGGCTCTAGATCCAGGGAATTCGTAAAGTAAGTTAGCGCGAGCGATGAAACTACAACGAGAGGAAAACTGCTTGTTTTTGGATTCGTTTTCCTCCTCGTTCTAGTCGAATTACGAGCCGTTTTTTTTTGTCGTGTAAATGTCGTAATTCGTTTTCCTTTTGCATGATTTTTACAGCGTACGTCTTAGTCCGTGCCCTGACTCGTTTGCGCAAAGTAACGGATCAGACGACAAAAAACCTTTGCACCAAATTCAGACCTACAGGTAAATACGCTCGATGTGCCATAAGTTTTACTCCAAAACAACACACCAATCGATATTAAATTGGTTCGTTTTTTTAGGGAGTACAAAGAGGCCCTCAAGCAACAAAGGGCGCAAGACGTGCCTTCGATATACCGGACGAAAGACGACCAGAGCTACAAAACCGAGCCGAACACCCCCACGCACCAGGCCACCCCCCAGCAGACGCTCTCCACGTCCCGCTCGGATCCCACGCCGTTGAACTCGGCCTTCGGCAGCCCGAAGACGATCTTCGACGATACCAGCCCCGGCAGGAAGCCCGTGCAGAAGGTGCCGCCGTCTCGGACGTACTCGCCCAGTCACGCGAACGGCGGCAGCGCTAGAATGACGAATTACGTGAAGCCTAAATCGCCTACGAAAGGTGCCGGGGACATCATGTCCCACGACAACGTGCCTAATATCAAATCTGTGATGACCAACGGGAAGTCGACGAGCCCCAGGCTGGGGTCGTGCAATTCGACGCCCAGGAGTCCCAAGATGACGAAGAACATCACTTGGGACAAGGACGCCCTTAATGATAAGATGACGTTTACCATGCGAAGGGAAATCGATAAGGCTAAAGAGGAAACGGATTTGATCAACCAGTTGAGAAACGTACGTAGAAAATTTGTTTGTAAGTACTTTTAGTTATTATTTTTGTTGTAGATTATCGAGTCGAGATTGAAGATGGTACTACCGGAAGATCTAGCGCCAGCTTTAACGGACGGAGTAGTTTTGTGCCATCTAGCTAATTACATTAAACCCCGATCGGTGTCCAGTATACACGTACCATCGCCTGCTGTTGTAAGTTACTAGCATATTACAAATAATGGAGAACTTTTTTTTATAAAACTACGTATTCTTATGAAGTCATATGACAACATCGAATTTTTGACTTTTAAACTTGTCAAATTAATATAAACAAAAACTTAACCTCCAACTAAATCAATTTGTACAATTTTAAAATATCGCATCGGAAGGTAGTTAAAACTTGTTTCATGCCGTTTTGTGAAAATTCTTCATTGTATTCTAAAAAAAGTGTTTATTTTTGGCCCAATAAACTTAAAACAAAGAAATTACAATAACCTAACATTAGATGTCATCTGTCATTTGATGTTAAATTTAACTTTTGTTCGTTTCTACTACTCTTCCGAACATTTCGTTCGAATTCTTACACCACTAATGTAACTCGTTCGTTTTGTGATTGGTAAGCGACTTTACACGTCCCGTGTCAAAATTTTAAATTTAAAACGGCCATATTTCCTAACATATTGAATATTTTCAGCAACTGAAAACTGCTTTGAGTTATAATGACTGATTTCTATTCATATATCTGCTTAAAAAAACCGTATATCTCACATCGTACTCCTCTCCATTGTATACTAAACAAGTTTCTTTCGCAGCCCAAACTGACGATGGCGCGGTGCAGAAGAAACGTGGACAATTTCATAGAAGCCTGCCGGAAAATCGGCGTCGACGAGGTGAGTGTCCCCCCCGTTACTCCCCACGCGCGTTTCAATCTCTTCTAACGCCTCCGAACTGTCTCTGTTTTGTTTACAACTCCTTCTGTATATAAAACCATTCCTGCTTAATCGACAGTGAGTGAGACTGTGGTTGGTTGCAGGAACACCTCTGCAGTAGCCTAGACGTGTCGGAGGCCTTGTACGGAAGGGGTTTGCCGCGACTCCTCGATACCGTGGAGCGTTTGTGTCGCTTCGGACCGGACAGTCGGAGGCCAGTTGCGGCGAGGCCGGCCCTGCAAGACACCACAGTCTCACTACTGTTGCTCGCCCTGTTCTTCGGCACGCTGGCGATGCTGATCGCCTTTCCGCCGCCCAAATAATTCCTGCTAAACGGGAGGATGCGAGAAGAGTGTTTTATTTATTTTGTTCGATTGGAGAGCCGAGAAACGGGCGTTGATTTATTTATTTCGAGAGTATTTTAGTTTGATTTTTTTCGGTGTAGAAATGGTTTAATTTTGAAAACGTGGCAACTTGAGGTTCCTTGCATAGACTTGAAACAATCAAATACATTCCAAACGCGTCCATTTTATTTAAACGAGCTAGCAAAACTGGATAAAAAGTATTAGAGTAGAGCTGCTATTAAGTGCGATTAAATCGTTAGTATTTGAGCCAAAGTGTGATAAGATAACGTGTTATCCAGTTTTATTAGCATGTGGGAAACCAATCCATAGAATTACTGCGAAACAAAATGTGATTTTATTATTAGTGCCTCTAATTTTAGATTGTGACATTGCATTGGTTGGAGGAGTTTATTTGGAAAGCTAGATTTAGCTAGAGCTAGGGATTGAAATGATCAGGGTGCTTACAAACGTTCGTAATTGGTGCTAAAAATTTACCGCAGTTGTTTGTTTTTTTGTACTCTACGATAAATTAGTTAACTGAATGTTATATTTTTGATAAACGTTAGTTAACCGATGATTATGAAGTAGTTAGCTTTATAATATGCCAATGCAGTGATTGAAATTGAAGCTTACTTATTAGTATTATATTTAATGAATTTATCTACCTACATATTGTACTTATTTTACTGCTGTAAATATCGATTCATTGTTTGTTTTTTTAATGGAAGAGATCGAGTTTATTATTTGTGTAATTTAATTAGGTTTTTCGTAAATTGGTAGCTTTCCTCTTTCACGAAGATTATTGAATTATTTCGTGTTATTTATTGTTTTCTACTTTCTCTCTACTATGACAATCTAGTCAATAGAATTCCAGTATTAATAAAATCAAAGACTGTTTTTCCTTTCGAAATACTTTATGTACAGACAAACGTATTTTCTCTCTGATGATTCCTGTATGAATTTTATATCTATAATTAATTAGTAGCTGTGATACGAGAAGAGTACTTAATAAGTTTTTGTTTTTGGAATAACAACGTGGAATTTTAAAAAGTGCCACCGCTACTACCTAACACTTATAAAATAAGGGCTAAATGGTTAATTTTTAAAGAGTTTATTTTATTTTTTACGAGTTTCGGTTTTAGCTTAAAATGTAGTATTTATTAGCTTATGAATAAATCAGCAAGGTAAACACGATCGTTTTATTCTTTGCTACAGAAAAAAAAACTGTATATTATCTAATTGTGTTTTCGGTTTTCTGTTCCAGAATCTTTTATGCTGCGCTGCGGACGTACTAGAAGGTAAAGGCTTGGTGCAAGTCGCTGTGACCGTGACGGAATTACTGCGATTTCAATTATCGAAATCACCGTTGCATTCGACTACAATGTCTACCGTCGTTTGAGACTTTGGCTTATCAATTTATCGCGGCATTTCAGTTTTAGCGCGAGAAACTTTAAGCACAATAGTACGCACTGAATGTCGGTAGTACTGAAGTAAGCAAATACTTTGATTATAATCACGATCGTATATTTCTAAGGTCTGGAAACATAGGTCGAAGATACCCGTTATTTGAAGATAAAACAGGGAAAAGAAACGAAAAATGCAAAATCATAGGCTATTTCCAGACCTTCGGTATCTTCGGTTTGTCCTTACCCTTAGAAATATAGGGTCGTGATTAGGATAGAATTTTTTTAAAAGAATTTAATTACAAAGGAGACGGAAACGTGACTAGAAAATATTTGCTTATATTCGATTTTAAATTTCTACTATCAGGATTTATTCAACATTCCGTAATTGCTCTCTACTACTAGAAGTTTTTTTCCCCGATTCCCGGTTGTTAGGAATATTCCTATTGGTGCTGAAATATTCTACATGCGTTAATGCCTGTATTTTTTGAGAAAAAAATCGATTTGCACTACACAGTGATAGTAGAATTTTGTTAAAACAGGGAGATTTAACCGATTTTTGTGTGATTCTTAATGTAAGATATATTCGAATATTTAGTAGTTTTTTTATTTATTTCGATTTATACTTTTTTTTAAACAACTTGAACAAATGTTAGGTTTTGTATTTAGTTAATAATTTTTAAACTGACATTCGATGGTTTTAAGAAATATTCGACGATACTGTTCAATCAAAAAACAATTTCCAGATGAAGCTCAATGTAACAATTCGTATATTCGAGTCTCAATTTTCGTTTTTCGATTACTTAAATTATTTTTAATTGTTAGAAACGTGTATTAAGTTGACACAAAGGCAAATCAACCAATCCCTATTGAATGCTATACAATGAAATTTACATATTTAACGATCTATTTTATTATATTTTTTTGCCTTTGCTCAAAATCCCCGATAAGTGTCATAATTCTAATGTGGTGTATCAAAGACTAAAATTTTAAGTTATACATATCCTAGTGCCAAAGAGTTTTTCTATAATTTTTAATCGACACATTACGTATTCTAAATGGTATGGAACGTTTTAAGTACCGATTGATTGGTTTTTAAAAAATTAGCGGCCACTTTTCGAAAGACTGGTACTTAAAATAGATAGACTAATGTCGATTTACTCGATTACTGTTTTTTTAACGTATTTTGTGTGATCGAATATAATCGTGTTCTTGTGATAAGTATATATTTATACGAGGTGTAACAATAAAATAAATTGTAAATTGTTATATCCTGTGAAGCATCATTATTGATACGAACCACATAGTTATGAGCTATTATCAATAATTATCTAGTCAGTTAATAAACTACTTATTCAAAATATTTGTGTTTTTTTAAACAACCAAAAACTACTTATAGTACTTTATATTTAAGAGTTAAGTAATCACAATTATAGACCCTTTTAGAGGCGAAAGAAAAGATTTAGGATTTCGAAAGTACTCTCCAATACTTTCATTTTAGCCTCATCTTCCGTCTTCCCCATAGCAACTTGTGAAAAAGGTACATCACAATTAATCGATAGAAGCATAAATACCGGATCATCTTGTAACTTGATGAATTCGAACCTCAGATCTAATTTCTCCAGAATTCTACTCAATGCCTCTTCAGTTCCTTCCGACAGATCCTTCAAATTAAAACAAATATGTTCTAAAGTAGTGGAAAAATAAATTAAACGCGTACCTCTTCGAATTCGTTCAGGTTTCTGTTGAGATCGTTCATGTAATTCTTAAAAGCATAGGCCAGTTCCGGGATCTTTACTTTTTTGTTGATGACCACATTCGCTATCTTATTATACAATTCAATAGCCTCTTGGTCCTGCTCAGAGGATTCTATGGCTCTTTGTTCTACGTTCTTGCACAAGCTCTCGTGTACTGGTATGGTGTTTTTTATCCTGAAAAATAAAATATTCGCAAAGTGATGATTTTTAATCGATACACCTACGATTCCAGCATCTCTTTTGCAGCCAGTTGCTTCGCCATTTTTTTACTGTTTCCAGTAGCTACCGTTTGGAAGGAACCCACTTGGCATCTGTAGCAAAATTCCCTATCGTGCGGAGGCCCCACGACGGACAGTTCGGTGAATTCGGGATTTTCAAATTTGTTTTCCTCGCACAGAGTTCTCAAGGATCCTACGAAAATCGTTTACAAATAAACATCAAAAAAGCAGTTTTACATACCTATGCAATTTGGTGTTGAGCTCAACGAGCTGCAATTTTCCTCGATTTCCATTTTCTGAAGAGCCGCCGCCTTGAATTCTTCCACGGGGTTTTCTTGGCGATCGTACAGGCCGAGTTCTTCCAAAGCTATCAAAGCATTGTGCGCAGCGATGTGCTTGGCGATTTGTTTCGATGTTCCGATGCCGAAGGCTTCGACGGGGCCGGCCCTCACGCAGTACTCGAACCTGTTGTTGTGGGTCCCCATGAGGCTGCTGATTATTTCGTATTTAGGAGGCGGTAATTTCTCCTTGATGATCAGCTCCTGCAGCACCATGACGGGGTTTTTGGCCTTCACCATCGTTCTGGGCTACAGCAGGATTGAATTATATCATATATCGTGCTCTTGGGCAATTACAAATTTGTTAGTTAAAATGTATAGTTTACGTTAGAAGTTCTTGGCATGTTTGATTTTGAGGAGTGATAAAGGTTCGATAGTGAGTGAAGTAGGTACCTTCTTAATAGGGGATTCCATTCTGATCTATTACTATTTGAAGATCCATGAAGTTACTAAGCCTGTAGAACTAAACAATAAAGGATACAGATTGCTGGTTGATTTAATTTTTGAGTTAGATAAAAGACAAGTGAGCGAAGGGTTTGTACGTAATAAGTGTGCACAGCCAACTGGGATGCTCAAATCTCAAATGCTATAATCAAATTACTCGCATAAACTCTTATATTGCAAATAGGCATATTAAAAACATGGCAAAATTTATATCGAATGACAAGTGCCATCAAGGAAAATAAATCGTAGAAAAAACTTTTCTTAACTTACTTACCACTTCTGAATTATTATTGGTTAAAATCGAGCGTATTTATGAAAAAATATAATAAAAACGACGTAAAATTTACATTGTATCAACAAATTCTTCTTCTGTATATTAAAATTCAAAATTAACAAAAGTGCCTAACTCGACCTCAACTAAAAGGGTATTAGTCAACTTTGCACCCTTGAAAAAAAAAGAAGAAATGTAGTCGGTAATGTAGTTTTCTACTTTATCGACTGAGTAAAAAACTAACCTGTCAGACATTGACACAACGTGGTCCTTTCTTTCCTTCAACTGACTGAATTGTCTAGTTCGAAGTGTACGTATTTACAAGTTTTAGGGTAAATATTAGAATAAAATAGATCAAAATGGTCGCCCAAAAGAAGCAGAAAAAGGCCATCGAGAGCATCAACAGTCGCTTGGCCCTCGTGATGAAATCCGGGAAGTTTTGCTTGGGCTACAAGCAAACATTGAAGACCCTAAGGCAAGGTAAAGCCAAGCTTATCATCATTTCCAACAACACCCCGCCGCTGAGGAAGTCCGAAATCGAGTACTACGCCATGCTGGCCAAAACTGGCGTGCACCACTACTCCGGCAACAACGTCGAATTAGGAACAGCATGCGGTAAATACTTCAGGGTGTGCGCTATGTCCATCACCGACCCAGGCGACAGTGATATCATCAGAAGCATGCCTGCTGCCGAGGGTGGAGAAAAATAAACAATTAAGCTGCGTTTTATAAATTAAGATACTATTATTTTGACTTTGTGAATAAAATTTAGCTTAAATTTGTGTTTTATTGTACGTTATCCGAGCACATATGAAGGTGTTCGTAGTAATGATTTATAAAATACTTACCTGCATTTTTAGTATTGTTTATAGATTAATAGGGTAGAATGATCGTTCGATGAAGAATTAGTCTTCAATTTTAATTGGAATAAGGTAATATAGAAGATAGAAGCTCTATTAGAATGTGCGATTAATATGACACAGTTGGTCAAATAACTTGAAAAATTCAACCCAAAGAAATAATTATGTGTATTGCAATAGAAAAAAAAATACAAATAGAAACCAACAATACAATGAAGTATTACAGGAAAATAATAAATCATTCGAGTGCAATTGAGCACGGGTAAAAATCAAACAAACGTCTTCACTTAAATTTATTAATCACTAAAATTCAATTGAAAAGTAAGCCCTGCCCTATTGCTTCTTTGACAAAATTTCCCTGCACAGCGAAAGTGGTATTCAAGTTGCGTGAAAAAAATGTTTCAGTTGTCGATATAGATCGTTATTGTCCCACAAAACAGAATTCTCACTATACAAAAAATTTCGACGCGTCTTGCTCACTATATCACAAAAACACTAAAAAATGATTAGACCAGCTTGCGAAACTTAAAAATAGACAAATTGCGTCGAGCGAACAGCGCTAGGAAAATGAAAATAGACCCGGTCTACTAAAAAAGAAACCTGAAAATCAAACTTACCATTTTAAACAGCAAAAAGAATACATAATAAGTACATTTCGTTACAAACGCGCAAGGTAAACCTAAAGATATTTCCAATACAATTATACATACGATATAACAATAAAAATTAAACTAATTATCAACTAGATATCAACCCAAACGTAAACGAATCCGGCTGGTCTAAGAGAGAAATAAAAGAAGACACTCGGTGTATTTAATTATTTAATGTGTCCGGTTTTAATTAATGAGAAAAAATATATATAACAAATATCCTAAGTTTCCTTATCAAATAAGATTTGATATTTTACACTGAATAATTTTAATCAATGGAGAGTAGAGTGTACGGTACATTTTTTTTGTTTTTTAAAAAATCTTGGAGGAGACTGACTGCCCTGCACGGGGATCCCGCAAAACATTCAAAACGTTCTTTTCCACATGTATATTTCATGTATAAAAATTACAGAATGATAGCTAAATAAAAAGAAAATATACACTTTTATGTTCAAAAAGTAACTACTATTCTAGTCTTTAATGATTATAGGATACATTAAACATCTAAACCTTGAGACAAGATCTTTGCTGGTTTTCGGAATGTACCGGGCTGATATTGATATTCAGAAAATTTGATGTTCACTTACTATATGCAGATTATATTAAGATTTTAAGGTGAAATGAGTCGTTAAACATTGCAGATACTTAAGATTTTTATTTCAAAGTTATACAAGTTATTAAAAAAACGGCATAACTATAAGTTAAAATTTAAAGCATTTTAAATGCTTCTACATTCAAACTTGATATTTTTAATAGACCAGCCAATTTAAATAAAAAATAAAAAATCTGCGGTACACCCGGTTAATTCTATTAATGAGATCTTAAGCGGGGTTTGCACTTTGTAGTAAAAATTATCTAAAAAACATTCAATCGTTTGCACAAACTCCGAACGGTCTCCGATTTATTTTTATGTTTGAAAGTGTCAAAAATTTGAAAAAACAATTATTTATTCTAGTACACCTAATTGAACCATAAAATACCTACATATTAATTTATCTATAGTAAATACATCAGTTTGAGTGAGGCAAAGACAGCCAAATTACCCTAAGGGAAGAACAAATATCTTGCCTATATTTTTTTTTAACCGATAGATATTTTTTCTACCCGCGAAACTTGGACGCGACATTATCCCAATTATAAAAGGTAAAAGTTTCGGTTTTTTATGGTATATTTTCATTAAATGTTTCTAGAATAATAAAGCTGTACGGTAGATAATTAGTACTTGTGGTAGATTGTTGATGTGTAATTCTAGAAATATATCATTGAAAATCTACCATAAAAAACCAAAACCAATAAAAAAATTACAATACCCTATACGTTGTTTTTGTTTTAATGTTGAAATATACGCAAAACTAAAAGTGTCATCTCAAAGGAAAACCGCATGAATCAGTTGTGGCGGGATCCGAAAGACTTCAAAAAGCGAATGTACAGAAGAATTTTTTTGTTTTTTATATAATATGTATATGAAAAATAACAGGCTGGCCGATCCCCTCCGGTGTGTGTTTGTTGATTTTTTGTTTTTATTAAATAAATTGTTTGTTTTTCTTCTAATATGTGAAACGTAGGTCGGGGGGGCCGGGCCATCACATAGCGTACTTGCGAGTCCACTCGCGCGCCAGCTCGTTGTATTTTTCCCGATCGGTTTTGTATATCCTAGCGATTTCTGGGACTAATGGATCATCTGGATTTGGATCACACAACAGTGAGCAGATTGATAACAAAACTGAAACGACAACAAAATAAATCAATCGACCTACAATAAAATTAACACCTTCATTCTCAAGTATTTACAATCGTAAACTCTCAATAAAAACAATCCCAATCGTACCCCCAACTCTAATAAACAACAACCAGTTTTTTTTTTGTTTTACTTTAAACTCCCATTATCAACGAGCGATGGAATAAAAGCAAGTCATTTCTATCAGTACGCTCGTGTCATTCGAATGCAAAATAAAACATTCAAAGTACGATATTATTTTTAACTTGAAACAAAAAGATAACTTCAATGAAGCGCAGTCAACACGGGCGATAAGGAGAAATTACGGAGAAACAAAACGATTATAGCGGAAAAAGCGCTATTAATTAATAAATAAAGAGATCGCGTTTCCAAATGGGCGATATTTTTAATTAACGACAATTAATCAGGTAGTGCGTGCAATCGACTATAAATGCAAATTTCTTTGCAGTATGAGTTGAACAAAGAAAGATTATTAAAATAACAGTGGTTAGAGTGGGAAAGTTTCAAACTCCCCACAATATCATCCTTCCTTTTTCGTTTATACGAGGCTAATGGAAGTTGTCTTTATTGCACCCATATTGCAAACAATTTTGCATCTACCTGTATAATTTTATCTACAATAATTATTCGTGTACACTTACAAGAAGTTTCATAATTTTGAATGAAAGAGTTTATTGAAGTGAACAATCTACTTAAATGAAAATACGACAGATATTAAACGACCTTATCAATAAACCTTCATATTACCTTTCAAAATAATTAAACCCTAGAATATTTTTACCAGGTGCGACCTTGGCGATTACCGGTCAGCTCAAAATCAATAAATTCATTTCAGAAATTTCTATTTTACCTGCACAAACATCCAAAATTGAAAGTTTATCTTTCTAAATATTTTTTTTTGCAATTTACATCTAATCTAATCGATTTGAAACTTCTACTTTTCAACTAAATCACTATTAATCTAGTTGCATATCACTTGTAATTGTAGAGGTTTTTTTTCATATTTTTAAACAATATTATCATAAGTAAACCAGCGATTTATATAAAAGAAAGTTACCTTTTGAAATAGTGAGGGCTGGAGACCACTGAGAACGAAGTATATCCAGACAAATACTTCCATTACTATTTATATTAGGATGATAAATTCTCGTCGTGAATGCCACTTTAGGAGGTTTAAAAGGGTAGTCTGTTGGAAAATGGATTGTTAAGAAAAACACTCCACCCTGGTATGGACTATCAGGCTGCAAAAAAAAATAATTCCATTACAAGTTGTTCAATCCCTAATCATCCCTATGAATATATACAGGCAACTGCAAAATTGTTTGCAACATGGCGAAATTTGCGAGTTTAACAAAGAAAGATTATTACAACAACAGTGGTTAGAGCGAGATATTTGCAATCAACCCACAATATCACTCTTTCTTCTTCCTTTATATGAGACTAATAGAAGTTGTCTTTGTTTCACCCAAATTTGCATGTACCTGTATATTCTTCCTAAAGGTACTTTCATACTTTAACATTACATTGTAAAAACAACATTTGCATTAAAATCATTTCGATAACATATATAAAACTATTACCAAGTCAATGACCTTAAAAAGGACAAAAGAATGGTCATCATAATACGCCATTAAGTTAAAACAATATATTAACAAAAAAAAACACTACTTACTGGTCCCATAATTGTGGCTTGCCAGTGAAATACTGTAACAAAAAAATAATTTCGAAGTTAACAACACGGAATATATTAATTTTTTTTCGGGTTGATTATAACTTACAATCATCTCCAACAGGACCTGCTGAACATTGTGCCGGAGGATCTCTGCCGAGGTCTTGTAATTCCTGCAAAACAGAATAGAAATGCTTTCACATCGGTATGCAGTTAATTATAGACACCTGAAAGGAATGAACCTAATATGGTGAGGTTAGTTAGGCGAAATATCGCGAAATTGGTAAAATATTCATCAAATACAAAAGGTATTCGGTATTTCACGCGGCGAAATGATACGGAATGATTAATTTGTCACCTCGACCGGATATTCCCCCTTAGAATGACTGTAATTCCGGCATTTTCTTCGGAGATTTCATTGATGATAAGTGTAAAATTACACACAATCTGTCACCGCTGACAAATTTCGAAGTAAAAACGGTCCGGCATCAGCCTTGTACGTTTTTACGCGAAATCGGCATTGGGAAATTCGAGAAAAAACCAACACGCTAGAAACGTTGTTCTAAAACTGTTCACATTTCTACACCACACAAAATCGTTAAGGGCGTTTAACTGACGGGAAAAAAATCGTTTCTGGTCCCGAATTGATCGTAAAATGCATAGCGAAAGATTCTGTAAACATTAACGTACCTTATTAATTCGTTTTAAAGCCATTTGAAGTAATATGTGTGTAATAAATACTGGTTTTCCACCAGACAATGAAAGCGCAAGCTGAAGACCTCTAATAGAGATTGCAAAGATGGCCTCCTTCAAAACTCACAGACACGACGTAAATCAAATAAATATTGTTTTGCGATCATCCAATCGAAATATTGCGAATGTCCTGTATATGGATGGAAATAATTACAAGAAAAACTAAAATAGTGGCTAACACTCTGTCTTCACTCAAATATGCACTTTAAAACAGTAATGTTCCAGAATATGTGACTGATCACTTCCGTGGCGACTTTCGGTTTCAGTCGGTAACGTAGAAATTCACATTTCCTGCAAAATGACAGCGAACTGTTGATAAAATTAATTTCTGTTTGACTTTTTTTTCACTTTTTAACGACTGCCTTTAGATGGAGGCACTTTATAAATTTTATAAATTGCTAAAAAGCGAACACATTCCGCAACGTTGCCGCTACTTCTAAATTTTTATTTTTTATATTACAGCACTACCAATAATGTATACAAACTGTAGTAGTTTTTAGAATTAAATCTAGTGTGTGAATTTTGGGTATTTAATTTTTGAAAGAATATCGTTATCAATTTTTTAAGAAATATACAAATATTGTTGGTATAATTGAGTTTAAATATAAAATAGGAAGTTCCTTTGAACAAGTGTTTCCGTGGTGTAGTGGTTATCACATCCGCCTAACACGCGGAAGGTCCCCGGTTCGATCCCGGGCGGAAACATATATTTTTTTCATTTTTTCCAAAAAATATTCAAATTTTTCATTATAAAATTTTTTTTTCTTAAAAAATTACTCAAAAGAGGTGTACAAAATTGTCAATATTTAACTTCAGAAAATTACTTTTTTAAAATCTTCACAATACAAAAGCGAAAAGCGAATTTGCGAATTAAGTCAGTAAGTATAATTATGTAGATGTAGGTCAATTGTGTTGTCACTTTCGATCTCATTATGTTAGTCAAAAATCCATTGTGTCGTCTTCAACATAATTGTCTATTTTGTTAAAGAACTACATTAAAAACTTCATGATGGATACTACCACTAGACCAAGCGAGGTGAGTAGAACTCCAGATCCCATTTTCACCCTACACATAGGTAAAAAAACATTTATTCGTTCATATTTTCATTTAAATTTGGCAAGTACTGATATGCTAATGACATCTAACAACAGGGACGTACCCAATAATTTTAGTACCCATACTAAATTCTTCTCTTGAATTACGTTACATATCATATATTAACAAACATTCTGTATATAAACCAGTGCGACACATTTATTAGATAACGAATCCAAATAAAAAAAATAATACGATACGCGCCAATTTTATCGAATAATATCCCCATCATGACCGCTCACTCGAAGAGTAGGCCAAGCTTTTGCAATAAACAACAAACGAATAACGTTCATGGGGCATCGGACAGTTGAGCGTCGACGTTGCTTAGGTAACGACTCAACGCCATCTCCTCCATAATACGATCTTGGTTGGATTTTACACGAATTCATAAAAATATCTAAATCACAAATGACTGCCGTTGCTGGGAAGCCTTATAGAAAGTCGGTCTATTAAGTACGCGGTACTGCTGCACTTTGCGCTACAGTAGGTTCAATTCTACGCTAAATTATTAGTTCAAGGAGGATATTCGCTGGATATTCAGGGTAAGTAAATATATTTTGAAATATTGGTGTAATTATTTGGTGCTTAAGATGGATGGTGAGATAGAACAGGTTTGTATGCAGGAATTTTATTAATCTTAGTAGTAAACACAGCAGGAGTTGGGTCTGACAAAAAATGTTAGATAATATACCATTAGACGAATAACCTAAGCAGAAATTTATTTATGTAACATATCTTGGTTTTATGTATTATGTGTGTATAAATAATTGCATTATTTACAAATTAAAGAAAGTATTTTACACTCAATATTAATTACATAAACTGTAATATTGTTTAATAATTTAATTTGTTTGTAAAGTGAGTAGTTTTTTGGTATATTTTGCAACAAATTTGCGCATTATTCTAAACATTTTAGCGAATGAATCACCCGCAATTATCGACATTTATCGCTTCTATTTTACCAATTACTTTAAAAGATTAATTAGCATAACTAATTAGGTACAAAGTGGTGCCTATACCGATAAAAGCTATAAATATTATAGATACCTAAAAACCTCAAATTTGTATACAAGCATCCGATTTTTTTAACGAGAATTACTCGCAATTAGAGAGAAAGTAATCCGTTGATAATTGCATATACGGTTTCGATTCTCGAATCCTTGCCGGAACTTTTCATTTATAATGTTTTATTTTTTTTTCCAGAACATGACAGTAACTTTGACGACGAAACACGAAGTGGCTACCGACGACAATGACAATGAAACCTGCTGTACGACCGCTAAGGTGAGTGAACCTCTTCATATCAAAGTGCCGTTTCCCTCCAGATGGATCGGAACTTTCACTTTCGCATTGATAATTAGATAGGATGCGAAGAGGCGAAAAAATTAATTTATTACACCGGATTTAGAAATGCAATTAAAACGGTGCTTCTTATACTGGAATTGTCGTGAAGCCGGTCCTAAATTTACGAGCATTAAATTTTATTGCACATTAAAAACTTCTCTGCAAAGTGCAAAGTTGTTTGCTATGTGGTAATTTTTTTGTGTTGAAGAATAAAAGATTATTAAAAGAACATTGGTTAGAGTAAGAAAATTGCAACCCAACATCATTCTTTCCTTTTCCTTTATATGAGACTAATGGAAGTTGTCTTTGTTGCACCTAATAGAACATATTGCGTACAAATTTGTGGATTTAAAAAAATTATGGCGAACGAGCACAAATTCCTCCACCAGAATTTTAAATCACAACCAACTTCTTCCAATTAAAATAAATTCTCAAAATAATTTCGCACAATTTACATCCCTCTATACACAATACCAGCATCCCCAATTGTTGAATTTTCCTTCGAATCAACTACCTTATCTACCCCACTTTCAGCACCCTCGATACTTATACATTATAAATGGATACGAAAATATTGTATTGGCTACTGAAAAATAGGAATTGGCAATCGTTTCTGATACAAATGAACAATTTTTTAACCATCTCCGTTCGCTCCTGCTTGCCTAGTAACGTGGTCTTTTGTTGTAGCCACATCATTGTTACTTCAAACAATGGATGAATGTGTCGAGAACTCGATGAATAGAGGTGTTTTATTGTTGAATGGCCATTGTGTATAAAAGTATAATTTCGTGTTTGTTGTAGCTATTATCCCCTTTTTTTAAGTAGGAAGTCGATGTGAATGTAAAGTAAATTTTGCATGTGTGTATCTATGCAATAGTTGGTATACTATACGTTAGGTGCATGTAAAATTTGATTTATACGATTTTAGAAGAAATCTGTTAAGCAATCATTAAGTTCGTGTTAATTTGTAAAGCTAATTGTTATGGAATCAATGGAGTAGTTAGGAAATATTTCGATGCATTTGACACTGACCTTTGGAATAATGAACACACGTTTGTACTCGCAGGGAATACAAATATATTTTTCTATAAATTCGATAAATAGTAGGTACAATTTCTCATATTATTTTGTAGGTAATTTCGTAAATTGCTTAATGTAATTGATTAAAATCGCTATTAAATTTCTAAAAAATAATTGTATTACCCAACAATTCGGAAATTTAACAATTATTCGAATATATTTCTATAATAGAAAGTTCCTCCATAAACTGCATAAAAATCGGCTGTCAGTATTTTTAAAATTTTTATTACTAATCAATTCAATTTCTTTTTCTGTGCAAAAATTCGAGTACATACAAGCCATTTTCTATTAGTTCGTAGGTACATTTAAATAGTAAAATTTCGAATGGAAAAAACGGAACCTAATCGAACATCCGAGTAAAAGTGATAGGAAAACTAATTATACTAAAGAAATATTCGTATTATTTACAACCTACTTTAAACGAAACCTTACTCTCTCAACGAAACGAAACTTGTTCTTCGAACTTTCTTTTTCGGAATCTTCATCGGGCTTAGGCGCTTATTTATTCGATCATCAATTACGGTTTCATTGTGAAGAAAGCAAATCGTTAGTTTCGTTTTAGATATCCGCATTTTTTCGATTTTTTTATTTATTTACCGAGCGAATTTTTCGAGAAAACGAAATTGAAACAATTACCCTTTTTGCCAGTCGAAAGGTTCAATGACTTAAATTGTTTAAAATTAGAAAATGAGTGCTATTTTATCATCAAAAGATATTGCTTCATTTCGCTACTTTTAATTCATTAGATTGCAACGGTCGAATGATTATCGACAACAATAAATTAGATTTCTATCAAACTAATAATTTTATTAATCCATACACATTTTTTTTAGTAATTAGTGCATATACCTATGAAAAAGTACAATCTATAAAAATCAATACGAATCAAATCAATATGAGATCTTCTTCTGATAGTTTTCCGTTTTATTACCGACGAAAAATGTATGTCAAGAACGATATCCTCAGGTAACAAAACAACTTTCCGAGCTCTCGCAATTCACAATGCCGTTTGTGATATTCGATTCGATAACCGAACGATTTTGTTCGCATTCCCGGAGAAATCGCCATTTAATTGAAAGTCATCCTACAGTAAAATCCACCGAAAGATCCGGCAACGTCGCCCAAGAAACCGCGCGATCTTCCGAAGCACCGAGAGCGATCCTGCGACCGCCACCGCTCTCCGCTCTTTCCTGTTCTCCTGCTGAGAATGTGCGATTGTCGATGCTGACGCCACAAGACTGACAGGACCGACAGGCCTGTCTCGCTAATCGTCCAATTTACCCCTATTGGCTACTAAAAAATGTCCAACTCGAATCGAAAATACAGCGAAGTACAAGAGTATTATCAGTATTCGCAGGAGGAAAATATCGAGTTCTCCAGTAGCTCGAATTTAAGTGGAAATTGGCGTTGTTTGAGTAGCAAAATTGATTTCCTGCTACCACTACTAACACAAAATCACGCGGGGAATCGATAACGAGAGCCGAAAGTGGATCTTCCAGACGCGCTCCTGCCGGGGCGTCGCGACGCGCCGGTTTGCTCACAGTTGGTTGCTCCCACGCGATTGGCCGCATTTTGTTTACATTCGTTAATGCCACGTTGTGGAACGGTTTCCGGCTAGTCGGGCAGCAGGAGTCGCAGGAGGCCGTCGAACACGACGGCGTGGTCCCACCGGCGACGTTGCCGCTCGCTCCCGAATTTCCCTAAACCTGATTTTTGTTGCAGAACGCCTTGCACGATCGCACGCAATCGTTGCTGGACGATTTGGCGGAGGAGAAGCCGGACGAGCAGGCGAGGAAAAGCGACGAGGAACTGGAGAATAGCGACGATGAAATGCACGATGAAATTTACTACGAGAAGGCGCGACAATTGCTGCCCTTCGACGAGGCGCCGCCGTATTTGAAGCACAATCCCTACATTTTGTCGGGGTACAGGAGGAATTTGCCCACCGATTTGTGCATGTCCAGGTAATAATGCGCGTTGCTGCAGGATTTTTCTGGGATATTATTGTTGTTGTTTTCCAGCATATTTTGGTGGACGAACGAAACGATCAACATTTGGTCCCACTTGTTTGGTTTATTTCTGTTCGTCGTTTTGACGATTTACGATTTTTCTGTGCTGAGGATTCAAGCCACTTTGACCGATAAAATTATTGTGGGGTCATTCCTTGCTTGCTTTATGGTAAGCTCAGATATTCTAACCAAATCCATGAAGGTTCTTTTTATAAAAATGTTCTCTATTTTTAGTCTTGCATGGCATTGTCTTCGATGTACCACACGTTCTCATGCAGATCAGAAGAGGACTGCAAGAAGTACCTGTCTTACGATTTATTTGGAATTGCACTATCTCTGCTAGCAATTTACACGTCTGGAATATATTACGCCTTTTGGTGCGATTCAGTAAGTACTGCACAAAGAAAACAAATTTAATTTTTACTGAATTAACAACGTTTTCGCAGGACTGGCAGATGTTCTACACCATAACCGTTACCTTGATATTTGCTGTGGCGATGGCTCTACACATTCCCGAATTAAACGTGGATTCCAATGTGAAAACTATAGTTTTCGTAGCTTGGGGTTTGTACGGGGTCATTCCTACTATCCACTGGACCATCAAAAATGGCGGTTTCGACAACCCCTTAGTTAATGTAGGTTATTTCAATACTTCCAAGAGTAATCTCGTTATCAAATCCAATTTTTGTTTCAGGTATTGTTACCAAGGGTGTTCGGAATGTACGCCATAAGCGGCGTAGCGTTCATCATTTACATAACGAAAATTCCCGAAAGATTTCTGGCCGGCAAATTCGATTACATCGGTCATTCGCATCAATGGTGGCACATCTTCGTTGTATTGGCTCTTTACTACTGGCACAATAGCGGATTGGTCTACATTGAATACCGACTGAACCATGCGTGTCCCAATAAAATGAAGTTCCCATGAATGAAACAAAATCTAAACATTGAATTATTGCTATTACGAAATTTTGTCTATTTTTATATTAAAACTGTGATCGAAGATAACGAATTTATCCCTTTTATTCTTTTCGTACAATTTATGTGAAATACTAGATTTGGTAAACGACTGGCCTACGATTCTTTAGGACAACGTCTACCATTTTCGTACACATCTCCAAGAACAAGGCCACTTTGGTTAATTTTTTTATCTATGAAATGTGTCAACTGTCAATCTTATAATTAGGTTATGTTTTCAATTAGCTCAAATATGAAATAAATTTTATTATTAAAAATGACCGAAGAACAAGAACTGGAACACCACAAACAACTGGAACTCTGTACTACTCGACCTGCTTACAGACAAGGCAGGAAATTAACAGCAGTAAAAGTAAGTAAACGTTTGAATTATAATTGATAGTAAGCGAGTTTTATGTGCGAATAAACTTGTAGGTTTACACTATAAATCAAGAATCTCAGCATTTTTACGTTTACGGAGTACCGTCGATAAACTTACGAAACGAATTGAGGCGGCTTTGCGCTAAATATGGGCAAGTGCTTTCGATATCTGTGGTATCGGATGTCGAGACGGAAATATTTACGGAATGCTACCATGTTCGATATCAGAGGATCCAGTCCGCCAGGATAGCCAAGAGATTGTTGGACGGGAGGTCTTTCTATGGGGGAATTTTGCATATATGCTATGCGCCCGAATGCGAATCTGTACAAGAGACTAAATTGAAACTAGCCCAACGAAAAAAGGACGTAACTTCGAGATTGCAAACGAAAGAAAAAGAGAAAACTTGAATGTTGGCAGTTCTGAAAATGAAGATAAATGTGTTAAGTTTACAAAAGCTCAGCTATTTAAATAACTGAGGCATGTTTGAAAGAATTTTATTTAGATTTTTGATATAAATATTTTATCAATAAAAGCGAATACCAATAAAAATTATAATAATGAGGATACATTTCTATAAAATATATTAAATATTTACTTACAGTACAAACTATTTTAGGTGCCTATTAATTAGATTTACTTTCCCCCCATATTGCACATTAAAAAGCTTTAGTTATATATTTTTTTGAATGTTTTACTGGTGCTATTAATCCCAACATTATTCCCAATATTACCCAAAAAAACCTATTACATTAGATAAATTATTAATAAATTAAAAAAGATTGTTGCTCAAAGTAATTTGAGTATAAAATGAACAGAAATGATGTTAATTTTTAATAAAAGTGAGGAGATTGTTCACAAACGACACTTTAACAGTTTCATATAGACTAAAATGACTAGAATTAAATTAGAAGTGATTATATTTATGAAATCGATTGTTTAAAGTGTTTTTATTTCATTAATATTCTTATTTCATTAATCTGTTGTTTCATTAATATTCTGTAACCGTGTTTTAAAAGATAATCGTTTAAATTAAATTACACTAAACTGCAGTAACCGGCGCACGAAGACTGATTCGGATGGTCCTTACTACCCAGATGGATGTTATTTAATGCGTACGATTCCCATAAATTTGGCGTTTGAATTATCTGGAAAACAATACAGGTAGTAGTAAATTTTATACTATACGTAAAATGACATCTTCTAAATATGGGTAAGTGCAAATATGTTTGCAATATGGTCAATTCTATGAGTTGAACAAAGAAAACTTCTGTATATAAATAGGCACCTTACCTTGTGCACTAATTCTTCGAACGCCGCTTGAACTCCATCTTTAGTTTTAGCACTAGCTTCAATGTATAAAGTATGATGCCTCTTAGCGAATCTCATGGCCTCCTCCCTGGAAACCTCACGTTTATCCTAAAACATACATGCTTGAAATACAAAGACACGTAACTGCATCGTCATTACCACGTCGATTTTATTTCCTACAACCATTTTGACAATGTCGTTTTTCGTTGAATACGTTTCGAGCTCGTTCAGCCACATCTCCAGTTTGGCAAATGTGGCGTAACTACTAACATCGAACACCAGTATGGCTCCTTGCGCGTCCCTGTAATACGAGGGCGTTAGTGTTCTAAATCGCTCCTGTCCGGCCGTGTCCCATATCGCTAATTTCACTAAACTGCCATCGATGTTTAGCTTCTTCGTTTTGAAATCTACACCGATTGTCAACGTTTGTTCGGGATCGAAATTGTCTTCGGTGAATCTCAACAGCAGGCTGGACTTTCCTACGCCGCTTTCACCTATTATTAATATTTTTAATGTAGTGAGAATGTCTTCATCCATGCTTATTCCCTTTTTGTCTACAGTACTTTAATTACACTTTAGAAAACTTGCTTATCCCATGGAATGTAAAATTGGTGTATTGTGATTAGCAAGAAATTAACTGGTAGCAGATTTTATCACTTTAAATCGATAAAGTTTTATTTTTGGTTTAAAATAAATTCGCAACAATGACGCATTTTAGAAATACAAATAAATAAGACGTCAAAGTGTCACTGTCAAACGCTGTATACAGGTAGCCTTTTACTATTAAGGATATTCGCTCTTTTTACTAATTTTCTCAAATGTCAAGTCAATTGTCTGTCATTTGTCAAAAAAAAAAAATTATTCAGACGGTTTGTTTTTACTTTTTCAACCAACAAACATTGTTTTATTTTAATAAGTTCAACAGATTTTCACATTTATTATTTTAATTTTGCGAATGATTGAAAATGAATGATAGGTGTCGCATTTGTTTGGAAAAAGTACCAAAACTCTACCCCATTTACGGAGAGATATTGAACTGTGACCAAGAAATCGGTACTATGATTAAATACTGCGCTTCGATAGAGGTAAGTAAGTATAATTTGATCGATTTTAATTAAATGTAATTCTCTATTTCAGTTAGACATTTGCGATGATCTGCCTAATGGTGTTTGCGTGCCATGTTTCAAGACTTTAAGGATAGCGTATAATTTTATCGTACAATTCAAAGAAAACCACGAAAAATTGCTGCAAGAAAGGGAAGAGACCTCCGTCCAGCCCGAACCAGCGAAATTAGTCAAAGAAGAAATGCTATGTGATATCATTCCCAACGCAGGGGGATCCCAAATAAATTATCTAATACAAGAAAACGAAGATCTCGACGAACTGGTCGAAGACGAGGAAGAACCCGAACAACCCCAAGAGCAAGACCAAGTACAAATGCAAGAGCAAGAAATGGAAGAAGAGGAATACGAATACCAAGAAGTCAAAGTGGAAAATTTAGGAGATTTCTTAAAAAGTCTGGAGGAAAACGGGGAAACGACTAATTTAGAGAGTTTCCAGCAAAACGTAACCGTGCAAGTAATCAAAGCCGACCCGCCTCCCGAAGACGAAAGCCCCAATAAACCTCAAACCGTATTAAGGAGAAAAATCAAAATTCGCTTCTCGTGTCCCGTCTGCCCTTCCACCTATTTCGCATCGTTCGAAAACGGCCTCTTACCTCACATGTCGCTACACAAGGAATCCTTCCAATGCAACGTCTGTATAGACGGCACCTTATACAACTCGGATTTATTCTTAGCACACTTTATGAAACATCACCGATACCAATGCCCCTACTGCGGGAAGAGCTTCAACAGAACCGGCACCCTCACCTCTCACATCAAAACCCATTCCAGCTTTAGGTATTACTGCAGCGCCGAAGGTTGCACGAAGTCATTTCCCACGTCGTGGACGCTCAAGAAGCACGAAGGGATCCATTCCAACCACGCCGCCTACGTTTGCAACGAATGCAACTTGGAGTTCAAAACGTACGACACGTACATGTACCACCAGAAGAAGCACATGGGCAAGAAGTTCCTGTGCATGTGCTGCGGAAGAACGTTCATGCAATCGGTGCATTTGAAGTACCACATGCAGCAGCACACGGGCATCAAGCAATTCAAGTGCGACGCGTGCGTTAAGAGCTACACGTCCTCGAGCCAGTTGAAGAAGCACAAGAAGAGGCACCACGAACAGACGGCGAGGATTTGGGTGGAGAACGTCGATGTCGATTTCAGCAATCAGGATTTGGAGGATGTTATTTAATGGCGGTTGGGTTCGGGGGAATGTTGCCGGTGAGAGGAGAAAGTGATTCGCGATCGATGGATGATGTGTTGTTTGATTTGAAGGCGATTTTAAGTCTATATGAAAATAAATTAAGTATTGTACATTTTGTATATTTTATTGTTGTTACAATTGGTTAAAAGGAAGGAATAATAAGTAATATTACATAAATGAGTTATATTAACAAAGAATAATATTTGAAGTATTAAAAATTGTTTAAAAAATAAGAAAAAGAATTGGCTTGGACAGGTTTCGAACCTGAAGCGTGAAGATCCATACCAACGCTTCTACCATCTTTGCTATTACAATATTCAAAACGAAAACTTCTAAATAGCGTATATAAGTGAGATTTTTTCCAAAATAAAACTAGAAAATTTATAAAATTTAATCAATAAATTGATATTTGAAAAAACTGTATTAACATCGAGTGTCCTCCTCTAAACGTTTTTGACGTGTCAAATGTCAGCCATATTAAATCGCCGCCATTACGATATAAACATTATTTTTTTTTCTTTACTGATTTTCTGGTGATGACTTTGGGGTGTGCTAGAAAAGGAGGCAAAATAGCTCTCTCCCATGCTAGAAAAGGAGGCAGAATTCGAGGTGAGCGACAGGTCCGCCGACCATCATACATAGGGAGAGCGTGAAAAAACGGCAAGTATTGAAAAAAAAGCGGATATATCTTCGGTCTAATTGGAAGTCCGCTGGTCGCGACCGCCGTGTAAAAGATGCTCCGCGGTTCCGCTTGTGTGCCCCGGCGTCCGGGAAACATCCGCAGTTGTCAGTGCGTGAAGCGGCGTCGTCCCTTCGCCCCGCGCCGCACCTGTCGACGTCGCGCTCCAGCGCCCCCGTTCGGTCCCGCATGACATGCTAATTATCCGGCGTTGTCGATGGTACCATAAAATCGCCCGACTCGGGGAAATTCGACCGGCATTCGAGGGACTATCGTCAGGGCGGCGCCTGCAAAAATTAAATGTGTTTTTTATAAGTTTATAGGTGACAGGTGACACGTGTCATTTCGTGTTTTTTTCATAGACCTATTAAGTTGTCAAGGGATAGTAATACAATCTTGAAGCAATTAAATATAAAGTAGGCACTTGTAGTGAAAACAGACTGTAATAACACGACTATGCACTGTATTAAGTCACTTTATGTCTGTGTCACCCTGTATGTATACGTATACAGAGATACAGAGTGGCACTACTAAAGTAAAATTAACTTTACTATTACACAACATTCATCGAGTTTTTTATTAATGCAAAGTTAGGTTTTATAACGATCTGTTGACAGCGAACGGAGTATAGTTAATTTCATTTTGTTACCTTTATACAAACACGTTAATTATTATTATTAAATTTAATACAAGTATGGAAACGTTTCTGTGAAAAAAAGTACGTGATAGCAGTAAACAGTTGACTTACATTGTTTATTTTAATTTTAACCTTAAACGTTAATGGCAACATAAATAATAACTGTTCAGTCCCCGTATGATTTTTGCGCTTTCCTGAGAAACATTTGTATAAATTGTAAATCTACAGTGCTTTCATTTCGAAACTAGATCGCCTAAATAAGTGTTATGTATTGATTTTAGATGAATTTACACAAGTTCCATTGTTTTCAAATCATTAAGTTCACAGTTCATTTCAAAAAAATCAGCGATTTTTGACAACAAAGACAACTTCTATAGTGTCATGTGTCATGTAAAGGAAAAGAAAGAGTGATATTGTGGGATTGCAACTGGCTCACTCTAACCACTGTTATTTTAATAATCTTTCTTTATTCAACTCATAGAATTGAGCATATTGCAAACAAATTTGCACTTACTCATGTACTACCACTCTTTCTTTTTCCTTCATACGAGACCAATGGAAGTTGTCTTTGTTGCACATATACCCCTGCAATTAATCTCGCATTATTAAGCAAATAAAAATATTTTCGTGTGCGTGCGTCTTCTATTGTCTAAAACGAAATTCCAACGTGTATAATCCACCATTACTTTCGTGTACCTCCGAGTATTATATAATTTTCCTTGCTCGGTTACCTTACCTGTTTTTTTGTTTCGTCATTTCAACCCATTAAGTTTACATTAGAAACGAAATCCCTATTCCGCTCGCCAACCGCGATTGTTAAGTATTACACAATCTCGCCTCGGGAAGCGGACGGAACGAGATGAAATTGCCGGAGAGTTTTGATTTAACGGAGTTTCGATATTTCTGTTTCTCGATCGCCGATAAAATTCCTCCGGTTGATGATGGAAGAGTTATTTTCGACGCCATTGTGGGAATTCTGCGAACAAAAAAAAACACCCGACGTTAATCAATTAGATGCGAGTTCTGGCACGAAATTTTAATTTCTAGTTCTTTTTAGATTGCGGGGTTTTTAAAATCGTGCTATACTTTCAGTTAAACGCATTTAACTAATATGCAAATGAGGTAAATTTGTTTATATCACTTCTGCATTACATTTTTCGACGTATTCTATATTTAGTTGTTCCGCGGGTTTTGTACTGAATAACTTTGCATATCATTTACATGGCTAATAAAGTTTTTTTCTATAGCAATGTGTTGGATTGTAGCGAAAAGTCCGAAGTTTAGCCGGGCGGTTGTTTTTAAAAAGGAGCCAAATCGGTTTTTGATAGGTGCCTAATTTCGCCAAACGTGCAATCAATCAAAAACAATACCCATTAATTTAATAAGAGCTAAATATAGTCTATAATAGGACAATAAATTATAAACCAAAAGAGTTAGAAAATAAAGTAAATTGGAGAGATTTAGAAAATTTTTCTAACTACTAGATTCAGATTCATTTTTGTCATAATAAAGAACTGTCATTTTATATCATTTTATCATTCCTGTCAACTTCTTGTGTTAAGCAATAAATCCTTTTTATTAATATAACAATAGTTATTAGTGTTATAAATATCTTTCTAGAATAAATTAAATTAATCAAAATATAGCATATTTGGTGAATAATTCCAATACCGAAAAGGATAAAAAATCAAGTAAATTGCCACATTTTTCCAAATTACTAGATTCAGATTCAATTTTGTCATATGTCATTCTTGTCAACTTCTTGGTTTAATATATTCAATTCACTTCTTTAATATAACAAAAATTATTAGTTTTATAGCATGTAGAGTAGGTTAGAGCGCGTGGATTATCTCATGAACAGTCAATACGGCAGCGCTGTGCGCGACTATGAAGTGGCAACAGGTCAAAATTTCGCAAAAGTTTGTTACAAAAACATCGGCTCTCGCTTTCCTTGGTATCGCTAATCCCTAATATCGGTATTCAGGGTAGATATCGCTAGATCCGCTCTAGGCAAGCGATGCAAATCGAATGCCGAATATTGTCAAGATAGTTAATATAATTTTTCGGGTAGCAATTTGGTCGGTCGCGCAACGATGACGTAGTGTTCATGAGAAAATCCACCCGCTCTAATAAATATCTGATTCGAAAACAAAACAAAATGAAACAGCTTTGGATGGCTGCTCGTCACATTTTGACACGCAACACGACAAAAGCCTTTGCGAGAGCAGTTAGATTCGAAGACATCAAAACTAAATCATCCAAATCGCTCTTATTCTTCGCCGGTAACGGTGCTGCTATTTATTTACATGCAGCGAACTTGTTGGCATTCTAGTTATTTAATGTTTCACAAAATCTTCACGATGACTATCAAATGAGCTATCACGATTTACATGAATCGTAACCGGGAGACTTTCGTATAAAGTGTTTACCGTTCCGTTAATGTATACAGTAGACACTGCCTATTACTAGATAGATGTTTTATATCTCTCATGGTATTGTGAGCAAGTTTCTGCACCGAAAAATTCGTTTCAACAACTCGTTGTAGATTCGTTTTGTTCGATTAAAACGGCTTTAATTGCCCGTTCGTTCGAAATCTCTAATTAAATAAATCCGTACGGCGAATTCGAGTTTTGAAATCGACGACAATCAAAAATTTTAAGTGTGGGTATCCATCATATTATTTTTATTATTTCTGGCCTTGAAATGTTTGTGAGAACTACAATACGACCATTACATATTATTTTGATGTAACGAAAGAGGAAATTGAATAGCATCATGATTCGTTATTTCAGTTTCATACCAGGTGAACCTGAACGAACGCGGGCGCAGGAGGGGACTGGGAAATTTGTTATTTCGAATTAACCGCATTGACTCTATTATAAAGTCTTCTTCGCGGTTAAAGTTTGAATCCTGTCCTGATTTTGTTGTATACAAGGTGACTATACCATTGCTGAGGAATTTCACATTATTTCCAATGGAATAAAATTGAAATTAGAGCGCTAAACTGTGACAAATTAGGAATTATTTTTTTTTAAGCTTGTCGGTGATCATGGGAACTGGCAGAAACTTTTTTCCATAACATTCCAATAGTATTATTATTGACTATAAGTGCCTATTTTACTTAATAATAGAAATTCCTAAATTTTTCCTAATAATTTTTCAAGACGAGAAAGGAGATAAATTGACCACTATAATTGCATATCGGCAAATCTAGGAACTGTTATTGTCCTACTACCTATTATAGGAATAGTTATTTATTCAATTTTCATTGAGGATTAAGGCTAAAGCTTCGTACTTTTACAGACACCCATATTCGATCCAAGGTTGAAAACATTTCATTTTTTGGAAACTCTACGACTTTTCAAAGTTAGCAGGAATTAAAAAAATAAGTAATACCTCCTGCAGAGTAAAGAATAATGTCGTAAATTAGCAAACACATTATCTTCTCATATTGTCAAACATACCTTACCTATGCAAACACAGCTTCTGAAAATTAGTGTAGTTCAAATATCCCGGTGCATTGCAGGAGTTCCCATGCAGGTGATTCATTAATGAAATCCGGAGAAACCGGATGTCCTCAAAAAAGAGTTTCCTATCCTCAGTTATAAATTTAAATTATTTTCGATTCGGCTACACTACAGCAAATCGAAGTTATAAAATAAGGAACAACATGTTTTGGTTCCAATGCACTTGTATTTTTAATCTAATTACGTATTCGATAGTTTAACAATCGACCCATTAACGTGATTAACCGTATGGAAAACATCGTTTGTTTGACGAAGACATTACATTATAAATAGCCATTAAAAAAGTAATAATTAAATATCGGGTATATAGGCACCCATTATTTATTAAATCGATGATTATGCTGGTGCACAAGCGAGCATATCGCATCTACCTACTGTTGGTGTTAACATTTTCTGTGACGTAATTCATTTTCAACTATTTTTATTGGCGTTTTTGAATACTTTGAATGGCTCGTTTAAATTAAAACCTATTCTAATATGCATAGGAATATACCCTTAAATAACGCATTAAATTTGATTAATGTATAGTAAGGAAATAACTGAATCTGGTACTACTAAAATGTTTCCTATATATGCTTCGTAAAAAAATATTTTAGTGCTCTGACTCTTTGTTACAAAATAATAGTACACTGAGTAAATTACTTTATCATTATTTTTAATGGTTTTCCTGTTTTTTATATATAACTATGTTCGTTATAAATTTATTCGTTTGTAAAGTTTCTGCATCACGTCCAAATTTAGAATTAAATTTTAGACGAACCAATTTTAACAAAACGAGTCAAAATACCAACTTTTATTAGGTATTACAGGACACGTTGTTGCACGCAACAAATTGCTCCTTATTCAACCATTACCAAAGAGAAATGATAAAATTGAATAATATTATTTCAACTACTAATCTGTTCGTAAAAGCGTCGAGTTTCGACTTTGTGCCGTATTTGGGCTGGTAATTAACACCTTCTAACTAACGTTTGATTCTGAATGTTGGTACTAGACTTGAAGAACTCTCTACCTACGTAGCATGTAACAATGGGAGCGTTTATGGGAAAAGGGAGCCCCATTACAAGTACACCTATAAAATCGTTATTCTGTTACTCGAGACAAATTTGGAAGGATAAGTTTGTGAGTAAAATTGCCTTAATTACTTGTCCAATTAGGTTAATTAAATTCAGGTCGCTTCCCTGAAGCGTTATATTATTTTTGTGATTCATTGTCAATGCTACGTTGTCTCGACTGGCTAATCAAATTTGATGTTATTGCAGTGATACGGCCTTATAGATTATTTTAATGATTCTTTTATAGTCTCCGATTCGATCGTTAGCAAGTTCCTGCTAAATTGTTGCAATGCGGGATTCTTGAACTAATCCATTTGCAGGATATTCGCTGGAGAATTGGAGATTGAATAAGACATTTTCAAGTGATTTGATAGCGACAATATAATAGAAAATGTCATTGCATGTCGCCGACTTAAATAAGTGATATTGATAAGATTTGCAGTCATAACAAATTGGTATTATTTAATAATAAAAGTAGAGTGTAACAATAGAAATTGTAATAGAAAAAATTCGAAATAAACTGTTCAGTTTTATTATCTGACCTCAAATTTTATTTTAGAGGTTTAAAACAATCGTGTCACTAATGTTCCCAATAAAAAAATTTAATAAACACACTAACATATGCAAGTGTATCAAAAATGGATTTGATATATGCTGTATTAATTAACAAACCCTATTATAGGTAATTAATTTTTTTTTTTCTCAATAATGACGTAAGTACGTGTCAAACAGGTATACTAATATAGCGCGAAAATCACTATTTTATAATTAAACACGATCAGATCCTACTTATAAAAAATATTTTAGTTTAGTCGCTTTTAAAAACTAAAGTTATTCTAGTCGTTTTCGTGTAGTTTTTGGATACCATCACGAACTGGCGTCCCGTGAGTGATGACCTGATCGCATTAAAGTTCTCCACTTACCAATCAAGACATGGTTCTTTGTTCTAACATTAGATCACGAAGTCATCATCATAGCCAAAGCCAGCAACAGCCTGGCCTGACTCTCACTGTAAGTTTGTACACTCACCACTTTACTTCCTAGAACCAAACAACAACTGACGTCAGCCACGTCGAAATTACATTTAATCGGGTCGTTTTTGCGGTACCGGCAATCGAGCTGGAGGTACCAAAGGCTTTGAGGATGGCACTCAAAGACCACGGGCCACACAATATCCCCGTGAATTCTTCTAGTGCCATTCGCAAACCAGGTGACATGTTTAAGCGGTGAGGATCGGTTCGACTGAGTTGAATCGCGGTTCGACTGACACTGTGTAGTGGTACCGGCGCTGGTACTTACGACAGGTAGCTTCTGGCCCCCTGCCCCTCACCTTCGCGAGGCCAATGCACCTGTGCTGGGTACCATGACACTGTGTGATGCTTGATGGGAGCTTATTAGTCATCGTCCGTGGTTCTGGGTTCTAGGGGAAGCGAGGTTCTTCGATTCGCGCGGCGGACTAGGATTAGAACGGATTTCTGAGCCGGGGCGGGCTTTCCTGCAGTTCCACGCCAAATTCGTTATCCGGCTGATTTTTCCAAATTTTACGCTGTTAAATGGGTTTTTTTTTTCGGTCGTTTGATCCGATTCCCATGCTGTTTTGTAATGTACTTTAAATACCACGTAATTCAGCGATCAGCTTTTAAGTGGAGAAACGATGGGAAAGCGACTGCACGGCTTAATCATTAAAATATTTAACATTTACTTACTTATTATACAAGTACTTACTTATCATTTTTAAAGTTAAATACTGGCATAATCCAACCAATAAAGTAATTAATGAACTAAACTAAAACAAGGTGGTATTTTTTTAATAATTTCGAAAGAGTATTTTTTTTTATTCAATAAATTTGGTAATTATAATGTGGGCACGCTTTAATTTCGATTAAAATCGAGCGATTTAATTCACGTTTCATAAAAACCATTAATTGTTTATTTTAAAATGAAGTTTACATCACTCGCTATTAATAGACAAATTAATGCATTATAATCAATAGGTACAACTCGGGCTTAATTAATTAATTAGTTTTTTCATGCCTTCTAACAATAGCTCAAGCGATAGTGGATTACTTATGCCTACCTGTTCGTTTCGAATTAGTTTAAAACAGATTCAAATGAAATACTTAGTTAGAAACTTAATTGGATAATTTCCTACTGGTTTTGCGAAATTTTATGCTAATTTATTCAATTTTTGGTATATAAATTTTAAATTGCTGTACTTAAACCAGTGATATAATTTTAATGAACTTGATTATTCTGGTAGTAGGTACTTTTGATTGATGAATTTTATATGAAATGTTTAATATTAGGAAGAAATAAAAATTGAGTAAATACACTATACACTCTACTGTAAATTAATAGTAATGTAAAGGATACTAAATCTGATGATTTGGTAAGGCAATTAAAAAGCAAAATCAATTATATACATACCTATTGTTCGAAAAGTTACTGTAGTAGGAAGTGTTATTTTACGACTGATTTATTTTAAGTCCATTATTATTTTTAATGTCTATTCTTTCCTTTTCGAACGAAAACGTATGCAAGTACGTTCTCACTTCTTAGTGAGAATCCATTTTTTAGCCGTATTGCATTTTAGAAATTTTAATTATCTTTTGGAATCGTAAATGAGGCATCCTGTGCACGGAGGGAAAACCGTCTTCGTTTCTACACCACTGCGCAGGAGAACAGTCAATATCCTACAGCAGTCGGTTCATTGTAGTCCGTGTAAAATTCGAACTTGACAAAAACCGCATAACTGACTTTTATTTTTATGCCTTTTAATCGATTTCGAACTGATATTCTCAAGAATGTTATTATTAGAGAACGGAAGCGTTTTTCGGTTGAGTTGAGCCCCAAAAAAGCCGGTCTCTGACCATGCTGTAATTCATCATTGTCGTACTCGATCAATTCTAATACCTTCTCGTCAATTACCAAATGAGCATCCATTCACAAAATAATTTTGTAAAGCACACACTCACTTATAATGGTACGAGAAGTGTATGAAATAAAAATATGTATTGACAACTATAGAATTATATATTTATTGAATAAATTTTCACAACAACATAGGATATAAAGATAAACAAATAACATAAACACACTAAATTACATTTTCCAAATTCCAAATACCTGTCTTCCATTTTGCCTTTAGTTAAGGGGTATATTTTGTACAACGGTATTCAACGTATCCACAAAAGGCTTGGATGCATCTAAAGTTTGCTTCATTAAACCCAAACTACTGGACAGTAAATCTATACCAGCAGTAATGGCGCTTGCATCGAGCTGTCTGGCTTGGACTACAGGAGTACCAGTAGCCAAACCAATGATTGCCGATACAAATTCACCGATTTCTTCCAAAAGGTCGGTTAAGCCATTGCTGGAATCTACGCTGGGTGTGGTGGTTCCTTCGACGAGCTGTCTGCTTTGAACTGCAGCCGTGTTAAGAAGACCTCCATTAAGTATGTTCGATACCAATTCGGCAATTTCTTCGAAGATATTATCTGAACCGCCCTCCGGAGTTAGTCCTTCCAATAGCCCGTTGACAGTGTTTGTAACCGTTTGCAACAGATCATCGATATCGTTAGAATTGGTGGTACCACCGAGTGTTTCGGTGATGTATTTATTTAGGTTTTCTATTAATAAGGTAACATTCGGAGGGAAGCCTACGTTGAGGTCAGGGAGCAGGAGCTGCCTGGTCGCGACGGGTGATGCGACAGCGATCGGCAGAGAGTTGAAGAATAGAACTAAAATGTAAAATTCTAATGTTAAAATGCGATATGGTGAATAAAACGGTTATTATTAGTAGTAGATGCAGAATTGTTTACTTACCGAATGCTGCGGTTGCTCCAAAAACTACTTTAAAAGCCATTTTTCTTGTTTTGTAGGTTCTGTTGTACTGTTAATACTTTGAACTGTGATTGTATGTTTGATTTTGGAAAAAAAATTGTATATATAGCAAAAAAAGGAATAGAAATTTCGTTAAATGAGCCATTAGTGCCAAATAAAAAAATTGGGTAAATACTATAAATTTGACGAAATATTTCCAAAGTAAATACAATTTTCATCGGCGATTTCCCATAATGTAACGATAAAAATGCGCGAAAAACACGAATTTACCTAATGAATAAATCTACATACAAGCAAATATTTTCGCTTGCGAATTCTAAACAAATTCCTCTGTTTACCGACTACAATTATCCAGTTTCAATAAATTATCTCGATCAATCGGACGCCACTGTCATCCAAGTAGGACTTTCCTCGACAAATGACTCTTTCAAAGAAACTCAAATTACACAATAAAACGGTATCGCGTTTTTATCGCTGGCAAAAAGTTTATTTGGTTCAGGGAAGTAAGAAGTTTCGCCATTGTTGGGTTTTTTAAACGTGGCCATCGACAATAGTCATTAATAGTCATTCTCGGTTTATCGAATCAGCGGTTATTGATGATGTGCCACTCGACAGTTTTCTAATTACCGGTCTTACCAGGATACCTATCAGAACCTATTTAGCAACGCTGATTAATGTATACAGAAAGGGTTATTTGGTAATCAGTTATTGGAGTATCCAAAGCATACATAATGCCCTTTTAAGTCTTCGAAGGATCCTTTCAAATTGATAAAAAATTGTTCTTTAGCTCGTTTAATTTGTCGCATTTTGATCCAATTTAGCTTCTAAATTGGCGAAATTGAATAAAGAATATATCAGATTACCATCGCTCCATGAACACGAGCAACAAAGGTCTAATTAAACCTTTTATAAAAATATCTGCTAATTAATTACCTAACGGTATTCTCTTGTATACACGCAATCGTTGCCAATAAACTGCTATGGTAGATGAAGATAATTATTAGGATTACTTGTTTGTATAATTTAGTTATTTCAGGCTTTTCTAATATACCGTATAGGGTGATTCGTAAATTTTATCAGTTTTTTTGTGTGTCTAATTTGTCGGTAATTTCACATGCATGTAGGCGAAACAAGCTCGTTTGATTGTATGATATTAACCCTTTTTTTAAATCCATAAACTCTTTATTTAATAGAGTAAATCAAAGCCGTTTTTCCACCCCAAATCACCGGTTAATTTCACCCATGCGAAATGTATTTATAATTGATGTTACAATCGTGTGCGTTCTTCGCCGTTTATTTCTATAAAGCACGTAATTAACAAAAGCCACGCTCTGCTAAAAATCATATTAATCCAGGACCGTCATCAGAATTTGGCAATCATAATTTACACCTTACCCTAATGCAATTTTCCTTCATAGAAATCCAACAATAAAGGGTTGTTGTATTGAACTAGTTTTTTGTACAGCTCATTTCCTCATTCTCCATTTTTTTGTGATGTAAATAATAAATAAAAATTAATAAATAATGTTTCCAAGATGGAGTCCGATGCTGCTTCTAATTGTTAAGCCGAGCTTTCGTGCTCATAAGTCACCGTTTTCTGAGCGAAAAAAACCATATTTTTGTGTTAAAATAAATCCTAGGAAATAAGCTCGGTGCAATTTTCTCGTTTAATGAGGTTATGATAGGAGATATGGTCCGATGGCCACCAAGGAGCAATGCCTCTGCTACTTCAGATTGTATCTGAAAAATGAACGCACTATCAGTAGTGCGTCCACGTTGGATTTTTAACCCTTCTGAAGTTTTCCTATCGAAAAATCTGCTTTGAACACGCGATGACTTATACTTTACTTATACTGTTTTATTATAAATTAAAACAGTTAGCTTTACTGTATGCTATAATACAAATGGAAATTCGGTTTAATATTAATGCCTTTTGCTGATGTAGGTAAGCGGTTAGGTGCATATTCGGTAAAGAAATTCCAAGCATTTACGAGGCCTGTAATTTAAGCCTAATTTTTGAATCATAAAATTCTAATGGAGTTCGTGTTGTTGTTTTCTGGCTTTGATCCGTCCCTGTGGGCAAGCACGTGTACCCCCCAGTCAACGATCGTTAAATATCGTGAACTATCCAATTCGATTTACTCGAAGAAGATGGACAATCGGTCCCGCCACTGTTCGCGTTTTATAAAAAACCACCAAGTTCGAAATAGGCGCAAAGCAAAACCATAGTAAATTGAAGTAGTTTCAGCGAGAAACCCACCACAAACATGCATTCTGGGTATAGTTTTATTTCGAACAGGTTTTTTTATTATGACACTTCATTATGTGCAGATGAAAGAGCATTATTCTCCTGGGAAAAAGAATACTTCCTTTCTGTGGGCAATTAATTCGCTCTTGCGTTAGGGAAATTGTACGAGAACGCTAATACGTTTCAAACGACCCATCGGGGTCATGTCGAATGTTTTGCGCCATTATTTATTACAAATAACTTAAGTACCACTATTTCATTCTGGTTTATTTTATGTTATTTAATTCTCTTTCGTTAGTGGTACTTAGCAGGAACTGAAATGTCGTTGGCCTTTATTATCGGATCCCCATTTTGAATTCTATATATATTCCTTCGGATTACGGTTAACGCCGCATGGAAATATCGTTAGAGGTAGTACCCGGTACACGCATTTGTTTTGGTTATCATCGGCTGTAATATCGTCGAAAAAACATCTGTAGTGCCTACCTGTATGGCGAAAGGTGGCGATGAAGCGCCCATTTCTTTGATGGCAAACACCGGTATTGTCGATGATACTCTCTTCATTTCACCTGTAGTGCTCGCTCGCCTCGTGTACACGGCACTCCTACAGCGCGCTCCCTTGTAAATACACCAAAAAGTACCAATTTTCTTATTCCTTATTGCACCAATCTTCAAGCATCTCCAACAGCAACTTACACTTTTCATCCAAAACAATGTAATCTCTGGAAAAAAATTGAATTGAGGTAGGTAGGTACCTTCCACAAAACCAAGTACCTAACTCAATGAATTTTCGGACAAATTACTAGTATTTGTGCCGGTAGAGAGTAGAGAGGTTGTTAAATGCAACCTGGAACGTAGGCTCGACCATAGCCGCACGTCCTAGAATCAATTACATACGTGAGCCCCTTCGAAATATAGAGGTGATGCGCTTGGCAGATCAACGGTGACGTTTACGCTGCTTAGATTGCACCTGCTCATTCTTTATTTGAGAAAATTAACTATGTTGTGTTATAACTTGAGACGGCATTATTATGAAAAATTCATGGCGCATAAGTATGCCTAATATGAAGGATGTTCGATTAAATATATGCGTGTGATGAGGAGGTTCGATACATTTCGGTAATTACGGTTGTATTAGAGGAGTTTGTTGAACTGTTGACCTTATTTTGTTTAAATAAAAACCCCCAATAAGTAGATTGTAACTCGAGGATATCTAGAAATATTTTTTCGATGTTATTTAAACAATCTATTGATCTCATTTTTCTGTACATTCTAGCGTAAAATAATTGTGTACAGCACTAATAATATGCCCATGATTAACTTCAAATTCAAATCTGCAGCTGGTTTTGTTGAATCGTTAAAATCATAAAAAGTATGATTGGCTATCATTTGAGCTAATTCTTTTCTTTCTACACACACTAATTGCATTTTTTCTTCAAATTCGATTAGTATTTTTTAAATTATGGTTTATTTGAAATGTTTGTCAATAAATTTTTGATCCTTCAAAAAAAAAACCAAGATTCTAACAAAAAAAGAAGAATTTTAAAGGAAAATTGCAAAATATTCGAAAATTCGAGGCGAATTCAAGAAAATTCGAGGCGATTTCTGAACACTAATAAATATGAAATTATTAATTAGGTATTTAATAAATATTTGTACAGTAACGCTACTAAAGATAGGGAAATTAACAACACCTTCATATCTACTGTACAGGATCTGTCGGAGGTGTCAATCATTTCCATCAGCATATCTTCCGGTGCACAAAGTAAAGGCATAATAATTACCAAATTATCAATTTTAATAAATTATTGTTGTTTTATTATTTTCAAACGTCTCACTACCGTCAAAAAATATTTTAAGTGGCTGTTTAACTTCACAGTACAAGTTCATAAAAAACAAACTACAATTGACGTTTGTGACAGTGACAATTATGACGTGGTAAATAAACGTGTCTTCTTGTCTTTTTTCGGCGTCGTTGTGACAGCTGCGAGAGATCGATGTAATCTATTTATTGAATAAATATAGTTAAATAACTTATTAACATGGCTCCCAAAGAGAAGGACGATAAGGTAATCGTATTTGTTTCTTTCTGTAAGTACTTATTCACAACAAACTTTTATTTCAGCCGGTAAAGATAAACAAATGGGATGGTGCAGCTGTAAAAAATGCACTAGACGATGCAGTTAAAGAAGTAATTACATAGGTAATCAGAAAGGAGTAGACACGTTTTCTTACGCTTTGTTTTAGGTCCTAACCGGGAAATTCCATTATGTTGAGAATTTCGCCCTCATCGATGGCAGATTAGTAATATGTGGCATAGCAGTAGGAGTAGCTATGTTTGCCTTAGTATGGGATTACTTGTACCCTTTCCCACAATCTAGGTATATTTTATTTATTCCTTTTTATAAATTGGTTGTATTTACGTATTTATTTGCAGGCCTGTTTTGATATTCTCTGTTACAACGTACTTCATTATGATGGGGGTTTTAACGTTTTACACAGCCTACAAAGAGAAGGGAATATTTGCTGTTTGTATTCAAAAAGACAACTCTAAAAAGGAGAATGTCTGGGAAGCCAGTTCCTATTTGCCAAAGTAAGAATACAAAATCTTAAACTTAGAGATGGTTATTTAATAAATTATTCAATTTTCAGGTATGATGATAAATACAGCTTATCATTGGTGTTTATAGACGGAAAAACGAAGCAAAGAAGAGAAACCAGCATAAAAAAGAGTGTGGCTAGTTACATAGACGTTAATGGAGGTGTCGTGCCCGAGCTGGTCGAGGCTGATGTCACCAAGATGCACAATTCTCTGTTGACAGAACGAAAAGAAAAATGATGCATACAACAGCACCATTTTTCGGTTCGTAGAAGAGCAGGCCGTGTAAATTATTTCGTAATGTTTTATATTTTTAAATGATTTATTTTGTTTCTGCAGGTTAAAAATAGTTGTAATTTCACTTGTGATTTATGGTTTACATAAATGTCGTACAATTTACACAACGTTGTTTTTATTTCTCTAATAGTTTCTGTAGAGTCAATAATTATTTCTTTGATAATGAGGATTTTCAATTTGAGCTGTACGCTATATAAGTAAGAGTGCTTGGAATGTGAAAAAACAACTTGTCTCTTGTCATACTTATCAAAAGTTATTTAAATAAATTTGGTTTTGATTTATTAGTACAACATATTAGTAAAATCAATTATTTTTAGTAATGAGCATTTTTTATTTTAATTGTATGCTATATAAGTAATTGTTCCTAAAAAAGAAGAAACTGTACTGACATTCTTACAAATATCTTGTCTTATGTCAAAAGTCACATAAACAAACTTGGTTTGGTTTTGATTTATTTTAGAGAAGTCGTTACTGTTTTGAAAATTAAAATTCCTCTTTACAAAGCTAAATAGGGATTTCAGAGTTTACCTCAAACAATGACAGAACTGTGCAGATCTTGTTTGGAGCCCATTCGCACGAAAAAATACCCTCTAATAGGAGAAATCGCCAATGTAGAAGTCGATGTAATTTCCATGCTAGAATTTTGCACTTCATCAAAGGTAAATTACCTACCATTTCCTTTCGTGTTTTAGTTTCATTTGCGATTTCAGCTGGAGGTAGCACAGGGCCTGCCAAACAGCGTTTGCGTTTCTTGCTTTAAGACCATCAGAATTTCTTACTGGTTTCTAAAACAATTTTACGAAGCCCAAACGAAGCTCACCCAACTGAGGCACTTACTAGACGGAGCTAACGGTAACGGCCTGGAAGGCGAAGATAACGAATTGATCTCTGCTATTCAAATTTGCGACAATACGAATGATGTCGATGGGGAATCGGAGTCCGAAAACGACGAGGAATACATGGAGGAAGATGGAATATTCGAGGATACAACAGAATTCGAACACGAAAACGAAAATCACGATGACGAACAAGAGATTTTTATCAAAGAAGAAAGCGTACTCCAAGATACCAAAGGAGACTTATCCAATCTAGTAGAATTATTCGATTTAGGTAATTTATCGAACATCGAAGTAGTCGTCGATGACGAACCGAAGCCTGACGATGAAGACGATAAAGTATTTATGTACATTTGCCCCATATGCGGGGACCAATTCTCTCGAGTGGAAACGTTTTATTCACACGTCAGCAGCTACAATTTAGCCAAAATAACGTGCACCAGGTGCGAGAGCCAGCCCGAATTAGACATGGACACTTACTTCAATCACTACTTGGATCACCACAAGTACCAGTGCGCCATTTGCGGCAAACTAATGGCCTCCGCCTACGGGTACCACTACCACATGAGGCACCATCGGAACGTCAGGAAGTTCAAATGCCCTTTCGAAGGTTGCACGAGGTCCTTTCTAATGAATCACCTTCTCACGAAGCACATCAAATCCCACATAGTGAAAAATAGTTACAGTTGCCAGTTGTGCGATAGTACTTTCAACACGAAAGATGCCCTGCGGTACCACAACAAGCAGCACTTCGGCCACAAGGATCACTTGTGTACGATTTGCGGACAGGCTTTTTTCCAGGCTGTACATCTTAGGGATCACGTCTACCGGCACGTGGGCTACAAAAAATTCGTTTGTGATATTTGCAATAGAGGTTTCATAACGAAGGCTAGCTTAAAGAAGCACTTACCTTATTGCTCGAAAAAGTACAATTATTGTTTTAATTTTAAGGGCGATACCAATTGAGTTTTTATACTTATTTTATTTAATGTATTCTTGATATTAAATGTGGAAAAATTAGAATTTGTAGTTCGTTTTATCTGGAGATTATTATGTAGTAATCGAAGTAATCTTGTGGTTACACGTTTTTTATATGGGTAAGTGCAAATTTGTTTGCACTACACTACAGTCAAGCCTATGTGTTGGGTGTTGAACAAAGAAGGGTTATTTACTTAACATTAGTTAGAGTGAGAAAGTTGCATTCTCACAATATCGCTCTTTTTCTTTATATGGGACTATTAGCAGTTGTCTTTGTTAAACCCATAGACCATGCACAAATTTGCACTGTATATTAACCGGTGTAAAAATAAACCGGCCGCCTAAGATTGTCTTTAAACTCAATTGCCTATGACGCGTGTGGTGAAAGTGGATTTTTCTCACCAGCAATATTATAAAATTTTAAATTCGTTCTGGGCCTCGATTTAACAAGTCGTTCCCTTATGTAACCGTCGGGTAAATAAAAACGATTTCCAATTAATTCCAATAACACGATTTATTTATCGGATATCTGCATATCTCTGTCAAAAAATAAATAACTAGATCTAAATGATAAACATGCCTCCCTAGTAGGAATGTAAAAATAAAGTATATTAATATTATTTAGTATATGAAAGTGAAAGTGTACTAAAGCGATATAAAATTTGAACTCTACATAACAACATTTCCCTATAGGTAATAATAAACCTGAGATTTTAGGAGATAAAAAAAACTAATGAGAAACCTGGAGCAAACAAATCATTAACAATACACTAAACTCTGTATTTATATTTAACCGCATCTCCTTCGAAATCTACGTACGATCTAGTAGCTTCATTATGAATCGGCAGTATTCCAAATTTACCAAAATTCGTCGATATTTCATTTTCCTTATTCCTCTCTTCAGCTTCCTCCGCCAGCGCTTTCCTGTATTCCTCTATTTGCCCCACCGTTTCTGGTCTTTGATCGAAGCTATTAGGCGTAAACAGTGGATATTGAGGAGGCCCTACGAGCAAATTTTTACTCAACACACACGCTTTCCAACTCCCTATTTACCTCTAACAACCCTCGGAACATCGTAAAGCGAACTGTGCAGAATCTCCGGACCCGCCAAAGTATAACTCGTCTTGAATCCCGCAGATGTTAAGTAGGTTTTGGTGGAAGGGTAGATAGTTTCCTGGTGGTAGTTTGTTAAGGGTTCATGGAGAATCGAAGTCACCGAGCAAACCACCGCCAGAAGTACAATCAAAGTAGTTCTCATCTGAAAAAATCAAGCAGTTAATTAGGCGAGGTAGTTGCGTGAAGTGTGGAGTAAATAACCAAGGTCCTTTCGAACACAATTCTTCTTGTAAACGCGGAAATTCTACACGCGTAAAATTTTAATTGGCGATGTCTAACGATTTTCTTACGACACAATTGCGTTTGATATACATATCAGTAATTAAATGTATCTGGGTGTGAAAAATACGTTACCTTCGAGTTTCAAAAAGAGGTATGAAGAAATCGGGTAACACACGTGCGTTATCTAAAGCCTTCTATTTAATAATATTTTGTTAGATTAATAATTTATTTATACCTAAACTGATTTTTTTATATAAATTTCTTCTGCTACAATTTTTTCTCCAAATCCCACTAAAATTTAAAACCTTTTATAGAAAACTAATCAACAAACCTCATCCATTTTATTCTCATTGCATAACACCCACTAGATCAATCACTTTATCAACGCGCGTTCGGCGATCAATCAGCAATGCTTCAAATTTGAAAGTCACCCGCGAAGTAAGCGGTCACTCTACCGTGACATAACAGATAATGCCGACTCCCTTCTTTCATTCTCAAGAATCCTCCAGTCATTTTGCCACCAGTCTCAAGTTCAGTGTTATTATATTTCTTACGCGCTGAACTGCATCGCGAAAGAAACATTAAATTTAATCCCATACATAACTAAAGTTTTTTCGTTCTACTTTATAAATACATTGCAATTTTTCGAATGGGAAAGTTTTACATATCCACGCAAATAATTTGTCATTTAAGTGCATTAACTTCTTTCCTGGTCGCTGAAAGTGGATGATGAATATCTATTATTTATGTACAGTGCAACGGGAATAGCTGTAGCTGTAGAGTAGATGCGACTTGCACAATGGCCCATTGCTAGATTTTAGATATCGAATCGAAAAACCTTTCGATAAATCGCTAATTGAATACCGATGTTTGTTTAAGGTATATCGAAACGCTTTTCACCCACAACCTTCTGTTCGAAAACGTGCCGGATCAAGGCTGATCTAATCAAAACTGTTTTGGTCTAGAATCGATTTTTTACTTTCGTCTTAGCTGCAGGATACGTTTTCAGACTAATTACTCGTTGCCCAACAATGGGTTTCCAATGCTGAAAAAGTTAATGAAGGATTAAGTAAGACGATCGGTGATGTCATAATCGATTTTTATCTATTTTAATTGTTTAGCCTAAGAACTCCCTCGAGAAAAATATAATTTTTTTATTTAGAGTATTTTATTACCCCTTTTTACTTGCTACAAACCTCGAGAAATTAAGAATCTTTAGGAAATTTAGTATATAATTTCTTAGCAACGTTATTCATAAGTGTTTTGCGCTGGTTTAACTTAAGTAAGAACAGGTAGAGCCTTCTACTTTTAATTTAATGAAGGTGAAATGATGGAGATAAAGTTTCCTGCCTAGTTCTTTAAATTCTTCAACTAGCAATAGGTGTCTTGTTTCGATTATATTTGTTGGGAATATAAACTCATTAGAAATGTGAGTGGACATAAATAAATATGTAGGTACACAATTTACATGCATCTAATATTTTTTTAATATAAAATACGAGAAACAAAAAAAACTGCCTTCAATCAACCGCTGGCTATAATAATTTCCATATCCTTCTTATCTATTACAGTTATTTGTTATTTAATCGTAAGTACTGTTCGCGATTGTAAAGTACTTATAGCGGATTCGCGAGAAAGTGCATTGTAACCGAGCTACCTTGAATCTATTAGGTAGTTGCTCTTGTAAAACTGGTATTTTGCATCACATCAAACATTCGAACGCTATCTGCATTGACAACAAGAACTCGAACGAAATCACTTCTTCCGGAATTTACGTATAAATAAATTCGTAAAAGGCTAGGCGTGGTACGGTTTACGGAAGACCATCGATCGAATTCCATGTCAAGATGAAACCAATTTTGAACCTGTTTTGACAAATTTAACGTGTAGTTTTATTATCCTCATTATAATTTTGAGACTACTCTTCCTGCTTTTTTTAATTGGATTAGTCATCGTTGACGTTAAAGGATATGTGGATGGGAATTGTTCAGCGCAAATACTCCACACCCAATCGAAATTAAGTGAATAATCAGTAAAATAAGTTGTTTGTGCCGTTTTCCTTTCTCTGAGGTTCATATTAAAGTTTAAACGAAAGGTCATCTCTTTATGTAATAGCTCGATATTGCAGGTTGCAACACAATGTGAGGTGTTTATAAGCAAAAAAATAAAAACACAAATATAATTAACCAGCGTATAATAGAAACAGGAATAAAGTTTAAAAAAGAATCATAATTTTTAAGTACTCATCAGTCTATTGTACAAATTATAAATAAATATGGACAGTAAAGTATAGTACATTCGTATACAATATTGAATAAGTGAACACTAGCTGTATTTTTCACGTATAATAAACGATGAAAGAGTTACTCTAAATCGAAACACAGCCTACCTAAGAGAAAACCCCCAAACTTAAGCACTCTTAAAACTGAATTGGTACCCGTCCGGGGACCTGTTCAACGACAGCTTTCCCGGCGGATAGAACCTGTGGGGGTTGGGGGTCGTAGGTTGGTACTGCGGCTGCGGCTGCGGCTGGTACTGCGGTTGCGGTTGCGGTCGGTACTGCGGCTGAGGCTGGTACTGCGGCTGAGGTTGGTACTGAGGCTGAGGCTGGTACTGGGGCTCAGGTTGGTACTGCGGCTGGGGCTGGTATTGCGGTTGCGGCTGGGCCCTCGGTCGGTAAATCTCCGGAGGGTTGTACTGGGGCAAAGGGGTGTAATTCGGCTGGGGCGCGACCGGTAAGGTGGTGGGTACGGGCTGGGGAATGCCGTCGCCGGTGGCCATGAAGCCGTTTTTGCCGGCGGTGTAGCTGATGGTGTGCCTTTGGCCGTTGGGATCGATGTAGGAGTAGCTGCCTTGGCGGGTGCCGTCGGGGGCGCTCGTTTCCTTGAAGTTCACGCCGTCCTCCTGCTGGTATTGGGCGCCGAAACGGCCGTCGGCCTGCAGGTAGCGATCCTCGGCTAGGATCGCCGCTGTTCTGGGATCCCCGTGGTAGCCCTGACCCTCGACGGTGACGGCTATTGCCAAAGATAGCACCTGCAGGATAAAAATATTTATAGAATATAATTTTGCGTTAGCAGGAAAGCGGTATTAACAAAGCGATTCTAAAGGTTAACCGCTTTAACTATTTATAAAATACAATCCATTCTCTGCTTATTTCCACTCGATATCTTCCGCCTTTGTTACGCCGAATTTCACTTAAAAATATAATACAATTTCGGATACTCACTAATATCAACATGGTGGTGATTTTCCGGAGACTCGCAAAGAGACGACTAGTGCCCCCCCAGTCGATAATTTCGTTTTATAGCGAGGGTTAACCTTGGGTGGTACGACCATGGAACACACCTTAAGAACACGGCGTGGAAGGTACTTTTCTGCTAAGTTTTATCGACAAGTGCTCGCTCAGGATAGTGACCCGATCTGCGAATGCGGCGAATTTCATAAGGGTGGGCGGTGAAATTTATTGTAATAAATAATATTTCCATTATTTGATGTGATGATGGAAGAAATTGGCTATGTTACAACAGAAAATATGGTGTGACATATAACAACGCTAAATATCTTTATTCTCGGTATTTTATTTAAAAAATAGCTGTAAATGTTATTTGTTTTAATTTACTAATAAGTACGAATTAGGTAATAATTATTAAGTAGCTGATAAATTATCAGATCATTAGTTCCGTGAACTTTTCTATAAAATTGCAAAAATGTAATAACATTAAATATATTTTCTACTAATTGAATTAATAAGTAATTATATGGCTAGCAATAAATTAATAATTTGAATTAAACTCAGGCAACACAAAATACACTTAAATAAAAAATCTATAAAATAATATTGCAACTTTCATGATTGGCTCAAAGAGGGCTCTGCTAGTACGAACTTACACAGAACCACAGAACATACATAAACAAGAAGGGACATCGCCGTGAGAATTTCGTAGACGTTGTAGAGCGCACCCTGAGAGCATGGGGAAACACTAACTAGTAATAGTTGTAATGGATGTTGCATAGTAAAGAGAGGATTCTATATACACAATCGTGTAATACTGGTTTTCTATTCGACTTTTTTCTTTTTCTTGCTGATATTATCTATCCAATTTCTTGTAAAACTTGTACAATTTATTATACTATTACAATAATAATTATATAAAATGTATAAGAATTTTATATAATTATTAAATATACATAGTATAATAAATTGTACAAGTTTTACAAGAAATTAAGAAATGAATTAACGACAATAACGTTTCATTTTAAAAAATATATTTAAAAAACATACATTTTTTTAGACTTCATATTAGACATTAACTAATTCAATATAAATTAATACCTACATAAATATAAAAACAATACATTTATAAATAGTATAATATTAAAATAATTCATAATTTTAAATGTAAACCTACATAATATGAATAATAATTTAGATTTTGATGTACTTTGGCCTATTAACAATACAATAATTAGTTTACAAACCTTTTTCTGAGAAATCCAGTCATTTTATATCAATGGCTTGCTGAACCCAATAGAACTATCTCTATTTTCTGTAACAAAAAATAAGCAGTTAATATGAATAAAAATGATATTTGGGTTTAAATTATGTACTAATGTTAATTATATTTACCTAGCAAAGAAAGCATGACACAGCAATCTTGTCTAATTTCAGACCTTCCGATGATTGGAATTTGAAACCCACTTTTAATAAATGGCGGTCGACGCTGCAACACTTTCCAAGTCTTGTAGCAATAGAATGGTAGAATCACGTTAACATTACACAAATAATTTATAAAACTCACAGCTAATACCAAAGCACTTTGTATAATAGTCGATAACTAACAATAGTTGGAAGAAATATTTACTTGGTTGTATTTCAAAACACTTCGAAGTGCATGTGTTTTGTTCAAATTGAAAAATCGTTAATAATGATCTACGGCATGTTGCGCGGGTTGCTTGCGCTGTTTCTCAAGTAAACGATCGCCGCGCGATCTCTGAGGGTGGGTACGAACTAAATTTAACGTCGAAAATTTCTCATAAGGCTGTCATGGGCCTGCACAGAACACCAACACCTTTCTTAACTTCAACTCTAATCTCCATAATACCAATTACTTATTGATTTTTATTCGCAATTTTTGAACACAAATTTTTGTTATTTAAACTATTCTTTATAATAATTATCCTTAACACCAAAACTACTACCCACAAGTACTATCTACTTATAAATACTTATTACTTTTCAATAGTTTCGTGAAGATAACCAAAACATGCTCAATTTAAAATAAAATCTAATATTAGAATTCAAGAATATCTTTCCTGTAACTACATACAAGGTATCTGAAAAATGCGAGAAAAAAATACTGTGACATGAGGAAAAACTCGAGAATTCCATTTAACACTTATAAGTGATCTTGTTAAAGCCATAAAATATAATAAATGTATCAATTAAACTCGTATCCGTACAATAATATGCGTATAACGAAATATTGGAGAGCATTAATATTTAATACCGATGCAGGAATGTTTTTCTTGCCGGTTGCGATACCGGTCAACATTGAAATAGGCGTGCCTATATAAAAGCACTGATAACTATAATTTCATAGTGGTTTCAATTCAACCATTTCCCAGGTTATAGAGTCCCGGTTAACTATTTTTTTTATTGGAAGTGAGCAGTCGAGATGGACAGAAAGTTTGCACTTTTCATTGTGAGTTTCTTATTAAAAAACTATTTTTTTTAATTCGATTATGCATATTTTTATTTAATTACTAAGTAGTTGCTCGGAATTGTTGGTAATTTAAATATATTTTGGGTTTTTATAATAATTTTCCTCTTTTTCTTCTAATTTTTTTCTGTCATCTCTTCCTTCCTGTAATATCTCCTATTTTTTTTAATACATCTAACTTAATTTTATTAAATTTAAATAACTTTATTTGAATTATCCTTTTACTTAAATCATCCCTTAGAGTTTTAAAGGGGACACTTCCAAAAAATTTAAATATCTACCTATTTTAAATTTAAACTAATTTTCAGTCATGAAAATCTATTTGAAGACATTTCATTAAAAGTATTATCAATTCAATGATATACATAAATAATATTTTTTGCCCAATTAACGATTTCTTAATTAATTAATTAGTGCATACCTTTCAAATTCCATTTGTCATAAGCAATTAAGATTGAAACTGATGAAATCAATTCAAATTAATATATTTAAACCGAATTAGGAATACGTAGGTATTTTAATTAAATTTTATTGTAAACAACTACTTGTAAACAAATAATGTTTGAAAAATTTAATTGGGTTTTTAAATTATAATCTGTGTTTATTATGCATTCAAGTGCGTCTGGTATAAGTATAATTATAAATCAAAATTACGCTTTGCCTTTTACGTTCAGCCTCTCTTGACAATTACAAATATGTTGTAAATTGTGTTAAAACGAGAATTTTTACGACTTACAAATAACTACAGTTGATTAACACTCTGGTAAAACACCTTGATAAATGTGTAGTTAACGAACTAAATTCGTAATGTCTCTGTATTCTATCAACAAACTCGGGACTTTCTGCAATTGCGTACGTGAAAAAAAAAACATTATCAATTTATGCAAATTGGAAGGATAATTTTCTAATTCACGGTTATTTTAATTAACTTAAACTATTCAAAACTCGTTTCGAAGCGTTCACTTCGATACGATTAATTTTATCCTATTATAGTTATTAAAAATAATTGATAGCTAAACTCTTGAAAAAAACAATATTTATAATTCATGCGTTTTTCTTAAAATTCTTTACATTTTATTACTTGCACACTTAATTATGCTTAAAATAAAAAGCACACTCGTATAATAGTAAATAAGCATAACAGTAAATATGTTATACTTTCTACATATTTACCTAAACTTTTGTTAGGTATTAACCTAATAATTTATTATTCTTGGCTGCTAAATATCTTTTAAAATCAACCCCATTGTTAAACGCCGGCAATATTTACATCACGCTGCGTGTATCGATAAACGAATAAACAAGGACATTTTCAATTCGAATTCGCTCAAGTACGTACGTATAAATCAATTTTTTTACGAAAGTTCCCGCTGCAAACGTATCTGGTATAATCGTTGAACAAATTAATGGGAGCCAGATAATAGTCATGCCTTAACGGTCTATTTAAATTACCATGCAATGCGTTACTTAGTTTTGTTCTATTTGCTAAATTACAGATTGATACTAAAGTTTGTAATGACGCATTTAATTATAGAGTTTTCTATGCATTTCGAACCGTTTCCAAAGCACGCTGGAACAAGCCCCACCTAGATCGAAATACATCAGCATCCTTCAAGATAGCAGAGACGAGCCGACACCTGATGGTAATCGAATCATTTCTTATCGATTCATTAGTTCAAAACGAGTTGTTTAGGAACATTCGGTTACTTGTACAAAACCGAAGACGGAATAGTCAGCTCGGCCAGAGGCGGACCAAACGGAGCCATCCAAGGCGGATTCTCCTACACCGATCCCACCGGTTTGAAAGTGAACATCAACTACAACGCCGGATCGAGAGCTTCGCCCACCGCGGTGGAGCCTTCTTCCAGACAACGAACTCCAGAAGCTCCGAGGTACTACGGAAACGAGGCGAATCCTCCAGCACCAGCTAGAGCCCCTGTTTACAGACCCCGACCTCAACCGCAATATTACGAGTAAGCGAGATTGATTTGAGTTTTGGTTTCTTGTTGATAAATTTATTTCAGCGATCCCGCGCAAGATATTCAATACGAGGCAGTAGAAACTAATCCTCGTTACATATCGAGACCTCGCCCTAAACAGACGCCAAGATCGCGGTATATTTACAGGCCGCAATATTATCAACCACAACCGAGAAGAAGTCAATACATTGACAACGATATTTACGAGGAGTATCCCTATTAGAATCCATTTTTGTGAAAGATACAATCTAAATAAACCATCCACTTATCACAAAGTTATTTTTTTATTAAGTGAACTAAACATTTTCGAACGACCTAGTAGGTATATGAAAATAATATTTTCCGCACAAACGGGTTTCGAGTAAAAGAATAAGCGAAGCGGTTTTGCGGTGTACTCACTTTTGATTCGATTCCTTTATCTGCAGAACAAACCTTTTGAAAATCGGCGGTTCTTTGGCAGAACAGAAACGCCGACGGGCTTTCGGTACTATTGCGAGATTATTGTGTAACACAAGTGGCAAGGTGCCTATAATGAGGCTCCCTGAATGCAAACGATAGAGTTTAAAATGACGCACTTCCTTCCTGTGCTCACAACTAAGGATACAAATCTGGAGTACCTCTATATACCTGCGTATATAAAATATTATTTTTATCAACTGTTCCGTACGTTTTTTAATTCCATACATCTCATCTATTAACTCGCCCCCTGTGCGCGGGGCGCGCCATATTATGCGAAGAGGGATGAAGGCCTAAGTGCCAGTTTTAGTTTGAGATTATCTCCGGACTATGAGTGACGACTCAATGGCCCTCGGACGGGCCCGCCGCCCTCCCGCTGCCCCCCTCGTGAAATCAACCCCAAAGTTTTCGGGCGTACAATGCTCGATTCGATTGTTGGATAATTCTCGCCCGGGGCGTCGCAACTTTTTTCACTCGGTCAAGTCGCGTTGCGGTTTGATATTGTGATTTTTCTAACCGACGTTACCGATTGATATTCCGCAACAACTCGCTAGAATGTCGTTTGAATATTTCTTGTTTGCCTAGGTATATTAGGGTGCGAAATTTGTGAGAAAAATCTTGCAGGATTCCATCTACTTATTCTCGCTGTTTTATTGCATTATTGCAATCCCTCTCGATGTAACTTTTTACATTCTAAACACGGAAGTACTCGGGCTCCTGGTGTAGGTAGAACCGCTTCGAAATCGTTTAAACAGAACCAAAACAATGCATTTTTTTGTAACCTTTTACCATCAACAAAAGATTGAAACAAAGGTTTCGAGCGGCAATTCAACTTTGAAACATTAAGTGATTATTTTTCGACCGAACACAGGCCATTGTGGTGTTTTCCCGTTTGTTTGAAGGTAACAAAGCGAAAAATTCGCGGATACAAGGGTGGAAATGTAAGGGAACAGAACCGGAATATGTTCGAATCTGCCAGAACAGAACTCTTATTCTAATTACCATTCACAACCATTCAGAACTAAAACAGTTCAATACTCTTCTTAGAACTCTTCTTATAATAATACATCAAGCTTATAGGATACAAAAATAGTTAATTCAACTGAAGAATAGTTTTAAAAGAGAGTCCGTCGCTGATTTTCGAAACTCCATAGTCAATTGTACGCGATGGTAATGGTACTTGTCGCCGGAGTCGTGGGGACAGCTGATTTGCTCGAGTGTCCCCGGTGCTCGAGTGGTTAGTTTGAAAAATAACTTAATAATCTTTAGCGGGCGACTTATTTGCATGGGAAAAGTTTGGTTGATCGTGTATGCCCGAACGGTGTTTCAATTTCGATGGGCTTTGTTTCAACCAAACTGTTTCATAACGCGTATAATTACTGCTAGTATGATTGGACCGGTTTTTGGTGAAGATTTCTAGTGCTTGGTTGTTTCATGATGCTTTAATAAATAGTAAAATGTGTTATTTTCTTTCAAAGCGAAGTAAAGGAGGTATTCGAAATTTTTGGGTTCCAGGTACCGTTTTTGGTAGTCGAAAATAATCTGCTTATTTACCGCCCGCTAACAAAGGGGAGTTTTGTTATTGGAAGTAATTATTAGTTTGTCATTGTAGGTACTTGGGTACAAGAAAAAGATTAACTACTGCATTAGTATCTTTTGGATTTGTTGTAAAAGTCAGCCGAAAATTAGCACCTACACCATTGTGAAGTACCCGTTGGAACGTTTGAAAGGAATGTCTATGAGATTTTTAGCGAATTGTCGTGGGATTATATAAATTCTCTGAAACTGACGGAGATTATGGTACAACAATGCTTTTTATCCGTTCTCCTTTCCAAAAAAAAAAATCTGTTAAAAAAATACCTTTTTTAATCTATTTTTGAGAATCTCACATTTTTTTCGACCAAAGTTTGGTTATACCTCAGTTTTTTAATATCAAAACTACCGGGCATTTCGTTTAAAAGTATTTAAAAGTTCACCATTTATCTCGTACTTAGCGATGTATTGTACCAATTTGTCAACAGGTTTCACGCTAAAATGGACACTAATACTCGAAGTTAATACAAGGATCAAATGTTTTGTTCGCTTACATCAAACGGGCCGATTTTTGTTTGCCCGAAATGGACAATGCTCATTAGTGATGGCTTTTCTGCCTTTACTTACCTGACATCACAAAATACAATGAGTGGATTCCGTCCAGTTTTAAAAATTTCATGCTTTTTGGGCTTCCGATGTCGGATTATATTCCTAGACGTGCGGAGATTTGCTCCCAGTTCTCGGAACAAACGATTCTCAAATCACTTTTTAAATTTCAAAAAAAAACTTACCCTAAAACTTGCGAAGTATTAACGTACACATAAATTTTTATAATTCTACTTCAAGTGGCATTAAAGCAATAATTTTATTCGCCAATCGCAGTGGCTCGATGCGACAATAGACTCGTCATAGGAGAATATGACAAGGGTATGGACGAATTAATACAATTTAAATAATAATAATATTTTAAGGCTCGACGATGGGTCGAATTAAATCCACAATTGATGCGTGTGTGTCTCTGACAATGGTCTGTTAGTGACAAATGGCGGCTTTTTACATAGGGATTAGTACACAGTATATTAAAAATAATATATGTAGATACAAAAAAGGGATTTGAATTATAAAAATTACTAAATAAACATTATTCAAGTATTCTTAAGTTGGTTTTCAATGGATTTGTATGTATGATTAAGAAAAGGAATAAAGATGATGAATAAAGAAGATAAAGAAATGGAAAAAATCCTAAAAAGTAAAAGTGAGAAAACGATTACAAATCGTCACATCAATCACAACTTTTCATCCTCTTTGAAACTCGATCGCGGCAGTAAAAAAGTATCAATTAAACGAAATAAAAAAATCAACCCTAAACGCTAAATCGCCGGCCCTCCCTTTATAACATTAAGCTAGATTTCATTGTCCCCATCCACTTAATTTAGACATTTTGTCACTGCGGTCATGAGCACTAAGATGGCTGCTGCCCATAATTGAATCCCCGCTCTCAGACTGTGATTCTACCGAACGAAATCGTCCCCTCGAAGGCACGATCTAGCGCAAGGGCTTGGTGACATCCCGAATAATACCTATATGGCCGGATAATACAGTGTTGAAAAGGCAGGTCACTTTGTACCAAACTTCATTATTTCATTTGATCCCATCACGGGAATCCGATTCACAATGAAACTACAGTAAGCAACAGGGCGAGCCCGGGGCGATATCGAACGCAGTTTGCTGAATTCGTTCGTTGGTACGGGGGTGACAGACGCGCAGCTGTGCACCCCTAAGCCTGCTATTGAGTCTGTATGTGCATATGTCAGTCTGTGCCGTACTGGGAGAGCCTTTTGTAAGACGATTTGTTTCTATTTATTTTGTAAATAAATGTAATTTGTATGGTTTTTACTGTGACGAATTTCTTCGTATTGCAATTTCTCGTTTTACTTTTCCTTAATCTTATTTAGTTAGTTCTCTTTTTTTTCGATTTCGGTATTTCGAGCGTGGGAGATTTTTTAATCTCCGCATTGATGTTTCAATCAATTGAATTTTCACAGCAATCAAATCTGGTATAATATTGGTAGTACTACAAAATAAAAATAAAGCTTTATTTCTTAAAAAAGTCATCTCGTTTACAGTCATTGTCATTGTCTAATCGAATCGCCTTGAATTACATGCATTTTCCGGGATTAAGAGTGCACCATTCGGGCCAAATAGCAGCCACGCCGAATCCCCTGCTCAACATCCTCCGCGACTGATCGGCCAGTCTCTTCACCAAATCGTTCAGATCCTTCGCAGGAGGATCGCTCCAAATTCGCTCGGCGAACGCCGCCCCTCTGGGCCATATCCTGCTCTCGACGGTGTGCACCCCCACTTGCTCCGTCCACAGGCAAGCCTCGCCGCCCAGGAACTGCTGCCTCCTGCCGCGGTAGTCGCCCCACGGCCTGTAGTCGTAGAACGTCTGCCAGGGGGTGTAGGGATCGCAGACGCCTCGCGTCTGCGACGCCTTCCACGACCCGAAACCGCAGTCCAAGTACCATCTTCCCACCGTCGAGACGATTACTTTGTTGCCGTTGTTCACGATCGAATCCAAGTTGCCGTACCAGTACTGCACTATTAGGTTCTTGGCGTAACTCAGCGAATCGATTTTTCTGCAACCAAATGCGAGTTATTATGTAATTACTACGAGAAATAGAAGCTCACCTGTCGGTGAGCGGACTGGACCAAATGACGATATTCTCCGGTGGTTTATCGCGGAACGCCTTCTGCACGGTTTTGAAGATATCGTTGACGTAGTGAGCCCAAAAGTCGTAGGTGTCGCTGAAGTTGCTCGCGCTTTTAGTGCGAGCCAGGCAATCGATGTTCACTTCGTCGCCGCCGATGTGGAAGGTTTCGTTGTCGGTGCCCAGGTCTAGGAGATCCGAATAGACGCTGCCGAGGAGGTTCTGCGCCGGCTTGCTGTCGGGGTTCAGGTGCCCGTTGAAGACGTCTTCGTCGCCGCAAATGATTATCTGGTCTTTGTCGGTGTTGCCGTGGCTCCAGCCGGCGTTCGCGTGGCTCGGCGCGTCGATCTCCAGGATCACCCTGACGCCTCTGATCCTGGCGTGTTCTATCAAACCTGTTGAAAATTTACTCGTCAAACACAATCGATTTTTATTAGTAAATTAGTACCTTTGATATCGTCTGGAAAGTATGTGGAAGAAGGGCTGTAGGCTCCGTATTTCGCTAGCCAAGGATTCCTTGGTAGTACTATAGGAAAACTAACGTCGTCGGTTAAATGCAGGTGGAAAACGTTGAGTTTGTTCATGGCCATTCCGTCTACGATTCGCTGTAGTTGTTTCATCGGAATGAAATTCCTGGAGGTGTCCACCATTAAGCCCCTGTGAGGGAACGCCGGCTTGTCGACGATCTCTACGTCGTGGTAGATTTTCAAATTTTTCGACGATTCGTCGTAGATTACCAACTGACTTAAGGTTTCCAAAGCGTGTCGAGCGCCGAAGTAAGTCGGAGCGACGATATCAGCGACCACGATGTTACCTTTTTTACTAACAGCAAGCTTGTAACTTTCGTCGGTGTTTAGTTGAATTGTTCTGACATCGCTCGTTACTTTGATATTTACGCTGATATTGTCCAATTCGACGTCGTTCTCGGATTGATCATGCGGCAGATTGTTCGCGAAGATGCTCAAAGCTTCCCGGAGATCTTTCTCCACGCTTTTCGGCGCGTTGAGTTTCGTCAATACGCTGTTCTTGGCGAAAGTCGACAGTTTTCTTTCGGTTACCGTCACGGATTTGGGCTTGGGCCACAACGAAGGAGTGTCGCACAACATATTGCATTCGATCAGCGGCAAAGGCCGCTCGTTCTCCCGCAGTTCCCTCCGCTCGCATCGCTTGTTCGAGCAGTCGTACGTCCATACTTCATCTGCAAAACTGAAGTCAGTTATTGAGAAGCTATATTGAATAGAAAAAGGGTTTTTATGGGACTTGATCAGCAAGGCAATGGGATGAATCTCGATGGCTAAAGAGAGAGCTTTAAGCTCACTAATAACTGTGGAATGAACTGTTGTTTTTAGTGAATGCGATGGTTGTTATAGCGAGGATTAATTTCTCTCACGCCACAACCAGAAATTTAATTTATTGTGAGTGCGCTGCCAAGGACGGACAGAATTTTTTTGCGGATTTTAGCGGTCGCTGCCCAGCAGGGCAATGGTCACATCAAAGTGAATGACACGTTCTAAAACGTGTCGATACTTCTGATGAAGATGGCGAATTTGCTAAATAAATGTTTTGGATTTTGGATGTTTTGGATTTTTAGGCTTTGAATTAAAATTAGCAAAAATTAGAACGTGCTTGTTGCATTGTTGAGTATTTAATGTACAGGCACCCGGTATAATTTCTCACGTTAATACATAAGGTCGTGTACAGTTTATAATCTATTATAATTGCTTTAAAACGATTTTCTGCACATAAAGTTATAGACATGTTTTAGATAACGTGTATTGTAATTTGGAAAATATGTATTTGCAAATGTTGTATGCATATTAAACAACCTTGGAGTGCATCAACATTTATACAGGGTGCAGTAGAGAATAAATGCAATTGGTATTTTTACCTGCATGGTTAGGCGTTTAATGCATATTTTAAATTTTTTTAGAAATTCCTAGACAAATACTTTTATTTTCTTTTTAAATTTTTATCATAATACTGTTAATTTTTTTATATAATTTATTTATCTTCATATTTGTGTACAATTTCGAACAAAGTTCAACAAAATTAATGATAGTTTTATCTATATCTTTCGCAAATTCGTTTTCTATTTGTTTTCGATATACGACCTTAATTTTTATCTCCAAATTTTAGGAAACCCAAATCCGATTCAACCTAATTTTAATCCAAACTAACAGGATTCGTTGGCAATGGACAATTCCCAAAAAACCGCACAAAAATACAACAAATTCACAGTATTATCAAAAATCTAATCTCTCTTTATCGCATAAAAATCTACTCACCGGAATCGGATTCGTTAAATCGGAATACTTTCAATTTCTCTTCCAACGGCACTTTGTAACCGGCGGCGTCGCTGATGGCCAATTGCACGCCGTAAATTAAACTGAGCAGCGTCGCGAACGCCAAAAGACACTGCAACTGACCGGTCATCTTGACGAACTCCCGTCGATTTCTGAGGCCCCTGTCACCCGAGCCGCGTGCTCTCGCGATTCCGCTATCGCCCAGCAAACTTTCCGTGGATTCTGTGGATTCGTCGACGCTCGCACACTTCATCGCCGAATGACGATATGTGTTAATGCCAACGAGTTCACTGATAAGATAAATTTCAAAGCTATTTTAACGAAATGCTTCAGGTGCCTAATGATATCAGGTGCCTATTGCCATACTCGGTACCGCAATTAGTAAATAAGGTAGATGTTTTGTATCTATACGAATACTGGGAAAATAGGTGATTAGTTTTAATCTGTTATTTGTTGTTAATATTTATTGTAGTATAGGAACACACGGCGCTTACTCCGATTAAACATTTTTCGTACGGTATTGTTTTAACTATTGCTGAGGGATTTTTTTTTGAAATTTATCGGTTTATAAATGCATCTCAGAAACCGACATTGCTATACTCGCGAGTGGCACTCAAAAACAATGCACCTACCGCAATTACAATTGCATTGAATGTGTTTTGATGCACCCCACACGCGGAGTGCGAACGTGGAGTATTTCTGTTTAGGATACTCGACAGTTTCGCGAGCCCTCGAAGGTTTGAATGTATAAGGAAATAGCGGGTTGTTGCCCGCATTCGGGCGATAATTCGGATGTTCCCATGAAAAACACCGATGTCGGTTCCCATGATCTGTATGCTGCATCGGTATTTTGAATTAGGTGTAACATATGCTTAGCTGAAAATGTGAGAACAAAAACTGATATAACAAAGTATACCTGTGTTAAATCATACGAGTACTTATGTATTATCAGGAGAATTGTAATGTATTCGTTTTGTCTTATCAATTTGATTTTTTTTGTATACCTTGGTATAGATACTTGGTATTTTTTCATTGATTATCTACCATGACTAGCTTTAAATTTTCTAAAATTGCTAAATAGAATAAATAAATGCTTTATATTATTATTATTCTAATTAAAACAAAACCAAATTACCTTATTTAAAACCAAAAGTTATTAGCAATTCATTTTTTAATTATTAAAAATATATACACAGGTTCATTATCAAATAGGTACTTTTAACATTGCTCAGATCAATAAAGAAGACTTTTACATATTCACTCTAAAGAATGATTTCTATTTATCAATCATCTTATTCGCTTCTCTGTTTAAAAAATTGTTTTGAAAAAATTACGGAAAATTACTTACTTGTTCTATGATACATCTGTAAAAATTCTTTGAATAATTACTGAGATAGTATCTCTATCTACCAACTGAATTATTTGCTTATTCATTCGTTTCTTTTTTTTTTCATTTACTATTTTTCTTGGATTTGATATATTTTGCTTGGGTTAAATTTTTCTCCGGCCGCTTGCGAAAGTATACAACAAAAATACGAGTACTATATAATATATTTTTATTTTACAGTGAACACGTTTTGTACAAATAATTTTGCAACAACAATTTCCTAGACATAGATTTTTAAAACAAATTCTTAGAATTCACATCGAGTATAAAAAATACTATAATTCTAATATTAATTTATAAATATAAAGCTTTTGGTAGGCAGAAGGTCATACAATACAAAGTAGATTGAAAGAAACCATCAGCCATTTCTTTCTTATAATATCCATCTATTTACCTAAAATATTTACATCACAGTAATGTTTGCACGGTTTTTGGCGGGTTAACCAACCTTAATGTACCCTTAGAAACAACAATTATACACCTTTTGTAGGTTCATTATACTTTGGTACAGAAATACCCGAAGACATCAACTCTATTATAATCGCAAATTACACGTAGCTTTGTTAAAAAATTGAATTGAGATCGAATTAACTGCCACGTTAGCGCTCTTATACAAGTGTATATGTATACACTTGTACCCTTAAATTGTGCATATGTATGCCATTAATTTTTTTGTGTTTAATTCACAATAAAGTACGTCCGTAGTCATTTGAACTGGTACATGTACGTGTATCATAAACTAGGTTGTGACTTGTACATATCGCATATAATCCTAACAATAGGAATAGTCCCTATCGTTTTTCGAAAGAACAACTCCTCGATAGTCTCGCCCGACACCCTTCGAAGGGTAGGCAGCAAAAGCAACAACTTCCCGAACCTCAACGGTTGCGCGGGGTACCTCGACGAAATGTATTTATTCAGCGTCAACTGAGTTTCATCCTGAATAGCCGCCACTTTACCCGGATGATGCAACACCGCTTCCCTTTGCGACGACGAACTCGCCTTGTCGAAACTGGGCTTGAACAAAATGGTGGCCCGCAGGCAGGAGTACTCCTGCGGATCGACCTGGAACTGCCTGACGTTCACCAGCACGTCCTGGAACTCCTGCACGTTCTGCAAGAACGCCGCGCTCGTCTCCACGCCCAAATTCGGGATCAGATGCGGGAGATAGGTCATTGGCAGGAACTGGGCGGCGCCCAGCACGAACAGCTCGCTCCAGCTCTCCTCGAGCAGCAGGAGTTGATCGGTGAAAGGGAGCGACGTGAAGACCGGTAAGGATTTCGCCCATTGGACGTTCATGAAGAGGAGCCTGGCCGCTGCTTCGCAGACTACAGCAGGATTCGGGATTTGCGGCGCGACTGGCGGCTGTACTGGAATTGGAAACTGCAACAGAAATAATTAACTGTTAATTCGATTTGTATATAGATAATGTTGGTGGTTTTTTTTTTACTTGCGTAGGTATCTATCCACTCGACTACTTAGTATCGTTCTACTTGTAAATTTTTACCTAATCATCATAACTTACACAAGTACTAGGCGAGTAGATTAAAAAAAATCACATAAAGTCAATTCCACTTAAGCTTACTTTCGATATCTTCGCATTTTTTACTAAATATTTCTATCAACACGCAAGTCATTGTTATAGATACTGAAAACAAGGTACTTACTCTGGGCAAATTGAGTATGGAGTTGCAGAGGAATCCCGTCGGGGCGACGTACCCGAAAGGGCCGTCCAAAACGGGCGGTGTGGATGGCTTGGTGATGGCCAAATTGAGGGCGCCGATGGGCGGAGATGCCATCATCCGCTCCCTGGCTTCGTTGAAAAAGTTCGACATTTGCTGTCTCCTCAAAGTGGAGTTTCGTGGACCCCTCTCGTGCTGAACGGCTGCAAAAACAACGATATTTTTACGGTCCGCCGAAGGAAAACAAATTAGCCTACGGTTCTAACTTCTAACATCTGCCGCAACAAATATTTAGCGCGATTACAAAAACGAGAAACATCGATGACTTTTGTTTGATGTTTCAAAGCTTCGTTCGCTCAACCCTACCGCCGATTTCGGTTATATAAATTATTAACTCTTTTTAATCGATATTTAGTAGACAATTAAAATGACTCTTGTGCAAACAACAAACAGTCTCCCTGCATGTTTGCTTTAACGATTTTCCACTATTTAATTCCGAATGACTCTTCCGTCGAGCGCCCTCGAAGCTCCTTCAAGATCGATTCGTTTTTATATACACATAGTTTCGACTTCAAGAGTTCAACTCGCGACTCGCTCGAAAAGAACAGTTCTCTCTAGTTGTATTAGTTCGAATTCGCTCACCGTCTTTGTTCATGCCGGCTTCTTGGCACTTCTGCAACCTGCAGGCCCTGCATTGGTTCCTGTGGGTTTTGTCGATCGTGCACGTCCCCTCTTCCTTGGCCTTGCACACGTACTGCCTGTTCCTTCGGATGGACCTTTTGAAGAATCCCGCGCAACCGTCGCACGCGAAAATGTTGTAGTGCTTCCCGGAGGAGAAGTCCCCGCACACCTTGCATGGAATGTCCAATATCCTACCTGCAAAAAAACGAATCGTTTGTAAGTTTGGAGGCGTTAATTTAGAAAGGAAGTCGATTCACGAGCGGGAACTGCCTCCTTCGTAAGGTATAATAGAGGCTGGTAAAAGGACAATTTCCTGTGTATAGTGAGAGCGATGCTTAAATATTTATGGCAATTAATGTGGGGTTGTTATTTGGGGTGTTGAAGGTGCTTTTATAAACGTTTAAAAATGTGTTTATTAAGAAGGAAAATGATCAATGGTCAATTTAGATTTTCTATACTATCATCATTATCATTATTTGAGCACCAGACCTTCAAAACTATCACAGAACAAAGTTATTAGCTACACGATTTTAGACATTTAATATCTATTTCAAACTTACTAGAAGCAGTAGGTGAATGGGGTTTCATGTGCTGCTCGACGTTCATTAACTCCACATTTTGCACACTGGAACTGATCATGTCTTTAGCCGGAGAATTAAACGAAACTAAACTAACACCTTCGCACGACTCTATCCAACTTCTAACTTCGAGATCGACGGACTGTTTGAACATTTTCCTAATCTATGACGGACTTTAAAGCTTACCGAATCATTCGAAGAGTCGGGATGAATGAGACCCTTTTGACTTAGAGTGAATTCGGCGATGCCATTGGCTGCGAATCGCGAAGGGAGCGTTCGGGCCGCGCCCCCTTCCGTATTCGAGCGCCGGTTAGCCCTTAGGGGTGGGGTTTAAGGTCTGTAAGTCTGTTCGAGTTTGCCTCCTTTGTAAAAGCGATTAGACGGGCGAGTAAAGTGAGCGAATTTTTGCGATTTTTGACGCGGAAAGTTTGCGATTAAATGAAAATTTATTGCAAGTAAACTTACCTTCGAAATGTAGATTAATGTAGGGCATAATCTTGGATTAGTCGGTTTTCGAATGGATTATTTCAGGTGCTAAAAAATACTGAATGAAAATTGACTTCCTCCAGCTCGTTGAGTTATAATCATTTGATTAAATCGATTGTTGATATCGCACAAGTGTGGTAGGTACTTGTAATATTAATTTTTCCGAGATTCCCCGTTTTTTATGCAAATTATTCTTAATCTGAAGAACCGATTTTATCGGGTAAAATATTAAATCAACAATATTTTCCGTTCCCCGGATATGGCGAATGTCTGACCTGATTCCATCGAAAAAAATACGATAAGAATGTAAGTTAACAAGAAAACGGCATTCGAAATATTCCGTTATCCAAAAATTTGATCGCCGAAAAAGCTGATGCTGTTAATATCGCGAGAGCGGCTCCCCTTTTTCATATACAAGGTGCATAAAGGATCATATCAAAATATTTTTAATAAAGGGCATATCAACATATTAAATAAAAGCTATAGCGGAGGGATATAATGTGTGTATATTCCCGGAGTATATTAGGGAATATTAATAACTGCATTCCATAAAGCACATTTCGTACTTCCACCCCTCTGATATGTACTAAAAGTTCCAGATAAATTATTAATTTTTGCTATACGCCTTCTTTGATTACATAGGAAAATTTGTATTGCTTTATCACTCGAATATGCCGAGTAGATTCTAATAATCATTTACCTGACTTTTGAGATTTCATTAATCTAAATTGTTAAATTTGAATTTGCGTAGCTATCGCAACAATCGGGTATTACATCTCCGAGTAAAAAATTTTCTACTGAATTCGATTACAAATCATCAAGTTAAATTGTTTGGGGCTTACGAAGTATTAACCTTAAATGCCTTTGAACTTGTGTAATTGTAAACTCATTAAATGGGATAGGATTAGAGGGTTCAATGCCAGTTGAATTTTATGAATGAAATTTACTTACGTTATCTCTTACCTGAATAAATAAATACCCAGAAATCGTAAAATTCCGAGTGAAAGAAAAACTATAAACTACGATTTTACTATTACTACTCGTATAATACCCATTAACCAGTACTCGATTCGGTGTTTCCCATTCCATCAACTCGAAATTATAATACAGGAAAATAAGGGGAGTTTTGTTGCTATGTAAGTATCAATAAAATTCCTCGTTAAATTAGAGCAATACCTCATCAGAATGATACCTGTTCCCTTATCGGTTACACCCTCGTATCATCTGATCTGTCGCGCGTAATAAATAATAAATCATCCCTATTTTAGAAAATTCCCACGAACTCAGCGTTCACATCATCAATCCAACAGATTGTTAACTAATTACTGTATAACTAATCAACTGTTCTCTCCGACGGTGTACCTAGCGCACCCTCAAATTGGGAAAAACAGTGACATGTTGTAGCGTAATGGTCTCACGCTGATAGGTAAAGTGCATTTAGACCATATGGTAGCAGGAATTCCGATATATTTAGATCGGAAAAAGGGATGTGGAGTATCTACACGCGCGTTACTGAAGGGATGTACAGGTATTTAGTGTAAATAACATTTGGTATCAGTGGAATTGTGATCAGGGCATCGTGGGAAGTGGGCGGTGTAAAGATGAATCATTTTTGATTTGAATATAATGGTTTTTATCAAAAAATAATGTAGTTATTGCACTGATCTTACGAACTTACAATGGCGTTAAAAAAGTTGTGTGTATAAAATACAAAATATTATCTAAAAGTTATTGTTTTACAACGCTGGTCTATGGTACCTTTTGTAAATGTTTTATACCTTTTTGTACCTCGAAAATAGATATTTATTGCTTTATTTTTGGGATATTCCTGTTTTTGGTTTATTTACAAGGAATTAGTCAACTAAATTTCCGGATTGGATTACAGTCGTAATGCTTTTAAAAGCTCGATCAGGTGAAAATGATTTAAGTTTATTAGCATGGTAAATATTCAAATCCTATTATCCGTTTAGCTTCAGCCGGAAGAATTAATTGTATTTGCGATAAACTTTGAACAAGTAGTTGCAAGTATCGTACAAAAGCGCTGGGTAATACCTATACAATATTCGGAAGAGAAATTTTTCTGGTAATTGAAAATATTTAAAATCGCGAATTTGGTCCCCCGTGCATATGTCGCATCTTTCTGCCTTTATGCCTTTGTGACTGAAAAAGGGATTATTTGGTCGAGTCCCCATACCTAGCGCCCAGTTAACCGAAAAGAAGATCCCCGGTAATCATGCATTTAAGCCGAATCCCTTTTTAAAATTGATTGTTTGCAGCGATAGTCGATGCTTTCAAACCTACTGATAATGCGCCCTTTTTAGGGTTAAAATCAAAGTAGTGCGAATAAAGGGAACGATTACTGCATTTGAATACGGCCGCGTATAGTCAACTAAATTTTAATGAAGCCGAGTTTCGAGGATTTGGAACTTGCAAATTGGTGTCATTGTAGCCGTTGGGCGAGATTTTTTAATTGTGTGATCGATATTTGAGGCACATTTAAGTGTGAAATATGTGAGAAAAATTAGGATATTTGAGTTTATAAAGTTGTAATCCCCATCTGGGCAGTCATCTATCTCTGTGTACCATCTAACAGTTGTTCACTCACCACAAAGCCCCATGCAGATTAATTGGCATAATGTAGATTTTATCAATTCTTTTAATCTGATTCGTGATCTGTTAAAAAGGGTTTTAAAAATATTTTTCTATACCTACACCTAACAAAAAAGAGTTTATTTACAACAATATTTGGGTAAATAATACAAGAGATTTTCTCAATAAAATTCGTAGAAAAAGTACAGTACGAAACAATAGATTTTCGACACACTCTCGCTTATCAATCAATTCGTTATCAACACAAATAACTCTTTATAGATTCCTCCATTATCGAGCACATGCGACAGGTAACGAAATCCTCGTCGAATGGCGGACAATTTGTTTGACACGAAACGACAAATTAAAGATCTATCACAATAAATCCGGCCTGAAATAACTCGGGCGATTTCTTGAATGGGAAATATTTACTCGGTTTTTGGCGGCCCATGAATGAAACTCATTCAACGGTTCCGAACTGGAAATAATCGAAAACGATTTGTCATTATGCGCCTCGCAGATGGGCCATATTTATTTTCGACATTCTTGTGGAAATCGTGGTCGAGCTTTTAACTTTCGTGACATAAAAGGGACACGGCCGTTTAACCCAGAAGATGAGATTTTATTGACATGTTTTGAACGGGACGTTTTATGCGACAATTCGAGTACATTTCTCAGAAATTAATACCGCATATTACAATTTTACATCTCTACCTACAGCTCAAGAACTCTAGATGCTTAAATTAAAAACCTAACAATTCGAAATCCGATAGTTCCGAATACAATATGAACACTAAACAATAACCGGAGATGTTCTAGTTCATTGTAAACGACCATCCGACCGAATTTCTTCCCTCTATTACGCAATCATTACCGTTCGAAAACCGTCGGGAAGTAGTTTAACTTCTGAATTCTCCTCAATTAATCCACGTTAGGTCAGGTAAAGTCAGCGAAAGGCACCGCACCGACGACGAAGGGATGCGTCTCGGGCACACCTGGATGCGCTGGCTTTCAAAGAGATTGACATAACTCCTGTTATCCTCATTTGCTGGTTGGACGGACAAGCACAAAGTGAAAATCATGGCCGACGTGGGGATTGTATTGAAGCTACCCCGCGGGGCGAGGGGACGGGGTAATTTCGAGTCTATTTAGGCGCATATGTTTATTGTTAGGACGGTGTGTTGATGCCATACAGGGTGACGTTTCGTGCGGGTAAAATATACCCGAGCCCTCTTCATTATAAAATATAATTACGTGATTTTTTTTATGTAATTTTAGGACCTTTTAATTTACTCACAACCTGTTGATGATCCTCGAAAATCCGACTTATTATCCTTACGATTCGTTCAAGAAGTCTATACGCAGTCATGTCAATTATTTAGCATCCTGTCTAAAGAAATCTCGCCATAGGTACCCTCTTTATTGAGAATACGTAAGACGATCTCCATCTCGGTGTAGTCTTACTAGTCTCAACAGTGGCGTACGTCGAGGTACAATCCGAAATTAACAATAAATTAATAGAGAAGATTTTAATAATTGCCATTTGGAGCTTCTAAAACGCATTTCAATTTTGTTTTGTGGTAAAACTAATACTTGCATCCGCTAGTTAGACTCTTTATTAATATTTTTTTAATCAGAGCAGGGGTACGTCTTAGTTTCTCCATGTAATCTTACATGGTCTTTCAAAGATGATCCCTTTGTATTTGCCTCAACAGCGAACGGTGATTTTATACTCTATTAACAAATATCCACAATGCCGCATGGGAGCGTTTAAGAGCCTTTTAAAAAGGCTTTTTTGTTATCAATGAGGGCGTATTTTCTTGATGTTGTCGGTGCGGATTTGTGTTGAAGACGAAATCAACTTGACCAGATTGACGTTAATATACAGAGCAGTTGAATTTCGCTCTTTTCTCACGATTGATTGTTAGTGTTTAAGCGACAATTTTTTGATAAAATTGATGTCACACTCACATACTAAATCTTATTGAAACTCAACGATAATAATACAAAGATAAATTTTGTTAGAATCGTATTTAATGAAGTCAACGGTAGACATTCAATTTGCGCCATCAAATTTGTCAAATTCATTGTTGGAGGGCACAATGGCAAAAGACGTGACACATACACAACAGGTAAGTGATGTCAACAAAAATTTCTCGAACCTCGATAAAATCTCGACTACCAGCATTTTATCTCTCTATCCTCATGCGAAGCGCTTTAAGCCCATCATGGTTCGGCATTGTCCCACGGACGGGTATGTGCACCTAGAATTTTTTTTCCACGTAGACTCGCCGGCAGCTCTCATTGACTGTTTTGCGCTGTCAACGCCCCTATCCGCGTCTTTTTCGTTTGGGTCACAGGAAGGGCTTTGTACCTTTTCAGCTTGTAATGCTCATTTTACAAAAGTGAGTTCTTGCGATTTGCGCGCCCGCTGAATGGGATGCATGAATAATTAAAAGATGTTGTTTTTGATTTTTATTGTGGACTTTACAGCCTTCACTGTTGGGAACCCACTCAATCGTATAGGGACATTTTTTATAGGGAATTTGAATTTTACTTTATTCATTTGTAATTAAATAGGCACTTTGCTCAGCTCTTCTTATGCAACCCAATCTTCTATAGTCTTGTGAATAATACTATCAATAAAAGGAGCGATTTTAACCGGTAAGGAAGACATGTTATCATCCCCATTCCATTCGAGTTCTCTTCGAACTGATTATACGCATTTTGCATTCATTTAATCCGAGTAGACGTGAACGTTACCTTCGAACTCATCGCGTCTATTCAGGATTTTTTCGAAAAAAAAAGACACCGTCCCGCCCCGGAAACGTCGTCAAAGGACCCAAAAAGATCCGAACCTGCGAATCCACCAAACAACTTTCGATTCACAGGGGGCAGCGGAAAGTTCGGAGTTTTTTGTTCTTGCATCGATTGAAGTGCTTTTAGGGGCGGTCTACACCTGATTGCCTTTTTTCGGGACATGTGAACGATGGTTCGCGATGAAATTCGATAAGGATTTTTCATCTTTTCAATCGGCTTGAAGAGGATGTAGACGCGGAATGAAAAGTGAAGTCGTTAAATTCCGTTTCGGTTTCGAATGACATGGCTTCCGGAACGAAGAAATAGTAATAATATTCATGAATAACATTATAGAGTAAAAGGAAATCACTAACTTGTGTTCACTGTATATGCATATACACAAACAAAATTAAGTAAAATTATAGGAACAGAATGTTTATTACAATAATTTTATTATAAAAACTAAACTACCACGTATGCGATTAGTCCTAACTTTATTATTATACTTTTAAGCAGTCGAAACATTAAAAATAAGTTTAAAAGATTTCTCATATCGAGTTAAACTGCATTTAACTTGTTAAACTGGTTGCCTATCTAGAAGTTACATAAGATTACACTTTTTATTTACGCTGGTATTTAAATTAATATTTAATACCATCTATTGAATAAGAATAGTATGTTGTTAAAATCATTTGGAATTTGAATATAATTGTAGAATTAAATAAAATTAAACTAGTTCAATAAGTGTAGATAAATTAGAGTTACGTAAACTTGATTCATAACCTTCGATAGCTCAGTTGGTAGAGCGGTGGACTGTAGTGGAATAAGCAACATAGTAATCCATAGGTCGCTGGTTCAAATCCGGCTCGAAGGAGTTTTTTGCATCTTTTTTTTTTATTGTAATTTTATTTTTTCAATTATGTGCTTAATTTTTTAATTCATAAAATTATTTTTAAACTAATTTTTCAATAAATTTATGTCAACTTTAATTTTTTTAAATATAAACAAAACGGTCTATAAAATATTCCAAAAATTTATTTTATAAACTCATCAAAATTATTCGATACATTGTACACTACAATTTCATCTGGTTAATAATACCATTCTTCACAATTCAAAATACAAATTCATTCATAATTTTATTAAAATTACTAGTTATAATATTACTTATATTAGAAATAACATTAGATGTACATACAAATTTAATTAACTATTACAATAATCGACATCGTGAGCAAACCATTCGAATGATATAGGGATTTATTTTGATACGAGCACCACGCAATCGAATTGTCCGGCGCTCTGAAATAATTTAAAACGGAAAAATCAAATTATACAGAGCGTGACGGCAAGTTTCCTGTAAACAAGGCAAGATTAGACTAAACAGATACTGTCGTTGACAGAAAACTTTTCTCGAATTAAAAAAAGGAACTAGAATAATTTCAGTACAGCCCATATGTTTAGCGCTATTACTTGCATACACTTTTATTCAAATTCGCATATGTGCGGTACTATTAGTACGACCTACAACATTCACTTTTAGTCGTTTTATTTGAATAAACCAGTGCACGAGCAATAAGAGCACAAAAAAAATCACAGGGACAAAAACTTCATCAAAGCCTCGGAAATCAATCTGGGATTAATAGTACCGTCAGCGGTGTACCTGACACCGCGCAACGAACCGTCATCGTGGCTGACCACTCCGTACTCTCCCACGATGAACCCATCGGCCGTTCTCTCCTCCACCCGGTACTTCCTGTAATTCTTCCCTTCCACCACGTATCCGAATTTCTGGTTATCGTCGGGCTTCTTCTCGGGCTTCGTCGGCTGCACCCCGTGCGCCCTGCCGTTGGTCACCACGCTCAAGGCCTCGTCCACCTCGTAGTTCTGCTCCGGCTGCCCGTAGACCTTCGGCAGGACCACCGGCAGAGGCGTGGTGGGAGCGAACACCCTCGGGCTATGCCACGTTTTCGGCGTCGTCTTCGCAGCGGAATCGATCTTCGTCTGCTTGGTACTGCCGTCGATCTGCTTCAGCTTCGCCTCTTTGTCGAAGGCGTTCACGTAGGGCGATTTGGCGTCGTTGTAGTTCCTCTCGTGCCGCTCGTGGGGCTCCGATCGCTCCGTTTCGATGGGCAGCTGAGGGATCGTTTGGATGATCGAGCTGTAGGAAACAGACCTCGCGCTGTTGGTATCCGCGGGATCGTCGTGGAATATGACGGTCGGGTGCTGGTAGGGTTTGTTCTCCTGGTGCACGAACGGAGGTAGTACGCGCACGCGAGCCGGGTAGTTCCTGCTGAAGTCCGACGCCGCGTCGCTGTCTTTCGTTATGGGCTCACTTTCCTCGACACTCAGTTCACTTTTGCTGGCCTTCGCCACCAGGCTGGGGTGGTGTTCGGAGGAGAAGTACGTCGGGGCGGGTTGCAAGGTGGTACTGTCGCCGTACGGATCGCTCGCTGACCTGCCTAAGGAGGAGGAGACCCGCACGGCGACGACGACTCCGTCTTTGTCGGTGGTGGAGTCGCTGAATTGTTCGGTGCTTCGGGGGAAAGGGGAACTCGCGAACGGGGATTGGGAGTTTCGTTTGCTCCTTCGGGTGGTGTACGGGTCGTCTTCCATTTCGAGGAGGATGGTGGTGGTCGGGGGCGGCGTGGGCGTCGTTTCGGCGTACGCTCGGCGGAGGGACGTTTGCAGGAACAGCGACAGGAAGTCGGCTCCTGCGAGGATGTCCTGATCGCTATCGGGCTCCTGTCCGTGCAGTGGCAGGCCCTCGATGGCCATCTTGGCGTCGAATAGGATCTGTAAAATGAACAAATTACGTTGAATTTCGACCGCGAAATGAAATGATTTTATTTATAATGCATTTTAAGTTTGTCGTTTAATGGCTGAGATTCTTATTGAGCATTAGATAATACCCATACATATAAATATCAAGGTCGGTTGTTACATAATGAAATTATTACAGTTCTTTTTGTGCAACAGCAAATTACATACATATACGTATATTTATTTAAATTAAGATTAAATGGTAATTTGTTAGGGTGGATTAGGGTGAGTTATTGCGCTTGGTAACCACACCCTTGGTTCGTTTGAATTCGAATAGAAAAAATTTTAAACCTTAGGTATGTCTCGACTTGTTATTAAGGCGATTCTATTTAAAATGATGTTACGATTTAAACGCATTCTGCGGATCTGATTTGCCTCTTTGTATGCAAAATCCATAAATTGCGATATATTGTGGCATTGCATAATATATGTAGTAGTGACAGGGTTTCTACAAAATAAGAAATATGCGCTGTAAAGAAGGTAATTGGATACTTTGAAATGCAGCCTGACATGCAGAAGAAAATTTTTGTTAGTAAGAAATGTGCATGAATGAATGTTCACAAGAAAATACGAGTGCGATGAAAACGGTCTGAGATTTTTGTGAAATTTTTTTATTAGTCCCCCTTACGACTATAAAATTCCTCGAGTCAATATGGCGTTGTAAATAAAAGCAAGAAATCGCGTAACGAAAATAATTTATTTATTCTCGATGCGTACGTTGCGAAATTTATACTTGCAAAATTTGGAGATTCGACTACAAAACTGTGTACCAAATTTTTTTACCTTTTGAAATTCGATACGAAATATATAAAATTATTCGCAATTATAACGATTTGGATAAAACAGTTTATTTCTAGTTTTTGCAAATAATAATTATACTACTATTTTTTTAAACTAGGTCACTCCAAATTAAGGTTTTCATATAATTCAGGTTTTTTGTTTAATCGTCTTCCGGGTTCTTCAAATACGGACAAATCTAAATTAAATCAGTAAAGGTGCGGTTAGAATTAAAAAATAAGGAAACACAAATAAAACAAACAACAGTTTAGGAGGAAAATTCATTATCATTAATCGAATTTGATATTTAGAGCAATTCCGGATCTTTCCACTCAACCAATGCAGCTAATCAAATGATTGTATAGGTGAATTGAAATAAAATTTTCCGGTTCTTATTATTTTTTTAATATTTCAAGGACCACTTTGTCTCATTCCGCGAGGAAAGTCAAATCTCACACCCATTTAAAGCTTATGCAAACTGTTCTATGAACATACATCTTACCTTTTAATAAATAATACTGTTACTGTATACAAATAATTAAAATTAATTTATCGAGTAATAACAAATCGGTATAATTTTATATTATGATTGTAATTTACCTCTAGGGACAAGTTTATTCGTTATTTATTTATTGCTGCACTAATGTCGGGTGACAATTTATTTGATTGTTTTAACTGAATGTTGTACAATTTGCGAGCATATAAAATTTAAACTAGCCACGATAAGCTTGTGAATTTTCGTGTCTCCTTTAATATTATATTCCGGCACGTCAAGAAAAAGCAGCACAAACCTGTTGAAGGAACATCGACCCAAAAGGAATACTCGACATTTTATTACGTTACTCACTACACAACTTATTCGATATTTATGGTTTCATTGTGCTTCACGCATTTTTAAATCGTCACGTCGAGATTCTCGTTAACTATTATCAAATTCAGAGGATTCAGGATCTTCGAAACCACCACAACATCCCATGACAATCTGAATAATAACAAAAAGTTTAACGTTTCGTTCGAGGACTTCCAACTTCCAAGGATTATCTCTATCTTTATTGATATCGTTACTCATTCATGTCCGGTTTAATTACTTCGCGCACATTTTTATGAGAATTCCAGTCGATTTGAAACGGGAATATTACCATTTGAATTCGTAATATTTTATCAATTCCCACAAATTCCAGCGTTATTACGCGCCTTTTACTCCGCACGGGCTCATTAAAGCTTCGATTTCGACGGCCGATTTAGATTTTACAGCGCAAAGCGCTAGTTTATGTATTGCGCGCATTTTGCGCTATAACGCTAGATGGAAATCGGAGTAAAACGCGAAAAGAAATCGCCACAACTCGCCTAACTATTTAGATTTTATGGACCGGTCAGTGGCGCCATATGGGCCGGGTTCAAGGACTCGATCGTCGAGCATAAACATAACCTCACCCAACCGGAGTTACTAGCCATAACTGTATGCATAAACTTCCCACATACGCCGAGTCCTGAACTAAATCGGAGCCAAACTAATTGGCTTCGATAAATTGCAATCAACGGGAAATTGTGAGTCATTACTAAATTGTTTTATTGAATTAAACGACAGTAGAATTGGTTAAAATTGAACACAAATTCAGCGGCAACGAAATAAGAAACGAGAATATGACGGAAAAACCTGCCAAGTGTACCAATGATTTTGATTTATGATCGTTTTACGACGTTTGCGGCTACCCGTAAGGTGTTGGTCGTACTTATTTTGGTTTATTTCGAAACTCGAAATCATTTCACGGCCATTTCGAAGCGTAAGTACCCTCTTAATGCTGGTAATATCCACGTAGAGTGATTTTATGTGTTAGATTGATTAACAGTTATGAATTATAAATAATTGCTCGTTGTCTGTTATATTTATGTCGCGATAAGAGATTTATGTGTGGATACGGCTCTAGGTCAAACTGGTGCAATTTGTTTAATGGTTGTATTAGAAAAATATTACTTATACCTGTAGTAATATAGCTTAAGTATTTCGTATAGTAAATGTTAATTTTATTGGCGTCTGTAGAATCTTGTAGATTTGCGGTTTTAGGGGAAATATAATTGGCTAGTTAGAAGAAGCGAAAACCAAAATTTCTATCACCACCAATTTCGGTGGAAACCAATTCCTCGTATTCTTCAGACTTAATAATCATTTCGAACCAGCGAAGTAACCTTGGCAAGGCTGAATTCTATCCGCTTATTACAAAGGTTTCGTGATTACATTTATTTAAGAAGCAAAGGCGGGTTCGATTAAACAAACAATTTTTTTAAACCCCACAAACCCTCATAATATTCGAATAATACATCAATCTTCTTCTTACCCAACATTCCTCATCAACCCCTAATCATCCAAATCTTCTCCCTGTTTGCACTGAGAAATAAAATAATAGCGTACGGCACTGCTCAGGCTCATGAACACCGATTTTGATGGTGCTGTTGCATGTGTAATCTAAAGAGAGGTCGTGCAGGAATTTTGTTTTGTTGAATTCCGAATCATTTGTTAATGCAACCTAGGTGTAACGGTTGCGTCAAAAGGTACAACAATGATAAATGACGATGGAGTTCCCCTAAAACTCCTTGACAGGTGCTCGGCGCTTTTAATCGCCGAGATTAATGGGATTTTAAACGATATTTGACTAAATCGATTTTGATGTTTCTCGTTACCATTATAAGCGCCCGATTAAAGCATCTGAACTATTACAATTAACAAATTAATAACGCGAATTTTATTTCTATTGGAAGATTCTACATTGTAAGTAATTGCATGGATTATTATTTAATTCTCTTATCGCGCGAATATCTCGATATATGCCTGCAATAATGGTCGTCAGATCTTTTTGCCTTAAAGTCGCCTGGGTAATTGCGTTATTAGAAATCTTTTGCTTTGTTCGTGATTAAAATTGAATATGGAAATTGTTAATTTCAACAGGCAAAAATGGCGTCGTTTGAAAGTGATTTTACATGATGTAACGTAAAGATAAAGGTTTTTTTCTATTGTAAAAAATAGAAAAAAAATTATACTACAGGATTAATTTTATTATACCACCTAATTGATATACTAATTTATTCGTGCTTAAGTTAGTAATCGTATAATTAGGAAAATTATCCAGTAAAAATAAAATAATTTTCCGATCCTTTTAAAATAAACCCATTATGTTTTATACCTACTTATAAAGTGTTGTTGCTTAATTGGGCATTATTATACCGCCTGAACCGTTTAATAACAAGATGTAATCACAGCGTATAATGTATGCAACAAAATACCTCTTGAATCAGTAGGAGACTACGCCCAAATAATTTTTTAAACAGGTTAAGTATCAATATTTATGAGACTATTTTAAATTTCCTACAACGACTTAATTTCGTCGAGAATGATATTAATTAAAACGCGATTGAATTGTCGCCATTACCATTAAAGTACGCATGGATATGTTCAAAGCGTTTGAAATTAAACAATGGTAGAAATTACTTTTCACGAATTTAACAACTCAATCAGTAAATTACCGTTTAATAACAGCATTTTTTATGACAGCCATAAATCATCCGGTGCTTACGGGAGTTTCGACTTGATAAATGTATTGGGCGGTACGAAAAATGTTTGCGTTTAATCTCGAACTATTATTTATTCTCCCATCGATTTCATTATAACTTAAGAAATCGTTTGGATAATCTTTATAACACATAACAGAGCAATAAAAGAGCCGTAAAATAGAAATTATAGCGTTTTAAATTTGTTATGACGCATGTAGATACTCAGTTTACCATGATGTGAATGAATATTAGTGGATGAATTGAGCTTTTCTAGGTACTATTTTGTTAGTAAATTAATAAGATATGTAAATTTTTCGGGAATGGTATTTTATTGTTTATATTTCAATTTTTATAACTGAAATATTTTTTTTGTTTAGGCAGTCCCGTTAACCACTAAATTAATAAAAACAATTTTATACACACCTTCTACATTAGTAGATATGTGAAACAATACCAATTTATAATTTTTTCTATACATAATATGGGTATCTAAGGAAGAATAAAAAATTATAGTAATTCTATTGATATACTATTAGTGTGTCCTAGATACAAAAAATAAATAGCACATGTACGAAATCAATTTAAATTTATTTAATTTATAACCGATCAATATTGATATACTCAGGGTCGTTGAAATGATAAATTGACCC